ATGGTACCAGAGGCTGTCAAAACCTGCTGGGGCAATGAGGGGGGGGGGGAGAGTTTTGTTTAAAATATTTCAACACTTTCCAGAAATTGGCTGGATTACCACCACTCTCTGATACACAATTCAAGAAATATGTAGATTTTGCTTTTTTAACCAGGGATCTATTTTTCAAATGTCTGAAGGACAGCCAATCAGACGTAGAATCAGTCCATCTAGCCTTAGCCCAACCTACATTTATTTCCTGTAATTTCTCAGACAATTAATGCGTAAACCAAGGATTACATCTGTCTTTTACAATGAAGGATCTGAGTCAGTGACAGTTGACAGAACCCACCAGTCACTCAACCCCAGCTCAGACAAAATAAATTGCTCATTAAAATTCAAAAAATGTATCGTTATAATAATGCATGAGCGAGATTTAAGTAGTTTATCATTTCTTATACAGGCAGGGTGCCCAGACCGCAGTGGAGTACGCCCTCAGCCTCCAGCGAATGAAATGAACCGGCGCTCTGCACCCTATTCCGTAGACGAATGCGCCAGGAGGTCCAGACGGAGTTGGCGTGCCGGGAAGACAACCTTTCCTTGGACGCGCTCATCACGATGGCCATCCGTCTGGACAACCTTCTTCAGGAGCGCCGGCACCTCCCTCGCTCTCCGCGGCAGAGAGGCGTTGCCGGTGACAGCTGGGGCTGTGTTCCTATTGTGGCCAGGAGGGGCACCAGACCCAGCCGTGTCCATTGAGTCCCAACCCGAGGTCCACTGGGGCAGAGGGACGGCCCCGTGATCATCCGTCTCCCAGGGTAGGCGTGAGTATTCCTTCATCATCGTTTACCGCCAAACCCTTACTGGTTTTCATTTCACTGGCTGGCTGTCCCTCGGGTGTTGTCTCTACAGCTCTACAGGTGTTGTCTCTAGTGGACTCTGGTGCTGAAGGGAATTTCATTGACTAGGCCCTTGCCTCCTCCCTAAACATCACCTCCTCTCCTTTTCCAGTCCAAGCCCTGGATAATCGACCATTGGGATCCGGTACAATCACACACATCACAGCACCACTCACCACTCACCCATGCACCAAGAAATCCTTCACTTCCTCATCATCACTGGACCCGTACATAAAGTCATCCTCGGCCTCCCGTGACTCCAATGTCATAACCCCACCATCTCCTGGTTGAGGATGAAAATCACAGCCTGGGCACCAGAGGACCTGCTTTCCCTTACTCTGTGGTTCCACGTTGGTTCAGAGTCCTGTAGGTGCCCTCCAGCCCATCATTCCGTCCTCCCGTATCGTTGGCCCTGTGTTTTGGGATGTAAATGTGGACATCAGCCAGGCTCTGGAGAGGGAACCCGCACTTGCGACATGCCCTCCTGAGTGCATCTATGTCCCCACGGGGGTAAGGGATAGGCTGTTGACCTGGGCGCACCTAGGTAACACCCGCACCATTCAATCCATCTCCACAAAGTACTGGTGACCCACCTTGGCGCAGGATGACGCCCGCTATTTCAACTCCTGCTCCGTATGTGCCCAAATAAAATCTCCCTGGCACGCTCCAGCAAGGAATCTCCTTCCCCTTCCCATGCCTCAGTGGCCTTGGTCCCATCTGTCCATTTTGTTACTGATCTCCCTCCGTCTGATGGTTTCACAACAATTATGGTTGTTGTGGATAGATTCTCTAAATCCTGCCATTTGATCCCTCTCTCTGGTCTCCTACTGCTCTCCAGGTCGCTGAGGCACTGTTCCAGCAGGTCTTCCGGCACTATGGACTTCCAGAGGACGTTGTCTCTGACCGTGGCCCCCAATTCACGTCGCGGGTATGGAGAGCCTTCATGGAGCAGTTGGGGGCCACGGCCAGGCTCACATCTGGGTACCGGCCTCAGTCCAACAGGCAGATGGAGAGGACCAACCAGGAGCTGGGAAGGTTCCTTAGGAGTCACTGCCAGGACCGGCAGGGGGAGTGGGCCCGGTTCCTTCTCTGGGCGGAGTATGCCCAGAACTCACTTCGTCACTCCTCCACTGGGCTGACTCCCTTCCAGTGTGTCCTGGGACCCCAAGCCAGACCGAAGCTCCTGCGTTGGATGAGTGGTTCTGGCACGCAGAGGAATTTTGGAACGCTGACCATGTGAGGCTCCAGTGCACCGTCTTCCGCCAGAAGGAGCAGGCGGACCGCCACCGCAGTGAGGCCACCGTGTTTCATCATGGTGATCTGGCTCTCCACCTGCCCTTCCGGAAGCTGAGCCCCCGGTTTGTGGGGCCCTTCAAGGTCCTCCGGAGGGTCAACGAGGTAACATATGGTTTACAACTCCCCACCAACTACCTGCTCTCACCCTCTTTTCATGTTTCCCTCCTCAGGCCGGTGGTTCCTTGTCCCCTGGCTGATGCCGTCCCCCGCGACACCCCTCCGCCTCCCCTGGACATTGATGGGACCCCCGCCTATGCCGTCAGGTCCCTAATGGACTCCCGACGTCCTGGGGGTCGGCTTCAGTATCTGGTGGACTGGGAAGGGTACGGTCCAGAGGAGAGCTGTTGGGTCCCGGTGGCCGACATCCTGGACCCCAACATAATCCGGGATTTCCATCTCCGCCGTCCGGACCGGCCCGCTCCTCGCTCTCGGGCCGTACTCCTGGCCGGCGTCGTCCTGCAGCTGGAGCTGGGGGTGGGGGGGTACTCCCCCGCTCCCCCTCTCCAGCGCTCGACGTCGCCGTTCTATAAACCACCGGTCCTGGCACCATCATTACGCACACCTGGACCTCATCACCACCTTGATTACTCTTCCTTTATTTATCCCTCAGTAGCCTCAGTCATCAGGCAGTGTTGGTTTTGGTCACGTTCCATACGCTTCTCCTGTGTTGTTTATGAGCCTTCTCTCATCATTAAACTCACCTTCTGCACCTGCTTCCTGACTCCAAGCATATATGTTATACAACGGGACAATGGTCACTAAACCCATTGGCAAATGTGACTCGTTTCAGGAAACTAGACGTATGTTGCGCGTCACTACTTCACAGAAGAGCCATTTGAACTTAAACTGTTTTTCTGGTGTAAAACAGTAGGAAGCAGCCTAGTAATGTCCTGTACCGAGCCCCAGGATAGCACAAGATCTTTGCCCAGGAACCAATAATTTTCTCACCATAGAGCTGGTGATTATAATGGCTGGTGAGGTGGCAAAGGAGGTCCGGCAGTTTTTACATCTCGAGCTGGCCAAAACCCATTGTGGCTTACGGAGGAGCCGGTGCGTAAGGCACCCTCGAGGTCCGGTGATCCGAGTCCAAGGCAGAATCCGAGGCAGGATAGTGGACAATGGCGCTGCAACCTCCGAAGCCAGAGAAGCCCAGGCAGCTTCCCTCCATTTGGCCTACGGCGGGTGACATGCTTCCATGGTTGCGCAACAGGAATGGTGACAGTATCATCTACTAAATCCATCAGAAGTGACGGTCCTGCTCCATTTTACAGGGAGTGGGAGACTTATTTGGGAAGGTGTCCCTGGAAGGCATTGGCCATTCAGTCAATAAATGTTGACATGGTGGTGATACTCTCAACACATCGGAACGGCGTCCAGCCTGTGAAGTAGAGAAGGTAGGTTGTGCAACTTCTTAATCTGTTTGCTAAGAGTAGCCACTTCTTCTCTATAGACCTCTGGGAGTAAACAATTGTTGCATTGGAACTCCGGTTGGTCCACATTGTCCCGGAAGAGAGCATAGTAAATACAGCTCCTGCAGCGCACCAAAGCTACATGGAACTGGAAATCCTCCATGTAAATAGTTATCTCTGCGACACAGATTATGTTGCTATGTTTCCACATAGCAAGAAAATCAGTGTTGCAGAGATAACTATTTACATTCAGAGTATTGAGATGCAGAACAGCCTCAATTCATTGGGGAATGGACTCTACAAGGTGTCGAAGCGTTCCACAGGGATGCTGGCCCATGTTGACTCCAATGCTTCCCACAGTTGTGTCAAGTTGGCTGGATGTCCTTTGGGTGGTGGACCATTCTTGACACACATGGGAGCGTGAAAAACACAGCAGCTTTGCAGTTCTTGACAAACCGGTTGTGCCTGGCACGTACTACCATACCCCGTTCAAAGGCACTTAAATATTTTATCTTGCACATTCAACCCTCTGAATAGCACCCATACACAATCCATGTCTTAATTGGCTCAAGGTTTAAAAATCCTTCTTTAACCCGTCTCCTCCCATTCATCTACACTGATTGAAGTGGATTTAACAAGTGACATCAATAAGGAATTATAGCTTTAACCTGGAGTCACCTGGTCTGTCTATGTCATGGGAAGAGCAGATGTTCATAATGTTTTGTACACCTAGTGTATGTGTTTAATATACTATCCACATAAGAAAGTGTCTGATCACAGAACATTCCATAGAATTCTAGAAAAATACCACCGGTCACTAAAACGTCTGTAACTCATTCACAGTAAAAGGTATTACTATGCTGATTGCAGATTATCAATCTGGAAGACTCAATATGCTCTTCATTAGGAAGTTGTGTAAATGGCAGTTGTTTTGGAAAAAAAGCATATAAGCACACATTTGCACAGGTGTTTTTTCTTGACTGATTGCCATTTGATTGATGTGGTGCTATTTATTGCATGTCATATCATTTGAAAGGGCTGTTTTTCAGCTTTCAAAATATGTATAATGTTTTCATATATGGTTTGACACCAGCAAAGCATGCTCATTAACGTACACAGAGGTCATGGTCTCAGTAAATTCAGGAATTCCAAAACTCTCCTACCGATGATGCAAAAATGCCAATATGGCGATTTACAGTTAGTCATAGAATTCGGAATTCGAATAAAAACATTTAAAAAGTAATTTAATAGGATCTCTATAGTTACAGTTAGCTGGTGTTCTAAAGCCTAGTGTTTCCATTCCCCTTTAACAGAGAGATCCTTTCTGCAATACCCTTCATGGTCTAGTAGTGGACCAGAAGATAGCAAATAAGCCTAAACATTCCATATATTAAGAACGGCATGACCCAGGTTATTTCACTGACATAGATTTATTGAAAAAGTACATATTGTAAATAATGTAGTTGATGAATACAAACATTTGTGAATAGTAAACACAAAAATGCAAAAGATTCAAGTCAGTGCAAATAATTCCTCATCAGTAGCTTTGATTGTTCAATATAGGTTTAAGATTGGTCTAATAATAACTAAGTATTTGAAAATTAAAAGTCTTATACAATGGAAATGAGCACTTACATAGATAAAGTCTATCCCAACAGCAAATCTACCACACACAATGTCCTAACACAAATTAAATGGAACTTATGAGAACTAAGTACATTTCTCATATAGATGTTTCATTCTCCGTCTGATCCTAATGCACTTGACTGTTCATCCATTTACGATGAGCGTACTGATCTGTCCAGGGAGGGTGTAGATGATGAGGATGAGAAAAACTAGCAGGATTGCCAGGATGAGTAGAGCGATGATGTACTTCTTGTATTTCTTCCAAATGAAGAAGATGAAGGTCTTCATGGGGTTGATAAACCAGTTGAAGGTTGTCTTGGGGCGACTAATAAAAAGGTAGAATGAGGAAAGAGACAAAATGAACAAAAAAGTGAGTAATGTTTCCCAGTTTCAAGGAAATTTAATTTGTATACATTAGGCTATGACATGGTGTGAGCAGTAGGACTCAGGTGTAGAGTTTGCACCGATTTCTCCAGGGGGGTTGGAAGATAGGGAAAAAGGTCAAGTAAAAGTAGAAAAAGGAATAAGGCATTAAAGTAAAGAATACATTAATAAATGTTAATGTTTTAGCTTTGTTTTCAGTGTAAACCTAGCAAATTGCACAAAGTGTGCCCTACCGACCAGATTCAATCAAACCTTCTATACTGTAGCAATGTTTAAATGCAGTCTATGACCCCATTTACACCTTGTATTAAAAATGTGAACGGTATGTGCATTTGTATTCGCTTAACAACAAACACATGTTAATGCCAGATCAAATGTGCTCAATGGCCCCGATTACGACCTGAGTTAAGCACGCGTAAATGTAACATTATTCCCTTTTTATGCACTTTTCACTCTATGCGTATTTTGTCCTTGAACTTAAGCTATTCACCCGCTATTCGTTCAGGGTGGAGATCTAAGAAATGAAGGTGTGGTAGAGGTGTCTTCAGATAAGCCGTATTCTGACCTTGACTTAATTTCACCACCGTTACGCACGAGGAAACCATAAATAAGGTTTAGCGAACCTACCGGTTCCAAGTGGAAAAAGCATCTACTAAATGTTTTCCTATATAAATAACAGCATTCTCCATGCACTGTAATTTACAAATGCATAAGAGCTATTGATAAGAGCTAGGTAAATGAATAATCAGTTTGGAGAATGGGGATTGTAAATACACATAGCAATTGTTTTAGATGATTTTTCCTTATGAGCACTGTGAAACCAGCCATATGGAAGCTAACTGAAAATCATAACATGACATGTATTGTGGCTATACAGTGCCTTCGGAAAGTATTCAGACCTCTTCCACATTTTGTTACGTTACAGCCTTATTATAAAATGGATTAAATAAAATAAAAATCTCTGCAGTCTACACACAATACCCCATAATGACAAAGCGAAAACAGGTTTTTAGATTATTTTTTTTAGATTCTGTTTTCATTGATCATCCTTGAGATGTTTCTACAACTTGATTGGAGTCCACCTGTGGTAAATCTAATTGATTGGACATTATTTGGAAAGGCAGACACCTGTCTGTATAAGGTCACACAGTTGACAGCGTATATCAGAGCAAAAACCAAGCCATGAGGTCGAAGGAATTGTCCGTAGAGCTCCGAGACAGGATTGTGTCAAGGCACAGATCTGGGGAAGGGTACCAAAGACCAAGAACCCGATGGTCACTCTGATAGAGCTCTACAGTTCCTCTGTGGAGATGGGAGAACCTTCCAGAAGGACAACCATCTCTGCAGCACTCCACCATTAAGGCCTTTATGGTAAAGTGGCCAGACGGAAGCCACTCCTCAGTAAAAGGCACATGACAGCCCAATTGGAGTATGCCAAAAGGCACCTAAAGACTCTCAGACCATGAGAAACAAGATTCTCTGGTCTGATGAAACCAAGATTGAACTCTTTGGCCAAGCGTCATGTCTGGAGGAAACCTGGCTCGATCCCTACGGTGAAGCATGGTGGTGGCCGCATCATGCTGTGGGGATGTTTTTCAGCGGCAGCGACTGGGAGACTAGTCAGAATTGAGGCAAAGATGAACAGAGTAAAGTACAGAGAGATCCTTGATGAAAACCTGCTCCAAAGCACTCACAACCTCAGACTGGGGTGAAGGTTCACCTTCCAACAGGACATTTCTAAAAACCTGTTTTTGCTTCGTCATTATGGGGTATTGTGTGTAGATTGATGACAAAAAACACACACAATTTAATCAATTTTAGAATAAGGCTGTAAAATAACAAAATGTGGAAAAAGTCAAGGGGTCTGAATACTTTCCGAATGCACTGTAGCTGTGCCGGTATTCAGAATTTTTATTGTGTCATAATTTGAATGGATGAAATCTGGACACCCAAGCTATTTGATGTATGTTTTAATTATAGTCTACAGTATGCCCGGGCTATACTCCATTTTATTTTACAATTTGTATCATGTTAAATACTAGCCACTATCGGGAGCCACCGTCAGTAATGCCCACATATATTTAGAACTGTCACTTTAGTGTTCGTTGTCTTCAATTTGTAGATTACATTTTGCATCATTCCATTCTGTTTACCTTTCCTTCCTCTGTCACGTCTGTGTAAGTTGTTCCTGAGGGTCGCTAGCATTAGTGGATCATATTAGGCTACCGTTGTGCAATAATTCGGGTAATGTAGCCTATTTGAATCATTATGGAACTCAGACCACATGTAGCAGGTTAAACCTGGAGCCTGGAGCACGGTTCACCACGACTGGACCGTTGTCATACAGTTCCATGATTAGTGAGGATTAGGGTAGATTTATAGGACTATTGTTCAACCCCTATTGTACACTTTTTTCCATTTCCAATATTTCATGGATTGAACTTGAATGAGACAACTTTCAGGATGAATCAAACCACTATTTTTTATTCAGCAATATATTTAGTGCGTAAAGGCTCTCCAAACCAGTTTTTTAAATGATTCATACATACTTTCCTAACCCTAAAATGTGCGTAAATAATCTACAAGATCAGAGTATTTTTGTTGGCTATTATGCCCGTGTGCAGTGAATTTTTATGTTTGTACAATTGCGTTTTGTGGGCTAAGCCAGGTTTGCAGTGAAGTAGCAGTAGAACCTTAAACGTTTTATGACTTTATTATCAGGTGTGGGTCCGTGTGTAATCTTTTATGCCCCTGTGTGCAGTGAATTTGCATGTTTGTACAATTGCGTTTCATTGGGCTAGGCCCTATTTGCAGTGAATACTAGTAGAACCTTTGATGTTCAGTTCTCCTTAAACGTATACCTCACTGGTGTGTGTAGTGTCACCTTTTAGCACCTTCGTCGGGTTAACAGGGTTACAGAGACTGCAGGAATTGAGTAGGTCGCCTACCATTTCATGCATGCCGTTTTATGAAATTGTGTAGTTAATAAAGATCATTGTTTGCTACATTTGTATTTGCTAAATCTGTATTGAGTTTTGGTGTCCTATCCTTTGATGCTGGACCATACCGGTCAAACAAAGGTGGTGGCAGCATCACTCTACTCTGCTCAATCCAACACTTGCCCCACCTCTTGGGTGGTCTAGCGAGTTTTCTTACAAGACTTTCCCCATCAATTAATTTCATACATTTCATACATTGTGTCTTCGCATTATCCGGTAGGCTATAGGTGATGTTATGTCGGACATTTTGCTACAGGACTTTTTGAAAGAGTATAGACTTATCTTGTCGCAATAAAAAAAGCTATCAGATTATGAAATGACAGGTGCATTGTGTGAGCTCTCCAGGCTGTGCTTCCAACTCTCCTACTGATTAGGCCTATGTTTTTAGGGACAAGACAGTTATCCTATCTATCCTACCTACAACAACACAATGCAATGAATATTAAAATATTCAACCTGTAGTGATAATTGCGTTGTTTTCTCTATGATACATTGCAATTGCATTCATACACCACCGTGATATATACAGTAAGGCCGACAAGCCATACATCTTCTACAGACCAACTAGCTCTCACAGTCTCACGTCAGAATTAGACGTTCATCCATGTTACTCAAATGTCCAATTTCAAAGTTGTTGCAAACGTCCAATTTTGAAGTGTTTAAGGTTAAGTTTAGGCATGAACTCCGAATTGTTAAGGTAAGGGTTAAGGTTTGGTATAGGCTTAAAACAGAAATCTCAAAAACAACTTTCTATTGCTGGATTCGAACTTGCAAAAGAGGAAAATGCTTACGCCCATCCACCATCCCTGTCCACAACTCCCTAGCAAAACCGAAACCTACTTGAAGGTAACAGCGCTCACTGTTGCCCATTGTGGCTTGTTTCCACATCATCTCCCGACATCCTCAGACACGGATGGACGTCGAATACTGACTTGTATCGCGGGTGACCTGGCTTTTACAGACACTGTTCCAGAAAACAACAGTTGGCGTAAACAGTGGCAGAATACATTCAACCACATAGCCTAGGCTATTTGTGTTCATCACAGTTAAAACCGGAGAGCAACATCTGTTTGGTAAAGTCCCCAAAGCAAATATTGCATGTAACAGTTACATGACTTACACAGCATGATCAAATGCAAGTTCATATAATAATAATAATAATAATAATAATAATAATCTTGGCCCAAATGTCACTATCGTTTTGCTTAACTTGTAGGCTAATAAAGTCCTCACTAAAATGTTTCTGAAGCAGCAAGATTATTATAATGGGAAATACAACTGCAATGCACTTCAACTTTGACATGTTGCAGGCTAAGTATAGGGAGAAGCCCCCAGATTACTGACGGTAACCCTACATTAAAAAGGCGCACACCTATTGTTTTAGGACCACAGACAGTTACTGTAAGTCATGCAAAAAGTGCTGCCTCTGCTATTTCCGCACCACCAGCTGGGCTGGACACTGCGAACAACGAGCACATTCCCACGAATCACAATATGCAATAAACCTATGCAGAATATATGCCCGCAGTTTAGCACACAATAGGTAAATAGTTATTGCAATATTGTGGCGAAGATGGTAGCAAATATCGGTCAAAGGGATGATGGAAACGAATGAATGAAATTGCACTCCAAAATGACATGTCGCCAGTGTGCTCTGAAGAAGAAACAATGTAGCCTAACAAAATTGCTCGCAAAAGGGACCAATTTGAAGGGAGAGGCTTTGATAGAAGCGCTGGTACATTACAGCACAGTAGAGTACAGTACAGTAAAGAAAAGTAGAGTATAGTATAGTTCAGCACAGTACAGTCCTGTAGAGTAGAGTTCAGTATAGTACACAGGGGAGCACACTAGAGTTGAGTACACTATAATGTACTGTACTATCCTCTACTGTACTCTACTGAACAATACTGTACTGAACTCTACTGTACTGTACTCTACTTTACTGTTCTATGCTGTACTATACTGTACTCTTCTGAGCTCTACTGTGCTGTATGTTGATGTCCAAACTTGTGAAACATGGACTTCTATGTTTGGTTCAGATTTGGTCCGGTCTGTAACAACCAAATGTGGTCTTGTTTGGTGGCAGAGCTCATTAAAATAAAGCCAGTGTGTAGAATAATACCCAAATATGCAAAGGAGGATATTGCAGATTTCTGCCTTTGTGTACCTATTTATGACATTCATATCCATAATTCTGCATTTCTGTTTAGTACAGAACAGGGACCCATGATGAAATCATGGCCTGTGGCCATACAAACACGCCAAGCATAGGGTTGCCTTGGAAGATGGAAATGGGAAAATAATGGACCCGGTTTATAATAGCAAAAAGGCATTTCAGGGGTTTGTGGTATATGGCCAATATACCATGGCTAAGGGCTGTATCCAAGCCTTAGCCATCGTTCCTAAGAACACGTCGTGCCTAAGAACAGCCCTTAGCCGTGGTATATTGGCCATATACCACACCCCCTCTGGCCTTATTGCTTAAATATACCACATCCCCTATGACCATGAAAGCTTTTTGCACAATTATGTTGATTGAATAGCATTATTTTAGTCCCTTACTTTGGTTTTTCAAGTGGCTCAGGTTCCTTGCGGGCTTTTCCCACAGGAGCCAGCTCTGCCTCCTCGAGGGTCACCAACTGGAACTCTGCCTCCACTTTTCCCTAAACAACAAAGAAAATACAAAGAGGAATCATATAGGGCCCTGTGTCTTGCACAATCATATGTGACATGCCTGGACTTTAACCTTATTACCCTATTTAAGGTTTTTCATCAAATAATCCCCTTTTCATTTCATGCCAGATGGTCCAGCAACATCCTCAGACAATTGCTTTCATTTTTTGTGTAATTCTAATTTCTGGATAAGGCTTAAAATACAGGATACAATCTTGCTATGTCACATGACTACACAGGGCCCTAATCACAACACACATCCAGAAAGGTTATATTTAAGCCCTACACGTATCACTACCACCAATTCCAAACTAAGTCCAGGCTCGACCGAAGCTGCTGGAAGTCATTAACCTCTAGCTATTTGATTTGGAATTTTAGGACCTCTTTAGGTATAAAAATATATTTATTTATATTGAATTTGGCCTTTACTACACAGAACAAAAATATTTACATTTACATTTACATTTTAAACGCAACATGTAAAATGTTGGTCCCATGTTTCATGAGCTGAAATAAAAGATCCCAGAAATTTTCCATACACACATAAAGCTTATTTCTCTTAACTTTTGTGCACACATTTGTTTACAACCCTGTTAGTGAGCGTATTAAACTGACGGATTTTGATGGGGATTCTTTTATTATGTTTCTTAGATTGACGCACGGATGCGTCAATAGCCTCTTAAGGATAACTGCCCTGCACTTTAAAAGTGTCTGGAACTTTGAAAGTGGAAGGTAATGTATAAAATACCTAACTTCCATGGAGTTTGGGCTAACTAGGATCCTCCCCATAACCTCAGCTATTACTATGTGACCCACACCAGGATTTACTCCTGCCCAGCCATAATAACCCTCCAGGTTAGTTATAATCTCATAATGCATTACCATAAGGAGATAAGTGCTCCCACTGCTGTCTACAAACTGAAGGTCCTCCGGCTTCATCTTGCTGTGCTTGCTCTTTTTCTTCTTTCTTCTTGTTCTTCTTTGCCTCTTCAGCCTCCTTCTCCTCCCTCTCAATGTCCTCCTGACTCTTGAGCTTGATGAGGGGCCACCATCCTTTCATCCTCTTGCTACGGAAGATCGAGAAGCGGGGGCTGGCCTTGTCCTTGGCCATCTGTATGCTGCACTGCCCTGAGGTCTTGGCCGCCCGCACCATGTCGTTCAGACGCAGCTCAATGGAGCCTGGGAGAGAGAGGTGACAGAGGGGAGGGAGCAACCTTTAGCAGGTGAAGAGTATCACGCTAAGAAAAAGTTTTCCTGCCATTTTAATATCTATCCCAAAAGGAGTCGACATCACAGCAATCAACAGTATTTTTTCCCAAGTTTTTTTAGTAGTGACGTGAATGAATGGAAACCAATAGGATGCTAACATTAAATGTCTAACAGGGTACAGTTTGTAATCGCAGCCTTGCGCTTCTGTCAGTGCCAGGTGTGTGAGATCGCAATTAAGAGTGTGGCCTTCATTATAAAAATAGCTGTTTGTTCATTCAGCAGATCTCATTGCTGTGAGAAGGTTGGCATGCACAGGGAAAACAGGAGGGGTGGTCAATTGAATATGTTTACAGGCACACTAGTAATTCGATATTAAACTGATTATGGCATTAGTCATGTAAACACCTTACTTTGCTTAAATTAAATCGGTGTAATGTCATAATTGAAGTACGCATACACCAATTAAAACCTGGTTTTCTGAGCAATCTTTCGAATTATTAGGTCATGTAAATAGCTTAATCAGAGTTCCAGTAGTGTATTTGATCTGCGCATGTGCTAGCACCAGCAGCGCAAGCCTCCCTCTTATGCATGATTGAAGTGTGTTTGGAGAAAGTATGCATTTTAGAAATAGTTTTCACATACAAACGTTATATTTATATGTTTGAGTAAAGGCAGTGTGTCTATGTACAGTGGGGGAAAAAAGTATTTAGTCAGCCACCAATTGTGCATGTTCTCCCACTTAAAAAGATGAGAGAGGCCTGTAATTTTCATCATAGGTACACGTCAACTATGACAGACAAAATGAGATTTTTTTTCTCCAGAAAATCACATTGTAGGATTTTTAATGAATTTATTTGCAAATTATGGTGGAAAATAAGTATTTGGTCAATAGCAAAAGTTTCTCAATACTTTGTTATATACCCTTTGTTGGCAATGACACAGGTCAAACGTTTTCTGTAAGTCTTCACAAGGTTTTCACACACTGTTGCTGGTATTTTGGCCCATTCCTCCATGCAGATCTCCTCTAGAGCAGTGATGTTTTGGGGCTGTCGCTGGGCAACACGGACTTTCAACTCCCTCTAAATATTTTCTATGGGGTTGAGACCTGGAGACTGGCTAGGCCACTCCAGGACCTTGAAATGCTTCTTACGAAGCCACTCCTTCGTTGCCCGGGCGGTGTGTTTGGGATCATTGTCATGCTGAAATACCCAGCCACGTTTCATCTTCAATGCCCTTGCTGATGGAAGGAGGTTTTCATTCAAAATCTCACGATACATGGCCCCATTCATTCTTTCCTTTACACGGATCAGTCGTCCTGGTCCCTTTGCAGAAAAACAGCCCCAAAGCATGATGTTTCCACCCCCATGCTTCACAGTAGGTATGGTGTTCTTTGGATGCAACTCAGCATTCTTTGTCCTCCAAACACGAAGAGTTGAGTTTTAACCAAAAAGTTCTATTTTGGTTTCATCTGACCATATGACATTCTCCCAATCCTCTTCTGGATCATCCAAATGCACTCTAGCAAACTTCAGACGGGCCTGGACATGTACTGGCTTAAGCAAGGGGACACGTCTGGCACTGCAGGATTTGAGTCCCTGGCGGTGTAGTGTGTTACTGATGGTAGGCTTTGTTACTTTGGTCCCAGCTCTCTGCAGGTCATTCACTAGGTCCCCCCGTGTGGTTCTGGGATTTTTGCTCACCGTTCTTGTGATCATTTTGACCCCACGGGGTGAGATCTTGCGTGGAGCCCCAGATCGAGGGAGATTATCAGTGGTCTTGTATGTCTTCCATTTCCTAATAATTGCTCCCACAGTTGATTTCTTCAAACCAAGCTGCTTACCTATTGCAGATTCAGTCTTCCCAGCCTGGTGCAGGTCTACAATTTTGTTTCTGGTGTCCTTTGACAGCTCTTTGGTCTTGGCCATAGTGGAGTTTGGAGTGTGACTGTTTGAGGTTGTGGACAGGTGTCTTTTATACTGATAACAAGTTCAAACAGGTGCCATTAATACAGGTAACGAGTGGAGGACAGAGGAGCCTCTTAAAGAAGAAGTTACAGGTCTGTGAGAGCCAGAAATCTTGCTTGTTTGTAGGTGACCAAATACTTATTTTCCACCATAATTTGCAAATAAATTCATTAAAAATCCTACAATGTGATCTTCTGGATTTTTTTTCTCAATTTGTCTGTCATAGTTGACGTGTACCTATGATGGAAATTACAGGCATCTCTCATCTTTTTAAGTGGGAGAACTTGCACAATTGGTGGCTGACTAAATACTTTTTTTCCCCACTGTATGTGGATGACTCAACACGATACACGTCAGTTACTACAGCGAGTGAATTCACTGCAACACCTAACAAAGAGCTGCAGTCAGTTTCAGAATGGGTGGCAAGAAATAAGTTAGTCCTAAATATTTCAAAAACTAAAAGCATTGTATTTGGGACAAATCATTCACTAAACCCTAAACCTCAACCAAATCTTGTAATTAATAATGTGGAATTTGAGCAAGTTGAGGTGACTAAACTGCTTGGAGTAACCCTGGATTGTAAACTGTCATGGTCAAAACATATTGATGCAACAGTTACTAAGATGGGGAGAAGTCTGTCCATAATAACGCGCTGCTCTGCCTTCTTAACAACACTATCAACAAGTTAGGTCCTACAGGCCGTAGTTTTGCACACCTGGACTACTGTCCAGTCGTGTGGTCAGGTGCCACAAAGATGGACTTAGGAAAAATTTCAGCACGGCTGGCCCTTAAATGTACACGGAGAGCTAACATTAATGTCAATCTCTCATGGCTCAAAGTAGAGGAGATTGACTTCATCACTACTTATTTTTAAAGAAGTATTGACATGCTGAATGCAACGAGCTGTCTGTTTAAACTACTAGCACACAGCTCGGACACCCATGCATACCCCACAAGACATGCCACCAGTGGTCTCTTCACAATGCCCAAGTCCAGAACAGAGTATGGGATGCGCACAGTACTACATAGAGCCATGACTACATGGAACTCTATTCCACATCAAGTAATTGATGCAAGCAGTAGAATCAGATTTAAAAAACTGATAAAAATACACCTTATGGAACAGCGGGGACTGTGAAGAGAGACACACACAGGCACAGACACACACATACACATGCTAACACACGCACTCTACACACACAGATTTTGTATTGTAGATATGTGGTAGTAGAGTAGTGGCCTGAGTGCACACACTTAATGTGTTGTGAAAAGTGTTATGAAATGTAATGTCATGTAATATTTGTAATTGTATATAACTGCCTTAATGTTGCTGGACCCCAGGAAGAGTATCCTTAATAAATACAAATGTCCGAACTCAGAATCAACTAGGCTTCACAGCTTGGTGGAACGTTTATTTTGTTATTCTGCATTTATCAAAGTCCCTGTCACGGTTTCGGCCGAGGCTGCTCCTTCTCCTTGTTCGGGCAGGCTTCGGCGGTCGTCGTCTCCGGAGTACTAGCTGCCACCGTTCTTTGTTTTCGATGTTTGTTTGGTTTGGTCTGTTTGGTACACCTGTTCTCGTTTAGTGTTGATTATGTGTCCTTTAAGTTCTCGTTGTTTCTGTCATGTGTTTGTGTGTAGTTGTTCTTTTGTCAGCTGGAGCAGTCAGTACATTTTTTCTCTATTTGTTTTGTGTATAGAGAGTCCGCACTTGTTGTGCGCGTTTGGTGCATTTAGCTCGTTTACGCAGTGTGCGTAATTTTCTCGTGCCTCCGGCTCTTTTTTGTAGCCGTGTCATTTTGTCTTTACTAAAGACTTTTGGACTAAGCCTCTGTGTCCTGCGATTGATTCCTACACCACATCCACGCCTTCTGACAGAACTACAAACCTTTCATGGAATCAGCAGGAGCAGCAGCAGCGACCGAGTCATGGGAGGAGCGCGTCCGCGGACAGGATGACAGGATAGCCCAAATCACAACCGCTCTGCAGGGAGTGATGAATACCCTGCATCGACTGGAGACCAGTTGGGTACCCGCGCCTCCTCCTACCTTACCACCATCACCGGTCAGTCCGTTCGTCCAAGCTCCGGAACCCAGTGGGATTCGGCTCTCGCTCCCGAGGGCGTATGATGGCACCGCTGCCGGGTGTCAGGGTTTTCTCCTACAAGTAGAACTCTACCTAGCCACCGTACACCCGGCGCCCTCGGGACACGAGAGCGTTTCCGCCCTCATCTCCTGTCTCACCGGCAAGGCGTTGGAATGGGCCAACGCCGAATGGAGGAGGATAGACGCCGCGACGATCACCTATGCGGAGTTCTCCCGTCGCTTCAGGGCTGTGTTCGACCATCCACCTGAGGGGAAAGCGGCGGGAGAGCGTCTATTCTACCTCCGACAGGGGAGGAGGAGCGCCCAGGAGTTTGCACTAGAGTTCCGGACTCTAGCGGCAGATGCAGGGTGGAATGAGCGGGCCCTCATAGACCACTTCCGATGCAGCCTACGGGAGGACGTCCGTCGTGAGTTGGCTTGCAGGGACACCACCCTTACGTTTGACCAGTTGGTGGACATGGCCATTCGTCTCGACACCCTGCTGGCTACCCGCGGACGTCCTGAGTGGGGGTCGTCCATTCCACCCTCCAGCACCTCCGAGCCGAGTCCTATGGAGCTCGGGGGTGCTGGCGCTAGAGAGGAGAGGAGAAGGAGTCCAAAGGGGGCCACCCCCTGTACCAACTGTGGCCGTGGAGGACACACTGCGGCTAGGTGCTGGGGGGGGTCTCCAAGGGGACGAGACGGCAGGCCACGCACTGGGGAGTCCTTCTAGGTGAGTAGGCGCCCCACTTACCCAGAGCTCTCTGTTGTGCACCTAACCATACCTGTTTGTTTTCCACAGGTTGCACCTCGTTCCCAGCATAAGGCGCTAGTAGATTCAGGCGCAGCCGGGAATTTTGTAGATCGGAAATTTTGTGTACAGTTAGGGATTCCTCTCCTTCCTGTCAACAATCCTTTCCCTGTACATGCTCTAGATAGCCGTCCGTTGGGATCGGGGTTGATTAGGGAGGTCACAGCGCCACTTAGGATGGGGACGCAGGAGGGTCATGAGGAGACTATTCAGCTATATCTTATCGACTCTCCTGCGTATCCGGTGGTGCTGGGGCTTCCCTGGTTGATTACCCATAATCACTCTATTTCGTGGCAACAGAGGGCTCTTAAGGAGTGGTCTGCCCAGTGTGTGGGGCGATGTCTGGGTGTTTCCGTGGGGGCAACCTCGGTGGAGAGTCCAAACCAAGTGCCTGCAATGCACGTTCCCCCCGAGTATGAGGATTTAGCACTTGTGTTTAGCAAGGCGAGGGCGACGCAATTGCCACCACATAGACAGGGGATATGCATGGGCAAGGAGTGGTCGTGTACATTGACGACATTCTGGTGTACTCTTCTACCCGAGCCGAGCATGTAGCCCTGGTGCGCCGAGTGTTGAGGAGGTTGTTGGAGCATGACCTATATGTCAAGGCAGAGAAATGTCTGTTTTTCCAGGAGTCTGTCTCCTTTTTGGGTTATCAGTTGTCTGCGTCAGGGGTGAAGATGGAGGTTGACCGTGTGTCTGCCGTGCGTAATTGGCAAACCCCAACCACAGTTAAAGAGGTGCAGCGGTTCTTGGGCTTTGCGAATTACTACAGGAGGTTTATCCGGGGTTTTGGACAGGTGGCAGCTCCCATAACGTCCCTTCTTAAGGGGGGTCCGGTGCGCTTGCAGTGGTCTGCTGAGGCTGATAGGGCTTTTGGGAGACTGAAGGACCTGTTTACTTCGGCTCCGGTGCTGGCGCATCCGGATCCCGCGCTACCATTCCAGGTCGAGGTGGACGCGTCTGAGGCCGGTATAGGGGCCGTGCTCTCGCAACGGTCTGGCACGGCACCTAAACTCCGTCCCTGTGCCTTTTACTCTAAAAAGCTCAGCCCGGCGGAGCGAAATTATGACGTAGGGGACAGGGAGCTGCTAGCCGTGGTACAGGCCCTAAAGGTGTGGAGGCATTGGCAACACCCTTTCCTCATTTTGACTGACCACCGGAACCTGGAGTACATCCGGGCAGCTAGGAGACTGAATCCTCACCAGGCTCGGTGGAACATGTTTCAGGCCCGGTTCGTATTTAAGATCACGTACATCCCTGGGTCCCAGAACAGTAAGGCAGACGCCCTGTCCCGGCAGTATGACACGGAGGAGAGGTCCGTTGAGCCCACACCCATACTACCGCCTTGTCTGGTGGCACCAGTGGTGTGGGAAGTCGATTCCGAAATCGAGCGGGCGTTGCGTACCGATCCTAGTCCTCCCCAGTGTCCTGTGGGTCGGACGTACGTTCCGTTCGAGGTTCGGGATCGACTTATTTATTGGGCTCACACGTCACCCTCCTCTGGACATCCAGGTATTGGCCGGACAGTGCACTGCCTTAGCACTAAATACTGGTGGCCAACGTTAGCCAGGGATGTGAGGGTTTATGTTTCCTCCTGCTCGTTGTGTGCCCAGTGTAAGGCACCCAGACACCTGCCCCGGGGTAAGTTACAACCCCTGCCCGTTCCACAACGACCCTGGTCTCACCTCTCGGTGGATTTTGTTACAGACCTTCCCCCCTCCCAGGGGAATACCACCATCCTGGTCGTTGTGGATCGGTTCTCGAAGGCCTGTCGTCTCCTTCCCATGCCGGGTCTCCCTACTTCCCTACAGACCACTGAGGCACTATTCACTCACGTCTTCCGGCTTTACGGGGTACCCGAGGATGTCCCATCAGGTAGCCTGATTTCAGATGTGTCCATGTAAACAGGATTATTAGAAAATTCATTCTTCTTACAAAGCATGTAAACAATGAAATATAACTATTATATTAATCTGACTATTCACAATAATCGTAATATTGTGTGCATGTGTATCAAGTTAATTATGGTGATAGAGTAATTGTACGTGTGACAGCTCTGAAGATTTAGTTATTTATACTTATATGCGGAGCACTCCGATGTTAATTATTGATGTGTGAAACTACGAATTTATTGAATACAAAGCTGATCCTAAAACTATTAATTGCTGCTGCAGAAAATAAAATGACTTCTATTGCAATCTCGTTGTGTGCTTGTTATTTCCATGTTCTACCCCTGTTGGTAAAGAACCTGTGTGCTTTATAGTATTTCAGATCTTAACGTAATTATCAAAGGACCGATCACCTCTCCAAAAAGGTGACGTACCGGCTACAACTTTCAACTGGTCCCATTATGCTAACATGACAAACTGTGGTAATTAAATAAATTTGTTGATTGCTGTGATAAATCGTTTGTGGTGTCCTTCTGAGGTAAGAAGATGGTTAAGATGCCAGGAAACTGTCACTTTAAAGTAATTTTTTTGTATGACTATTTATGAATTTCTGCTTGGACAGTATGAATATAGACCAATGTTTATCATGCCAACACTCGCTCATGCCAACACTCACGACTAAGATCTGAACCTGTAGCAGCCTTTGCCTTCATTTCTCTATTAGTATATGTTTACTTGTAGGGATATACAGTGTTGAATTCTACTAAACAATCTAGAAACAAATCATTATATATTATGAAAAACATACACTAGATAAAGGATTGTGTTTGATTTAGTTTTGTCAACAGCACCATTAACTCTTCATATTTACATTTGTTCTACTTCATTAGAAGTGGAAAATACTTGATTAAGTCTTCATGAAAAGACCTGGGCCAGTAAATACTTTAAGTGGATACGTTGGTGCCTGGGCCAGTAAATACTTTAAGTGGATACGTTGGTGCCTGGGCCAATTAATAATTTAAACTGGATACATTGGTGCCTCTCGGGCAAATCAAAATGTTGATCGAGGACCTCTTTTTTAAGAAATGTTTTTCTTGAGTGCGTCTGTATTTTTGTTTTTTCCTGTATTTTGTAAAAGGTGTAAAATTGTAAAATGCTCCCTTGTGAAAAAGACCTTGGTCTTAATGGGACTCCCTGTTGAAATAAAGGTTTTAAAAAATCTATACAAAAATGAAGTGCTAATTTATAGTTTTTGTTTACTAGTAGTCGTTACATTCATCAGTAGTTCTGGTATTGTTTTCTTAGCCAATCTGAGCTGAGAACCTATAAGAGGAAAAAACAAAAAATCTAAATAATTTAATACTTACAATTCTATACTATACTTAGATACAATAATATATGCCATTTAGCAGGCACTTTTACCCAAAGCGACTTACAGCCATGCCTGCATAAATTATACGTATGGTTGGCCCCAGCGTAATCAAACCCTCAACACTTGGCGTAGCAAGCGCCATGCTCTACCGACTGAGCCACACAGGACAACAGAACCACAAAGATACAAACTCATCGTGACCTCTCACCCAGGAAGTCGTTTGCAGCGATGAGGTCATAGTCCCAGACCTGAAGCACAAGAACAGCAGGCTGGCGGAACTCAGATTCCTCCAGAGAGAAGATTGACTCCTTTTTCGTATAGGTGATCTCTTTCTCTGTGGGGAGGTAGTTGAACCGGAAGACAAAACGCCAGTTGAAGTTCCCCTCCCCAGTCAAGGAGTTGAAGTGGACATCAGTCTCCTGTTTGTTCCCATCTAAGCCTTTAATCCAGCTGTGTTCAGAGTGACAAACAATTCAACGTCAATTCACACAACATCTGTCTACAACTAATCTTTATATATCATCCATATAATCAGAATCCAGTTACTGTACATCTGAGAGGCACATCTGGTAAGCACAACTCAAATGGCCCCATTGTTACATCTGGCATTTCATCACCGAATTGACTTACAAAAGAATTCCTCCATTTGGTTTACCAGGTTGTTCTGTGTGTGTGTGTGTGTGTGTGGTTTTTACTGACCCTTTCATGTATATATCACTGGATGGATTTCCAGTGAAGGGGTTGACATCATCCAGGACAACATCATCAGTATTCCATATGATCACGCGCAACTCATAGCTTTAGTGAGAGAGAAAAGCGAATGTTGCGGCGTTATATCTTTAGGATGTGGATCCTAGTATGTAGTAGTATGACATGGTGCCTCACGGACACTGTAAAATGTATCTTTGAACACTCAAAGATACATTTTGGATCAGTCTGGATTACCTTATAGGCAGCCGGGGTTTGATATCGATAGGTGGAGGTGCTGGTACGTCCATAGGAAACATATCGATCCACATGTGAGCGTAGCCCTGAAAGCACCGGGCACAGAGCAGTCAGGACAAGGACTAGTGAAAGAAAATGCTTCCTAAACCAAAGTGTTCCGGGGTAATCCCTGGAACACCAACATCTCCATGTCTAAAATGTGTGGTTACATTAAACACAAATCAGGTCATTCACTAACACTTGTCCAGGCCATCAAGGGCAGCTTTTGTAGCCCTTTCCTGCAGCCAAATGACCTAGTGGCCTCATGGGTGGAATTGTATTAATCTTTTTCATATACATACATAATTAATAAACATTTTTACAAATGTAACGCTGAAAATCCAGTGTTTCTATGTCAAACTGTTTCGTTATATTTCAGTCTTCTGTGATGTATATTAAGTGTAATATTGGGATGCAAACTCAAAATTCAATACATTTCAACTCCATATCTGACATAGTACAGGTGTCATTTTTTAATCCCATAACCATGTGTGTGAGGTGTATACTTTTGTTTCAAAGTAGATGTGTTTAAGACTACCAAGAAACACTCTGTGTGACCCTGATTTAGCCCACTGCAGGAAAAGGTTCATGCCTCCCGGGCACCCTGAAGCACTGAGTGTGACGCCCCATAGAGGAATTTTGTTTTGGGACTGGATTCACCCTTAAGATACATTTATAACAAATGCAAGACCACTCACCCATCACTCTGATCTATCCGATATGGTGAAGTGGCCCTCCCTTCCTACGAGAAGGACTACTGCCTACTTATCTGTGCTCCTTAATAATAAGGTCATCACAAACTTATAGTCTCTGTTCTCAGCTACTACTATCTTTCACTGTTCCTAAGGCCAAGACTAAATATGTGAAAAATATTATTTTCCTATATTGCTCCTTGGTCTTGGAACGATCTGCAAAATACTTTAAAACTGGAGGAGAGGGTATCGCTTGCTGAATTTAAAGCTCTGATAGAAGAAAATGTTGTTGACCATATATTGTATTTTGCTCTTGTGTTATGTACACACTGACTACTTCCTGCTGACCTCTTGCCAGGTCTCCCTCGCAAAAGAGGTTTCTAACCTCAAGGGTTTTTCCTGGTTAAATAAAGGTTAAATAAATACAATGTTGCTAGAGTGCTGACAAACTTTTCTGTCCAAGCACTGGGGTGTCATTTCTCAAAAATCCTAAATAAACAACTTTTGAGCACTTTGTAACCGCCTCCTTGATCTGGTCACGTGACATGTGGCTTATCAAGGAGCAGAGGTGAAGAGCCCAAGCAAGGCAGCCGTATACAGAGTTCTTAAAAGTAGTTTATTTCAGTCACACAATTCCCAGACAAGGCTTATTTGCATTGCAATTTTCACTTTACGTGGGAGGAAAGCACACTAGCACTTTGTTTAAAGATTATGTATTTGAATACATGTCTGACATGCTTTTAAAGCCTTGTTTTCACTGCAGGCCTTAATGCTCAAATCAGTTTTGTTTTTAAAATCCATTTTATAATAATGACTGTCCTAACAGTAAGTTACAAGTGACCAAATCGGATGTGTGTGTGTTCAGACTGTAGTAATTTGCAGACGTGGCTACGCTACATGTCATGGTAATGGCGGTGTGTGTGCAGTGGTGTAGACTGATTGATGGTGGTGCTCGTGCTTCTTCTCACTCAGAAGTTGTTGTGTAGCAAGCTAAGGTGACAACAATGCCTGCCATGGAAGTTGTTCTAAATCATAGTGTAAAGGCCTTTGCAGACTGTACTATTTTATGTCACAATTTTGCCGCCCCAACCAAGATGTCCACGTCGTGGGCAAATTCTTAGGTCGTAACGTCTTGGCTCGTTCAGTGTGACAGGGTCTAGGTCTGCCGATGAAGTACCGCTACGTGTCCGATTTGTTTTGCCTTGATCCTGTAGTGTGTGGCTGGTGTTACGAGCCGATCCCAGTGACTGACCAACAGGAACACGGCCGGCACTGAGTATGCGCACAATAATATGATTATTAGGAATAGTCCGATTAATATAATAGTTTGATTTAAATGTTTAGCTAACATGCTGTGCAAGAAGAACGATTTCCCTAACAATCTTGTTTACATGACACATCTTGAAATCAGGCTCCCTGATGGGATTTTGATGAATGCACAAAATCGGCACTCAAAATAAACGTTCTACCACAGCGACCATGTTATTTTGGGGAAGCCTATTTGAATCTGAGTTCAGACATATATAAAGTTTGTATGTGAAAAGTATTTCTAAGATGCATACTTAAAGTTTTTCCAAACTCACTTCACTAGCGCATAAGCATAGAGTGAGGCTTGCGCTGCTGGGACATGCGCAGATCAAAAACACTACCACAGTTGACGTAGCCTGCGTTGGCTGACGTAGCCTTGCAAACCAATTGCAGGATGTGACGACATAACTGAAGTAAATCGTACAATCTGGCCAGGTTGATAGCAAGATATTTATTTGGTAACATTGCACAGTGTGACGTGATATTCGTAAAATACTGAATCCGACATACAGTCTGCAAAGGCCTTAAGATCACTTTTAAAGCTAGCTGTTTAGCTTGCTAGAACATTCACTAATTTGTTTGTAAACAATTAACAAGCTAGTTAGCTACCACATGTTCTTGTCAAACTGTCAACAGAGTGACAAGATACAGTGAGGGAAAAAAGTATTTGATCCCCTGCTGATTTTGTACGTTTGCACACTGACAAAGAAATGATCAGTCTATAATTTTAATGGTAGGTTTATTTGAACAGTGAGAAACAGAATAACAACTAAAAAATCCAGAAAAACGCATGTAAAATTTTTATAAATTGATTTGCATTTTAATGAGGGAAATAAGTATTTGATCCCCTCTCAATCCGAAAGATTTCTGGCTCCCAGGTGTCTTTTATACAGGTAACGAGCTGAGATTAGGAGCACACTCTTAAAGGGAGTGCTCCTAATCTCAGTTTGTTACCTGTATAAAAGACACCTGTCCACAGAAGCAATCAGTCAATCAGATTCCAAACTCTCCACCATGGCCAAGACCAAAGAGCTCTCCAAGGATGTCAGGGACAAGATTGTAGACCTACACAAGGCTGGAATGGGCTACAAGACCATCGCCAAGCAGCTTGATGAGAAAGTGACAACAGTTGGTGCGATTATTCACAAATGGAAGAAACACAAAATAACTGTGAATCTCCCTCGGCCTGGGGCTCCATGCAAGATCTCACCTCGTGGAGTTGCAATGACCATGAGAACGGTGAGGAATCAGCCCAGAACTACACGGGAGGATCTTGTCAATGATCTCAAGGCAGCTGGGACCATAGTCACCAAGAAAACAATTGGTAACACACTACGCCGTGAAGGACTGAAATCCTGCAGCACCCGCAAGGTCCCCCTGCTCAAGAAAGCACATATACATGCCCGTCTGAAGTTTGTCAATGAACATCTGAATGATTCAGAGGAGAACTGGGTGAAAGTGTTGTGGTCAGATGAGACCAAAATGGAGCTCTTTGGCATCAACTCAACTCGCCGTGTTTGGAGGAGGAGGAATGCTGCCTATGACCCCAAGAACACCATCCCCACCGTCAAACATGGAGGTGGAAACATTATGCTTTGGGGGTGTATTCAGACAGCTGATGTTCTGAAAGAGCTGCAAAATCTGGACCCCTACAAATCATCTGGGCTAGACAATGTGGACCCTTTCTTTCTAAAACTAGCCGCCGAAATTGTCGCAACCCCTATTACTAGCCTGTTCAACCTCTCTTTCGTAATGTCTGAGATCACCATAAATTGGAAAGCTGCCATGGTCATCCCCCTCTTCAAAGGGGGTGACACTCTAGATCCAAACTGTTACAGACCTATATCCATCCTGCCCTGCCTTTCGAAAGTTTTTGAAAGCCAAGTTAACAAACAGATTTTCCAACCGTACCTTCTCCGCTATGCAATCCGGTTTCCGAGCTGGTCATGGGTAACACGTCAGCCACGCTCAAGGTCCTAAACGATATTATAACTGCGATCGATAATAGACAGTACTATGCAGCCGTCTTCATCGACCTGGCCAAGGCTTTCGACTCTGTCAACCACCGCATTCTTATTGGCAGACTAAATAGCCTTGGTTTCTCAAATGACTGCCTCGCCTGGTTCACCAACTACTTCTCAGATAGAGTTCAATGTGTCAAATCGGAGGGCCTGTTGTCTGGACCTATGGCAGTCTCTATGGGGGTGCCACAGGGTTCAATTATTGGGCCGACTCTTTTCTCTGTGTATATCAATGATTTCGCTCTTGCTGCTGGTGACTCTTAGATCCACCTCTACGCAGATGACACCATTTTGTATACATCTGGCCCTTCATTGGACACTGTGTTAACAAACCTCCAAACGAGCTTCAATGCCATACAACACTCCTTCAGTAGCCTCCAACTGCTCTTAAACACTAGTAAAACTAAATGCATGCTCTTCAATCGAACGCTGCTGGCACCCGCCCACCCGACTAGAATCACTACTCTCGACGGGTCTGACCTAGAGTATGTGGACAACTACAAATACCTAGGTGTCTGATTAGACTGTAAACTCTCCTTCCAGACTCACATTAAGAATCTCCAATCCAAAGTTAAATCTAGAATCGGCTTCCTGTTTCGCAACAAAGCCTCCTTCACTCATGCTGCCAAACATGCCCTCGTAAAACTGACTATCCTACCGATCCTTGACTTCGGCGATGTCATTTACAAAATAGCCTCCAACACTCGACTCAGCAAATTGGATGTAGTCTATCACAGTGCCATCCGTTTTGTCACCAAAGCCCCATGTACTACCCACCACTGTGACCTGTACGCTCTTGTTGGCTGGTCCTCACTACATATTCGTCGCCAAACCCACTGGCTCCAGGCTATCTATAAATCACTGCTAGGCAAATCCCCGCCTTATCTTAGCTCATTGGTCACCATAGCAACACCCACCCGTAGTATGCACTCCAGCAGGTATATCTCACTGGTCATCCCCAAAGCCAACACCTCCTTTGGCCGCCATTCCTTCCAGTTCTCTGCTGCCAATGACTGGAACGAATTGCAAAAATCTCTGAAGCTGGAGACTCTTATCTCCCTCACTAACTTTAAGCATCAGTTGTCAGAGCACCTTACCGATCACTGCACCTGTACACAGCCCATCTGAAATTAGCCCACCCAACTACCTCATCCCCATATTGTTATTTATTTTGCTCATTTGCACCCCAGTATCTTTATTTGCACATCATCTCTTGCACATCTATCATTCCAGTGTTAATACTAATTGTAATTATTTTGCACTATAGCCTATTTATTGCCTTACCTCCATAACTTGCTACATTTGCACACACTGTATATATATTTTTTTGTTGTATTTTTTGACTTTATGTTTTGTTTACCCCATATGTAACTCTGTGTTGTTGTTTTTATTGCACTGCTTTGCTTTATCTTGGCCAGGTCGCAGTTGTAAATGAGAACTTGTTCTCAACTGGCTTACCTGGTTAAATAAAGGTGAAATAAATATTTATATATATTTTTTAAGCCAGTCTCCAGACCTTAATCCCATAGAAAATCTGTGGAGGGAGCTGAAGGTTCGAGTTGCCAAACGTCAGCCTCGAAACCTTAATGACTTGGAGAAGATCTGCAAAGAGGAGTGGGACAAAATCCCTCCTGAGATGTGTGCAAACCTGGTGCCCAACTACAAGAAACGTCTGACCTCTGATTGCCAACAAGGGTTTTGCCACCAAGTACTAAGTCATGTTTTGCAGAGGGGTCAAATACTTATTTCCCTCATTAAAATGGAAATCAACTTATAAAAAATGTTACATGCATTTTTCTGGATCTTTTTGTTGTTATTCTGTCTCTCACTGTTCAAATACAGTGGAGGAAAAAAGTATTTAGTCAGCCACCAATTGTGCAAGTTCTCCCACTTAAAAAGATGAGAGAGGCCTGTAATTTTCATCATAGGTACACGTCAACTATGACAGACAAATTGAGATTTTTTTTCTCCAGAAAATCACATTGTATGATTTTTTATGAATTTATTTGCAAATTATGGTGGAAAATAAGTATTTGGTCACCTACAAACAAGCAAGATTTCTGGCTCTCACAGACCTGTAACAACTTCTTTAAGAGGCTCCTCTGTCCTCAACTCGTTACCTGTATTAATGGCAACTGTTTGAACTTGTTATCAGTATAAAAGACACCTGTCCACAACCTCAAACAGTCACACTCCAAACTCCACTATGGCCAAGACCAAAGAGCTGTCAAAGGACACCAGAATCAAAATTGTAGACCTGCACCAGGCTGGGAAGACTGAATCTGCAATAGGTAAGCAGCTTGGTTTGAAGAAATCAACTGTGGGAGCAATTATTAGGAAATGGAAGACATACAAGACCACTGATAATCTCCCTCGATCTGGGGCTCCACGCAAGATCTCACCCCGTGGGGTCAAAATGATCACAAGCAAAAATCCCAGAACCACACGGGGGTACCTAGTGAATGACCTGCAGAGAGCTGGGACCAAAGTAACAAAGCCTACCATCAGTAACACACTACGCCGCCAGGGACTCAAATCCTGCAGTGCCAGACGTGTCCCCCTGCTTAAGCCAGTACATGTCCAGGCCCGTCTGAAGTTTGCTAGAGTGCATTTGGATGATCCAGAAGAGGATTGGGAGAATGTCATATGGTCAGATGAAACCAAAATAGAACTTTTTGGTAAAAACTCAACTCGTCGTGTTTGGAGGACAAAGAATGCTGAGTTGCATCCAAAGAACACCATACCTACTGTGAAGCATGGGGGTGGAAACATCATGCTTTGGGGCTGTTTTTCTGCAAAGGGACCAGGACGACTGATCCGTGTAAAGGAAAGAATGAATGGGGCCATGTATCGTGAGATTTTGAGTGAAAATCTCCTTCCATCAGCAAGGGCATTGAAGATGAAACGTGGCTGGGTCTTTCAGCATGACAATGATCCCAAACACACCGCCCGGGCAACGAAGGAGTGGCTTCGTAAGAAGCATTTCAAGGTCCTGGAGTGGCCTAGCCAGTCTCTAGATCTCAACCCCATAGAAAATCTTTGGAGGGAGTTGAAAGTCCGTGTTGCCCAGCGACAGCCCCAAAACATCACTGCTCTAGAGGAGATCTGCATGGAGGAATGGGCCAAAATACCAGCAACAGTGTGTGAAAACCTTGTGAAGACTTACAGAAAACGTTTGACCTGTGTCATTGCCAACAAAGGGTATATAACAAAGTATAGAGAAACTTTTGTTATTGACCAAATACTTATTTTCCACCATAATTTGCATATAAATTAATTAAAAATCCTACAATGTGATTTTCAGGATTTTTTTTTCTCATTTTGTCTGTCATAGTTGACCTATGATGAAAATTACAGGCCTCTCTCATCTTTTTAAGTGGGAGAAGTTGCACAATTGGTGGCTGACTAAATAATTTTTTCCCCCACTGTAAACCTACCATTAAAATTATAGACTGATCATTTATTTTGTCAGTGGGCAAACGTACAACATCAGCAGGGGGTCAAATACGTTTTTTCCTTCACTGTATGCCAAATAACAGTGAAGATTTTTTTTTAATCAATCAGTCAATCAGATTTTACAGTTCAGACAAGTCACATTGCCAGGAATCAGACTTGTATTTGATTTCAAACCACCTATGAAGGTAGTTTAAAATGTGGCTTGAAATATCTGATTCCATGTGTGTTTTGGCTGTTCATACTGCAGGAAAAAGATCAGATTCAAATCAGATATGCAACAAAATAGGATTTGAGTCACTTCAATCTGCCAGTGTGAACAAGGCTTAAGATACAGTGAGCTCCAAAAGTATTGGGACAGTGACACATTTTCTGTTGTTTTGGCTCTGTACTCCAGCACTTTAGATTTGAAATGATACAAATACTATGAGGTTAAAGTGCAAACTGTCAGCTGAGAATAGAAAGGAATGGTAAATGATGTATTGTCTCATTTTGGAGTCACTTTTATTGTAAATAAGAATAGAATATGTTTCTAAACACTTCTACAATTAGGTGGATGCTACCATGATTATGGATAATCCTGAATGAATCGTGAATAATGAACGAGAAAGTTACAGACGCACAAATATCATACCCCTAAGACATGTTAACCTCTCATCATTACAATAACAGGGGAGGTTAGCATGTCTTGGGGGATATGATATTTGTGCATCTGTAACTTTCTCACTCATCATTATCCACGATTCATTCAGGATTATCCGTAATCATGGTAGCATCCACATAATTGTAGAAGTGTTTAGAAACATATTATATTCTTATTTACAATAAAAGTGAATCTAAAATGACACAATACATCATTTACCATTCCTTTCTATTGGGCAAAAAATTATCTGAAACAAAAACAAAACAAACAGTAAATACTTTTGTAGCTCACTGTATGTGCCTGGTCGGTCCCTCAGATCCCCTGACATTGTTTTTTGTTGTTGTTCCAAAGCTAGAACAAAAACTTTTGGTGAGGCTGCCTTCAGTCACTCTGGTCATGACCTTTGGAACAGCCTGCCAGATAGTCCATGGGCCAGCCAGCCACATTTCACACATTGATTATCCCCCAAAGTGGACACATTTTCCCACTGGCCCATGGACTAATGAGGCTTTTGAGAGCTTCAGAAACGGTTAAATAGTTTTTTTAGAAAAAAGCTTCGCTTTAGCTGTGCTTTTACTAAAGGTGTTCTTATTTGTCTTTTGTTTACTTTATCCCCTTTTATTTATTTATTTTACTATTGTTTTACTATTTTAATTTGTCTCTTAATTTTATTCTTGCCTATCTTAATTTTATATTTGTATAGAAACATATTGTGTTTGTTATCTTTCTCACCTTTTATTTTATTGGTTGTTAAGCACTTTGAACTGCATTTGTTGTAAGAAATGTGCTCTCACCTGAGGCAGTCCTGGTTTCTCAGAGTTGAGGAGGGAGCGCACCTCCACGTGCTCTGGTACAAGGGGACAGGCTCCCTCGCAGAACTCCCTCATCTCCCCCCACCGGTGCAACACACTCAGGGCCTTGTGCTCATCCAGCTCATGCAGATCCTCTTCTGTCTTCTTGTTCTTCTTCAGCAACTCTGAGGACACAAAGGAAACAGGAATATGATAGCACCACTTGTTCATGTTATGGATGAGTTATTAACATGTTTATAATGCAGCTGCAAATATTGTCTATGAGCACATGATTGTCATTTGTGTAAATCAGTTATGCGTTGCTCCACACGAAACTGGAATTTAAAAAATGCCAATTACTTTTTGGATCATTCTGAAATGTAATAAATGAAAATGCCCTCTGGAGCAAGGATATTTGGTATGCACTGTATATTTGATATTTGGATCTAGACTCTATAACGTTCATTTCATTACAAGTTTGAAAACTGGAATGTGAGCTGTAATCTACACCTCAACTAGGATGATATAAATCCTTATTATTTTGTCTAATGATTTTAGTATCATTATCTCTATATCGCCTACACTTTCTCCTTCTGAACTTCTAACACAGGTGGGATATAAGGACGGGTGTGGTTTCATGACAATGACCACAAGAGCAGCTGCTCACCGATTTGACAGTTCCAACGCAGTTACACCTGCGACACCGCCAAAACAAAAGCAATGAAAAGCTATGCGTTTGTCGGCTAACCCGGGTTACCGCTGATCTGATTGAATCCTGGCCATGGTCTTTTTTTGTTTCAGTTTCGTACAGAACGACCCACATCTTAAAGGAAACAGACCTTCAGGAAACGCTTCATCAGGCACTTTGAAGATCTTGTTTAGAACTTTGATTTCCGATTCACGGTATTCCGGAGAGGGAATCGCATTTTTCCTGCAGAGCTCTGCCAGAATGGCGGATGGTTTCTTGGCGTCTCTCCACTTATTGTATCCGTCTCTGCAATCACAGAAAACAGCTGCCTAAAATGACGCTGCAAAGACCAGTGATGAGGTTATGCCATTCTGATGCACTGTAATATCTTGTGCCATTATTGAGATGTAATGTCCTGTATGGACAGGAATATCAGACACACTTGTCATAGTAGAGGCCGATGCCACAGCCTGCGTAGTGACGGCTGTAGAAACGGTTCTCCAGGTCAATTCGCGTCTCTCCGATGAGGTCATCAGAGCCCACCAAGTCGTGGTCAAACACCATCAGAGTAAGTTCCGTCTCCAGTGGGAAGGACACGGTCAGCTCAAACACTCTACAGGAGAAGGCAACATGTAAAAACTCTATACATGCAGAACCGGCTGAAAAAAGGACCTGTAGATCGTATTTTCAAACGGAAACAATCGTAAAATAACACTAATCATATTGTCACACTTTCACAGATTTTTCAGCTATTGTACAAAGAGGACATGAATCGGAATTTGACTACGCTGGGCCTTTAATGTGTTTGTTAAATAGTGATAGTTTCTGCAATACTCCTTGAAAATGGTTATTGGTTTAATGTTTGGTTTAACTCTGTATATTCATACTAGGTAGTTTAATATGTATAATTCTTCCTGTTACCACTCACTCTCCAAACACTGGGTTGAGCTGTTTGGGAATATAGCGGTCCTTGCTGCCCATGCTCTGTCCACCAACTTTCACCACCACATAGGGATCTGCCTTTCCATTGGGGTCAGTAGGGGCCAGGTTGGTGGCCTGGAAAATCATGGGGGAGATTGGTAACATTGTTCATTAAGTTGCTCTTATACTTATGTAGTAAGGTTGTTATTACTCGAGTAATAACATTGTATTAACATATTACAAGTTGAGCAGAGGTTTTTCACATTCAGTTCAATTCACATTTCTTGAAAACATATAAGCATCAAAAACATGCTAGCTTATAAGCCTACCTTCACAACATACACCCGCACTAGCACTTTAATGGGTGTATTTTTGGGAATTCCGTTGGTAATCCGGCACTCTGCATGTTCATCCTCAGGTGAGATGGGATAAATCAAAAAGGAACCCTGTGGCAACAAAAAACACTTTTTTACTAACACTGTCTCAGTACTGAAGAGTGGTTTGACACTTATGACAGTAAAAATCAATCTGATTTGATTTATTGAGGGAGACAGATTTCTCTTTTAGGTCTAGAGTAATGATTTGTTCTTATCTCACTCACCTTGTATTTCCCCATGCTTCTCTCCTCTTCATCCTCATCCTCTTCCTCAATGGCTTTGCCTTTGTAGATGGGGAATGTGTGCAGCCAATCCATGAATTCACTAAACCCATCCTCCAGTTCTGATTTATAGAGCTGAGAAAACACCCAGGTTATTCCTGTCGCCTTACTGTATTTTTTGCTCACATTTTCAAGTATATTGGACAGACACAATGAGGAGATACAAGAAAGTAAGGAGGAGGGATGGTGTGCTAGAAGGGCATGGACCGGATTTGAATCTACGCCAGCATTGGCATCCATACTGCGAGACCACCCCAGGCCACAGCCTTACTGTATTTAACTGTGGATATACCGTGGTAGGAATCTAACATTTCCAAAACGTTCGTTTTACCATAACATTACTGTGGCCATAACATGTTTATGTTTTGTGTGAACAATCTCTAGAAGGGGCTTTTTGTTCACCTGCCATAGTGCCATTACTTCTGTATAACATGTGCTGTACAGGCTTCATCAAATTCTCACCGAGAAAATTATTTGCAAATTCTCACCTGGAGAGTTGCTATCTTTTTCCGTTTCGGTTTGGGCGGTGGCTCTATCTCCACTATCACTGCATCCTCCTCCTCTGCTTCTAATGTGCCACCATCTGTTGAATAAACATTACTTTTAACTGAGAGATTACAATGGCTCTGTGCATTGAGGCCTTCATTGAGATACAGTATGTGCAGATTTCCACACTGAGATGGGGAAAGGATCTCTTGGCACACATGGCTGATGCATTACTGCATTAATGCATGCTGGGAATGTCATTATATTCAACTCTTGTATAAAAGATTAGAGTCCCAAAAAAATTATGAAGAACAGGGCACAAATAAGAAAGTAAAGGATAAATATAACTATTTAATTAAAAAAGTTCTGGGGTGATTTTACCAAAAGCTTCGTAAGTAAAGTAGTACTATTTTTCTTGATGACACCTACGTCACTGGTAGAGCGGCAAAGTACATAAGATTTCATTAAGATTGACAGTCAAATATTTTGATTTTAAAATGGTTGCATTCTCCATTTTAGCTATGAGGTTTTGGGAAACTCACCCCAGGTATTTTAAACAATCAAATAGTCTGTGATGATTGTCATTCCCCTATGCATCTAACTAAGACCGAGCCATAGACATCTGTATTAGACAGACAACAACTCTCAGCTGTGTGGAGTTACCTGTTTCCTGTTGTTCATCCATGTCCTCCTCGTTCTCAGTCTGGAAATAATAAAAATGTGTCTCACTATCATCAAAACAGAGAAACATTAATGGCTTCAATTCTATGATAGTACTGTAGCAAAACCAAATACTGACATTTCTTGTGAATTAAAAATGTATTGCAAAACAAATTAAAAGAGGGATTTGATTGTATTCTGATGCTGTATAAAGTAGCAACAAACCTGGTCCCCAAACAACAAATGTTGGTTTGGCCCACCAGAGACTTCCAGAAACATCTGATGTAATTATGAACAATGTTGTCTGTTTTTTTTGGCCCGCAGCTCACTGTTGAGATTACATTTCAGCACACCAAGCCCACCCTTGGTATAAAAACATTGCTTGGTAACACTCACTATATACCTGGTTTCTAAGCTCGTCCAGTGACGCGTAGTACTTGGACCACCAATCCAACTCCTCTTTCTCTGGGGTCTCCTCTTCAAGCTCCTCCACGTTCTTCTTCTTTAGTTTGTTCAGTGGAGACTGAGGATGAGAAAGTTGATTTGAAATGGATTTATTCTGTCACAAATCTCATACTGCACTATATACTATAAGACCCCGTGCCTTTGCAGTAAAATATGTACAGAGGAAATATACTATACTACCATATTGCTGCTTTGTATTATTCAAAACAAGCAATGGTGGGAACATTTAACCTTATCAGTCCCAGGAAATCCCACAGTGAAATTCACTACTTTCATTCATTGCTTGCTCTGCCCTCATATTTAGCCATTTTCTTTTCAGGACAACCAGGGCTACGAGTATATAGATTAATTTTATTTTTATTTATTTTTCTTTGGGGGGGGACGGATGGATGGACGACATAAACAGCTGCATTCATGAGTTTTATCGACAAATGTTTGTGACAGCAACTATGTGAGCTTATTATAGTTTTATAGATACTGTCCTGGGATTTCCTATGATCTTCAAAAAAGGTCAAAGGTAAAATAGTGGGCGCTTATATTTTAACTGTGTAGAAGAACCCCTAACCTAACGTAGCAGATGTAAAATAAACACCTGAAACTAGATCCCCCTAAATACTGGTCTTGACGAGAATAAAGAAAACTGTCAGTGGAGGTTCTCTGCTGCACTGTTCAACCAATCCAGTAGATGTGGAAGAGGAGTTAAGATTGAGTGTCGCCTTGTTAATGTACAAAAGCGGAAGTCTCATTAGAGGCTCTCTTTCCATTTCCCCTAAAAACCGGAACATCCGGTTGTAGGGGACTCGCCTCTGCCGAGTCCACAACAACCAGCAGTGGTGTAAAGTACTTAAGTAAAAATACTTTAAAGTACTACTTAAGCAGTGTTTTGGGGTATCTGTACTTTACAATTTATATTTTGACAACTTTTACTTTTACTCCACTACATTCCTAAAGAAAGTAATGTACTTTTTACTCCATACATTTTCCCTGACAGCCAAAAGTACTCGTTACATTTTGAATGTTTAGGCAGAAAATGGTCCAATTCATGCACTTATTAAAAGAACATCCCTGGTCATCCCTACTGCCTCTGATCTGGCGGACTCACTAAACACATTGTTGGAGTGTACCCCAGCTATCTGTAAAAAACAACAACATTTAAATAGCAAATTGTGCCGTCTGGTTTGCTTAAAAAAGGAATGCGAAATTTTTCACTTTTACTTAAGTCATTTTCTACAAAGGTATCTTTACTTTTACTCAAGTCTGACAACTTGGTACTTTTGCCACCACTGAAAACCGGTTTGTGAGAGTCTCAGCTTTTCATAGATGGGTCATAATAGTTTGTAGCTCAAACCGTTCGGAAATTACAGACATTTTTGTGAGAAGAACCGTTTTCGGGATCCGCCCTTGTCTCACAAACACTGCTCTAGCTCAGCCTGTTAATCACACATTCTACTGAAATCAGTGGATGCAGAAGAAATAGATAGTCTGTAGCTCAAACACACATTGTTAAAAAGCGGTTAGAAGTCCAAAACGCGCCAGCGTCACGATGGGACTACCAAAGCTCCAGGAAACAAACAAGCCTTGACAGTACACTGAGCACAAATGCTCAGCCGAGGTGCAGGGTGAGAGAGTGTGAATCAGATTGACTACTCCTCAGCGGGGAGTCAACAGGACCCCTGCTGTGAGCATGATGTGCAATTAATCCGACAGTAATCAGTGGCCTCTGAGACAAACGACCAGCACCAGTATTACAGCGAACCCCACTGCACAATGTGTGCCTGACTACCTCCGGAGGTAGTCAGGAAGATCTGATCACAATCAGATCAAAATGTTTATTTTAATCGTCTACACCTGTCTAAAAATGTGGGCACAATCAGAATGTGGACAAGATCAGGACAAAGGATGCATGTTAGCACCAGGTATAAACAGGGCTTTAGAGTAAATGGCAACCTTTGTCTTTTTAGTCTTTTTGGAGGAGGGAAGGAGCTTTTTGCAGGAAAAGAGAGGAGCTGCAGTAGGCTCTGTTGAGCAGAAAGATGAGACAGGCTATGGTACAAATACTCACAGTGAAGTTAAGGGGGTTGATGGGAATCTTGGAGGTTTTGATCGGAAGGCCACTCAGGTCCATTTGCTTCACTGTATTGAGAAGGGTTGTCCTCATGGGGGGGTTATTTTCTGAAGGCAATAAAGACATGGATAATAAGGACATGGGACTGACTATTTGTATTTATTATGGATCCCCATTAACTGCTGCCAAGGCAGCAGCTACTCTTCCTGGGGTCCGGCAAAATTAAGGCAGTTATACAATTTTTAAAACATTACAATACATTCATTACAGAATTCACAACACACTAAGTGTGTATCCTCAGGCCCATTCTCCACTACCACATATCTACAACACAAAATCCATGTGCGTGTGTGTGTGTGTATAGTGCATATGTTATCATGTGTGTGTATGCATGTGTCTGTGCCTATGTTTTTGTTGCTTCACAGTCCCCGCTGTTCCATAAGGTGTATTTTTATCTATTGTTAAATCTGATTCTACTGCTTGCATCAGTTACCTGATGTGGAATAGAGTTCCATGTAGTCATGGCTCTATGTAGTACTGTGCGCCTCCCATAGTGTGTTCTTGTTCTGGACTTGGGGACTGTGAAGAGACCTCTGGTGGCATGTCTTGTGGGGTATGCATGGGTGTCTGAGCTGTGTGCTAGTCATTTAAATGGACAGCTCGGTGCTTTCAACATGTCAATATCTCTCACAAATACAAGTAGTGATGAGACCAGGAGAGATTGATTAATGCTTGTTCTCTGTGTACATCCAAGGGCCAGCCGTGCTGCCCTGTTCTGAGCCAATTGCAATTTGGACCTGCCTTGTTGATAGTGCTATTAAGAAGGTAGAGCAGCACTTTATTATGGACAGACTTCTCCCCATCTTAGCTACTTTTGTATCAATATGTTTTGACCATGACAGTTTACAATCCAGGGTTACTCCAAGCAGCTTAGTCACCTCAACTTGCTCAATTTCCACAGGATTTATTACAAGATTTAGTTGAGGTTTAGGGTTTAGTGAATGATTTGTCCCAAATACAATCCTTTTAGATTTTGAAATATTTAGGACTAACTTATTCCTTGCCACACATTCTGAAACTAACTGCAGCTCTTAGTTAAGTGTTGCAGTCATTTCAGTTGCTGTAGCAGCTGGCATGTATAGTGTTGAGTCATCCACATACATAGACACACTGGCTTTACACAAAGCCAGTGGCATGTCGTTAGTAAAGATTGAAAAAAGTAAGGGGCCTAGACAGCTGCCCTGGGGAATTCCTGATTCCACCTGGATTATGTTGGAGAGGCTTCCATTAAAGAACACCCTCTGTGTTCTGTTAGACAGGTAACTCTTTATCCACAATATAGCAGGGGGTGTAAAGCCATAACACATACATTTTTCCAGCAGCAGACTATGATCGATAATGTCAAAAGCCGCACTGAAGTCCAACAAAAGAGCCCCCACAATCTTTTTATCATCATTTTCTCTCAGCCAATGATCAGTCAGTGCTGTGCTTGTTGAATGTCCTTCCTTAGAAGCGTGCTGAAAGTTTGTTGTCAATTTGTTTACTGTAAAATAGCATTGTATCTTGTCAAACACCATTTTTTCCTTAACTTTACAAAGGGTTGGTAACATGCTGATTGGTCGGCTATTTGAGCCAGTAAAGGGGGCTTTACTATTCTTAGGTAGTGGTGTGACTTTTGCTTCCGTACAGGCCTGAGGGCACACACTTTCTAGTAGGCTTAAATTATTCTCAGTAATTAAAATGTAGGATAAAATCAAACTATGCAGAATTAGTCAATGAAGGCCATTCATGAAATGTCATAAGGTATGGAGAGCCCTGGAAATATATCTAATGACCTAAGGTGTTTCCAAAGCAGGGACAAGTTCAAACAAATTGCAACTCTTATAGGCCTATCCCTCGTAGGGATAATGCTACATTTCAGATCAAACGCATTTTAGTAGCCGACTGGTGTGCACACAAGATTTGGTTCTGGGTGCCAAGATTACATATCAGACAAATCCAAAAATTTGACACAAATTAACTTTATATTGACAATTGACCACTTTTGGGAGAGGCCCCAATTTTACAAGAGGGATGGCTTGCATCCAAATAGGAGAGGGGCAAAAGTTATCTTGGCCAACATCGAGGAGGCTCCTATAACATTTACATTTTACATTTGAGTCATTTAGCAGGTGTTCCTATCCAAGGCGATTTACAGGAGCAATTAGGGTTAAGTGCCTTGCACAAGAGCCCTGCTCAGGTAATTCTTCCCAATCCCACTATTTCACAGCGTTATCATCGTGCATGATACGAGCCTAGGTATTTTGGTTCTCAACAGAGACTTGGCTAAATGGCTTGATCCCAGATAAAAACATTGCTGATTACAACATCTTACATTTACATTTTAGTTATTTAGCAGACGCTCTTATCCAGAGCGACTTACAGTTAGTGAGTGCATACATTTTCATACTGGCCCCCCGTGGGAAACGAACCCACAACCCTGGTGTTGCAAGCGCCATGCTCTACCAACTGAGCTACAGGGGACTAGACTTCAGGTGTGACAGACTGAAAAAAGGGGGAGGGGTGGATATATATGTGAAATCAACTCGTGGCATCATATTCTCTAAATACAGTGCATTCGGAAAGTATTCAGACCTCTTAACTTTGTCCACATTTTGTTACATTACAGCCTTATTCTAAAATGGATTAAATTACTTTTTTCCCCTCATCTATCTACACACAATACCCCATAATGACAAAGCAAAAAAGGTTTTTAGAAAAACAAATTACAAGTTCTTGTCTGGTTTAGATCTTATCTGTCAGAAAGATATCAGTTCGTCTCTGTGGATGGTTTGTCCTCTGACAAATCAATGGTAAGTTTCGGTGTTCCTCAAGGTTCCGTTTTAGGACCACTATTGTTTTCATTATATATTCTACCTCTTGGTGATGTAATTCGGAAACACAATGTCAACGTTCATTGCTATGCAGACGAACCAAATTCTATGCGTACATTTTGATGAAACATGGTGAAGCCCCAAAATTGCCTACCCTGGAAGCCTGTGTTTCAGACATAAGGAAGTGGATGGTAGATTTCTTTAAACGTTTAAAGTCGGACAAAACAGAGATGGTAGTTCTAGATCCCAAGAAACAAAGAGATCTGCTGTTTGATATGACAATTATTCATGATGTTTGTACAGTTGTCTCAAATAAAACTGAAGGACCTTGGCATTACTCTGGACCCTGATCTCTCTTTTGACGAACAAACAAAATATTTAAAGAGCAACTTTTCTTCATCTTTGTAACATCGCAAAAATCTGAAACCTTTTGTCTAAAAATGATGCAGAAAACCTAATCCATGCTCTTGTCACTTCAAGATTAGACTACTGCAATGCTCTACTCTCCGGATACCCGGATAAAGCACTAAATAAACTTCAGCTAGTGCTAAATGCTCAGGTAATACCTCCTCTCTTTTCTAAGCATTGTCGTCGTACTGTTGTCTATACTGCCAGGGGTGTTGTCAGTTGCAATCTTGTACCAATTTGTTTGTACTCCACTGTTAGATCTGCTATTGTTAGCTCAAAAGAGAAGCCCACAGTGGTCTGCTCACCCAGTACTATTAGTTCAAATGTTAATTCCATAAACTTGAATACCCCCTCTGTTTTCAAATCACGTAGAGGGCTTGGGATGTTGCATGATAGCAACCAAAGCTAACGTAAGTCAGTTTATAACATTCCATCATTGGTTACTCTGAGAGTTCCTCATACTGACATTGGCTGTGGCCTCAGGCCCTATGGTGCCAACCTTGGAAAAGTAATTTCAATTTCTAATCTCTCCTTTATTACAAATAGGGATAGACCAAATGGTGCAGTTCTATGCAATCTTATAGCCATACCAACTTTATCAATATCAACCATCAGACATGGCCTGCAACCACCTATTGAACGTAGCTTGTTTGAGTTGGAGACTCCATGTGACTTTAAAAATCATAAACGACTTGGGTTGATCTGAATCTGCATCTGAACGTTAGGAGCTTACATCCTAAACTGGATTCTAACTGGATCCTAAAAAGATCTAGGCTATGCAGACAAATCCGGACATTCTGTTATTGACTGAAACTTGGATATCTGTGGACATTCTGGACTCTGATATTAATATTGAATGTTATAATGAGTTCAGAGCTGACAGACAGGGTAGAGGTGGTGGAGTGGTCTCTTTACTGAAATCCATTTCCCTTGCCAACAATTGTTAGCTACTATCTTTAAAGTGGAACTGACAGTGTTTTAACTACTTTGCAGATATGAAACAAACAGACAATCATAATATCAGTCAAAAATATCAAATTCCCAGTTTATGCTACAAAACCAACTTTATAAGAGGTTTTAAAAATAGGTTGTATTTGACTCAACATTCCATGACGTACACTAAGGCATTGTTGGCATAATAGATGGATGCAGTTCAATGCATGATTAATATAATTCACCAAAACATTTCTTGGTATTCCCAAAAATATTGCTATCAGGTTGTAAATCATAGCTGGCCTGGTACATTGTTTCCTGCCTCCATTTGGGATGCACTGTTTCAGTTACAATGACTCAATATTTTGGACAAAAACAGACGAATGTACAGTAACTAAGGCTGGGAATGTCAATACAATCAAACTAGCAAGGGCAATGACCACAAGTCAGTCATAACGTGGCTAATAGGCTAGCGTATCTATTTATTTAGCAAGCTAAAAACACGGAGCCTAACGTTAGCTAGCTGCTAGGAGGATGTAATGTCGTGTGCATTGGAGGAGTGGGTGAGTTACTGACTTTTTCCCCTCATATAATTTTTCGGTGGCAATACACAGCTAGAGATGCAGATGTCATTTGGTTAGCTTGCATGAAGTTGAAAGACTTATCCAGTTAGCATATCTCTTGCATACAAATTCACTCTGGCTATCTACTCCGATTTCAGAGCACTCTCGTGTGCCAGAGCGTAGAATAACTGATGAATTTACGAACGCGCAACATCCGCTAAATATGATCGATGTCAGGTAAACGTAGGCAAAAAAAGTCATGAACGCTCTAGGTAACAATCGGTAGAGCATGCCCACTTGCAACACCAGGGTTGTGGGTTCGCATTCCCATGGGGGACCAGTACGAGAAAGTACGGAAATGTATGCATTCACTACTGTAAGTCGCTCTGGATAAGAGCGTCTGCTAAATTACAATTTTTTTTAAACAAATGTAATGTAAACCGCCTAGCTAACCAGCTCTGCTAGGGCGAGTAAAATGGTCAGAGTGCGGTGTTCTCTCATTTGTGTCTGGAAGTAGCTAGCTAGCCAGTTAGCTTGGCTGCTTGGTTGCAGGCAAGCTGCAGAAGGACGAGTAGGCTAAAATTCCCCATTGTTTTGCATAACAATTTTGAGGGCCAATTAGCTGAAAAGGTTTGAAAGGGTTTATCTAATGTTCCTTCGTTAGATTTTAGCTCATCTTGCTCTGGTTAGCATTAGTTGTTGATTTTGTTGACGTGCATACAGGGAAAGACAGCCTTCCTTTTTATGGTTGTTTGGTCAATAGGACTGTAAAGTTCCCAAATGTAAAAGGACTCCTGTGGTACTGACATATTTGCTATAGAATTTTCACAAATGCCTTAGTATAGAGTAAAAGTCAAAAGTTTGGACACACCTACTCATTCAATGGGTTTTCTTTATTTTTACATTGTAGAATAATAGTGAAGACATCACAACTATGAAATAACATATGGAATCATGTAGTAACCAAAAAAAGTGTTAAACAAATCAAAAAATATTTTATATTTGAGATTCTTCAAAGTAGCCACCCTTTGCCTTGACAGCTTTGCACACTCTTGGCATTATCTCAACCAGCTTCACCTGGAAGGCTTTTCCAACAGTCTTGAAGGAGTTCCCAAATATGCAGAGCACTTGTAGGCTGCTTTTCCTTCACTCTGCGGTCCGACTCATCCCAAACCATCTCAAATGGGTTGAGGTCAGGGGATTGTGGAGGCCAGGTCATCTGATGCAACACTCCATCAATCTCCTTCTTGGTAAAATAGCCCTTATATAGCCTGGAGGTGTGTTGGGTCATTGTCAAGGTGAAAAACAAATGATAGTCCCACTAAGCCCAAACCAGATGGGATGGCGTATCACTGCAGAATGCTGTGGTAGCCATGCTGGTTAAGTGTTCCTTGAATTCTAAATAAATCACAGACAGTGTCACCAGCAAAGTACCCCCACACCATAACACCTCCTCCTCCATGCTTTACGGTGAGAAATACACATGCGGCGATCATCCGTTCACCCACACCGCGTCTCACAAAGACACGGCGGTTGGAACCAAAAATCTCCAATTTGGACTCCAGACCAAAGCACACATTTCAACCAGTCTAATGTCCATCGCTCGTGTTTCTTGGCCTAAGCAAGTCTCTTCTTCTTATTGGTGTACTTTAGAAGTGGTTTCTTTGCAGCAATTAGACCATTAAGGCCTGATTCACACAGTCTCCTCTGAACAGTTGATGTTGAGATGTGTGTTACTTGAACTCTGTGAAGCATTTATTTGGGCTGCAAATTCTGAGGCTGGTAACTCTAATGAACTTATCCTCTGCAGCAGAGGTAACTCTGGGTCTTCCATTCCTGTGGCGGTCCTCATGAGAGCCAGTTTCATCATAGCGTTTGATGGTTTTTTTGACTGCACTTGAAGAAACGTTCAAAGTTCTTGACATTTTCCGGATTGACTGACCTTCATGTCTTAAAGTAATGATGGACTGTCATTTCTCTTTGCTTATTTGAGCTGTTCTTGCCATAATATGGACTTGGTCTTTTACCAAATTGGGCTATCTTCTACCCTGTCACAACACAACTGATTGGCTCAAACGCATTAAGAAGGAAAAGAATTCCACAAATTAACTTTTAAGAAGGCACACCTGTTAATTGAAATGCATTCCAGGTGAATACCTCATGAAGCTGGTTGAGAGAATGCCAAGAGTGTGCAAAGCTGTCATCAAGGCAAAGGGTGGCTATTTGAAGAATCTCAAATATAAAATATATTTTGATTTGTTTTAACACTTTTTTGGTTACTACATGATTCCATATGTGTTATTTCATAGTTTTGATGTCTTCACTATTATTCTACAATGTAAAAAATAGTTTAAAAAAAATAAGAAAAACCCTTGAATGAGTAGGTGTCCAAACTTTTGACTGGTAGTGTACGTAATATCCAAACATTCTAAGAATTTATGAACATTTGAAAATTAACATATCTAAGTGCTCGCTTGTCAGAAAACTATTGTAAAAAGTGTCATATTCTTCCTGGGGGTATATATGGACAGATTTGAGGGGTTTTATGTTGCAAAAATGCTGTCAGTTCCACTTTAAGGCTTTGTCTGGGGAAAAATGTATCCATAACTGTGACAGGGGTCTACCTCCCTCCCTCGGCTAACTCGAGGAGTTAACTAGTTTGTTGTCTTCTTTTTACTAAATCAGAAGTTACTATCCTGGGTAACCTAAATTATGATTGGGAAATGCAGGCTTCAGACATTCTAAAAGACATGAGTAATGACCTAAACATAACCCAGCTGGTGACTAAGCCTACACGGCCCAACCCTAAAGATCCTTGAAAGTCAACTCTGATTGATCTGAGTCATTAATAAAATAGATTACGCTTGGGTCAAGGCCAGGCAAGCTTTTAAGCAACTGAGGAATCATTGTGTAAGACAAATACGAAAGGCAAAATCTGATTATTATGTAACCGCTCTCTCGGATTGTAATGGGAACCCGGCTAAATTCTGGAAAACTGTCAAATCCCTGAAGGGTTCTACTTCCTCCTTTCTGCCACAAAAAAATGAATTCAGACACTGGCCTCATTACGAAAAAAAATGGCATCATTGATGCATTTTATCATTTTATTTCAGCAGGCTCTTTCTTTGAAATAACTTCTAAGCCTATTCACAACTGGGCTGGATGCTGATACGGGAGCACCATTAAATCCATTATTAAAAAATGTAAAGAATATGGCACCACAACAAACCTGCCAACAGAGGGCCGCCCACCAAAACTCACAGACCAGGCAAGGAGGGCATTAATCAGAGAGGCAACAAAGAGACCAAAGATAACCCTGAAGGAGCTGCAAAGCTCCACAGCAGAGATTGGAGTATCTGTCCATAGGACCACTTTAAGCCGTACACTCCACAGAGCTGGGCTTTACGGAAGAGTGGCCAGAAAAAAGCCATTGCTTAAAGAAAAAAATAAGCAAACACGTTTGGTGTTCGCCAAAAGGCATGTGGAGACTCTCCAAACATATGGAAGAAGTTACTCTGGTCAGATGAGACTAAAATTGAGCTTTTTGGCCATCAAGGAAAACGTTATGTCTGGCGCAAACCCAACACCTCTCATCAACCCGAGAACACCATCCCCAAAGTGAAGCATGGTGGTGGCAGCATCATGCTGTGGGGATGTTTTTCATCGGCAGGGACTGGGAAACTGGTCAGAATTGAAGGAATGATGGATGGCGCTAAATACAGGGAAATTCTTGAGGGAAACCTGTTTCAGTCTTCCAGAGATTTGAGACTGGGACGGTGTTAGTCACTCGTACCCCAAGGTTCAGGCTCCTCCTCATCGTCTCGCCATTCCTCCAGGTTTGTTGGTGCAAATTGCATCAGACTTTGGACCATGTGTGTGCCCACCAGCACCAGCCTGCCGAACGCCCGCTGCTCCATCACAAAGATGGTGAGAGGAGGGTGAAGGTACGTCAGCTCTGGAAGCTCCTATAGGGGGATAAAACAAGAAACTGGAGATCAGGGGTGCACAACTCTAGTCCCTTGAGGGCCGCAGTTCTGGTTGTCATGTCTCTATGGGACTGAATTAATAAATTAGTGTCATTGACTCAGTTAGTGTCTTTTGATCGGTATCATTTGGTCTCTGATTAAAAGACGCCAGATGGGGACAAAAACCAGCATACAATCTGGCCGTCAAGCATCAGACTTGTGCACCCTTCCACTAAATGCATGGCTGGACTAAAGGCAGCAAGTGTGTCCAACCCCCTTTGAAGTAATCCTTCTGGTCATTTTAGCTGTGCTACAAGTCCTCATGTTCCAAAATCTAAGTCGGTTAATAATTCACATCTAAAACCTGGAGCTACAGTTCGATGTTAAACACAGTGGGCCAGTTATGGCAGTGGAAAAGAGGTACTCACCACATCAAAGTGTTTGACAACCTCTTTGAAGTTGGGAAGGACTTGGTAGCTCTCGATTTCCTCTGACTCGATCCTTTGTCCCGCACACTCCATTCTCACTTGAGGCCTCTCCACTTCAAACAGGTTGACCCTCTTCAGGTCTCGCACACCCCAGTACAGCACCTGAACACAAGCATCACAGAGTTCTCAACTGACACTCAACACACCATAGCACTGAGGCAGCAGCATCACATTATAGGAAACACACAACATACTGTAGGACAGCAGCCAACAAAAGGTATTGTGTCCCACATAACATTGTTCAGTGATATGGCTCAGTTGGTGAGTGTTGCGCTAGCAACACCAATGTTATGGGTTCATGTCCCACAGGGATCACATACTCATAATACTGTATGCACTCACAGTCCTGTATAAGTCACTTTGGATAAAAAGTTTATATAAAGTGACATATATTATAATGTCATACACTTTTTACAGAGGAAAGGTTTTCACATACTTCTATACGAAATTTCTTCAGCACAGGCCTAACCCCAGCTGGGATGATGTAATGCTTCTCTTCCTTCAGATACTCAGGCTCCCTGGGGTCCACATCAGCAGGTAGTGATGGCTGGGTATATAGAGAGGCGAAATATAGTCAGAAAGAGTATACTTTTCCAACCACAGCAGCAATACTACCTTCGTGGGGCCTATATACCTCAAAATTGTTGATATATTTACCACACCATAAGTGTAAACATAGTGGACTGATAACGTATAAGATAGTATTTCTGAGTTATGCTTTGACATTTCAATCTCTCTCTCTCTCCCCCTCCATTTCCCCCTGTCCAGTCTCACTCACTCACTTGCTATAGTGTTTAATAGTTGCTTTAAGTGTCTGACCTCTCCAAAGCTTGAGTAGTCCAGCTCTATCAGCTCAAAGGCCGCCAGGAGCTCCCCCGCTGAGGCTTTGCCTCGGGTGATGTCAAAGAACTTCAGCATGGGCTTCTTATATGGCTCCTCCACAAACTTCAGCTCCGGCTCAGCGAACGCTTGGCCCAGGGGCTCAGGACTCCCCTGTGATATCATTAACACAGAGAAATACATGAGACCTGGGTGAAGTGCCTGATGACCACCTGTGTATGCAGGTTTTCAACTGATTGTTATTTTTAAGGGATTTTATTGCCAAACTGTTATCCTAATTGGATATTAGGATAACATATTTGGCATCATGATGTCATGTCATTATTGGGTCTGCGATTGTCCTTGTACAGTGGGGAAAAAAAGTATTTAGTCAGCCACCAATTGTGCAAGTTCTCCCACTTAAAAAGATGAGAGAGGCCTGTAATTTTCATCATAGGTACACGTGAACTATGACAGACAAAATGAGAAAAAAAAATCCAGAAAATCACATTGTAGGATTTTTTATGAATTTATTTGCAAATTATGGTGGAAAATAAGTATTTGGTCAATAACAAAAGTTTCTCAATACTTTGTTATATACCCTTTGTTGGCAATGACACAGGTCAAACGTTTTCTGTAAGTCTTCACAAGGTTTTCACACACTGTTGCTGGTATTTTGGCCCATTCCTCCATGCAGATCTCCTCTAGATCAGTGATGTTTTGGGGCTGTTGCTGGGCAACATGGACTTTCAACTCCCTCCAAAGATTTTCTATGGGGTTGAGATCTGAAGACTGGCTAGGCCACTCCAGGACCTTGAAATGCTTCTTACGAAGCCACTCCTTCGTTGCCCGGGCGGCGTGTTTGGGATCATTGTCATGCTGAAAGACCCAGCCACGTTTCATCTTCAATGCCCTTGCTGATGGAAGGAGGTTTTGACTCAAAATCTCACGATACATGGCCCCATTCATTCTTTCCTTTACACGGATCAGTCGTCCTGGTCCCTTTGCAGAAAAACAGCCCCAAAGCATGATGTTTCCACACCCATGCTTCACAGTAGGTATGGTGTTCTTTGGATGCAACTCAGCATTCTTTGTCCTCCAAACACGACAAGTTGAGTTTTTACCAAAAAGTTATATTTTGTTTTAATCTGACCATATGACATTCTCCCAATCCTCTTCTGGATCATCCAAATGCACTCTAGCAAACTTCAGACGGGCCTGGACATGTACTGGCTTAAGCAGGGGGACACGTCTGTGTCTGCAGGATTTGAGTCCCTGGCGGCGTAGTGTGTTACTGATAGTAGGCTTTGTTACTTTGGTCCCAGCTCTCTGCAGGTCATTCACTATGTCCCCCCGTGTGGTTCTGGGATTTTTGCTCACCGTTCTTGTGATCATTTTGACCCCACGGGGTGAGATATTGCGTGGAGCCCCAGATCGAGGGAGATTATCAGTGGTCTTGTATGTCTTCCATTTCCTAATAATTGCTCCCACAGTTGATTTCTTCAAGCCAAGCTGCTTACCTATTGCAGATTCAGTCTTCCCAGCCTGGTGCAGGTCTATAATTTTGTTTCTGGTGTCCTTTGACAGCTCTTTGGTCTTGGCCATAGTGGAGTTTGGAGTGTGACTGTTTGAGGTTGTGAACAGGTGTCTTTTATACTGATAACAAGTTCAAACATGGTGCCATTAATACAGGTAACGAGTGGAGGACAGAGGAGCCTCTTAAAGAAGAAGTTACAGGTCTGTGAGAGCCAGAAATCTTGCTTGTTTGTAGGTGACCAAATACTTATTTTCCACCATAATTTGCAAATAAATTCATTAAAAATCCTACAATGTGATTTTCTGGATTTTTTTTCCTCAATTTGTCTGTCATAGTTGACGTGTACCTATGATGAAAATTACAGGCCTCTCTCATCTTTTTAAGTGGGAGAACTTGCACAATTGGTGGCTGACTAAATACTTTTTTCCCCCACTGTATATGGGAAAGATGTAACAGGGTAGAACTGCTGAATTGTCTTGAACCCATAGAGATCCTATTCTAATTCCTAATTCTATGCTTGAACCCGTCTCTTGGCCTGTTGGTTCCCAGGTGTGCCTCGTTGTAATTACGAACGTGGCCCAAGGTATACATGTTTGTCAGTTTCATTCATTTAGGGGATCTCCTTACTATTTGCAGGCTGGCGTGCCTTTGGAGGACAAACTTTTGGAGTCCTTTTGTGATACTCTCCCGAGTGGCGCAGTGGTCTAAGGCACTGCTTTACAGTGCTAGCTGTGCCACTAGAGATCCTGGTTCGAATCTAGGCTCTGTTGTAGCCGGCCGCGACCGGGAGACCCATGGGGCGGCGCACAATTGGTCCAGGGTAGGGGAGGGAATGGCCGGCAGGGATGTAGCTCAGTTGGTAGAGCATGGAGTTTGCAACACCAGGGTTGTGGGTTTGATTCCCACGGGGGGCCAGTATAAAAAAAAAAATGTATGCACTCACTAACTGTAAGTCGCTCTGGATAAGAGCGTCTGCTAAATGACTAAAATGTCAATGTAATAGAAAATTAATCAGAGACCCCCTCATAATCAGAACACAACTTGAGTGAGCTAAAAATAGCATACAAGTCATTTTACTATGACTTCGGCAGTGCAGGGCCCGGACAAACCAAGTCTTGTGCCCTGGAAAGAAACATTTTAAAGGCCAACCTCTTGACATCAGAGAGAACATTTAGCAGTTTAAGCTAATTTCTTGCAATTCTACACATTTTGTATGGTGGCAGAGATGTTTTTTTAAAATCTTTTTTTTTTTTTCCTGTGAGCCTCCAAGGCCCATGTTGCCCAGGGTTAAGAACATAAATTGTAGATTAGGATAACATTGTATTACACACTCTAAACTTATTCCATGGATACATGTATTTAATCTGTTAGTAATATTAATAAAACAAATACAAATATATATACACTGAGTATACAAAACATTAAGAACACCTACTCGCTCCATATGGAATGTATGGAAAATGTGTGTGTCAAAAAAGATACACGTAAAAAATAGCTATTTGACGTGTCAAATAACACTATTTGAGGCATCAATTAAGCCTGTTGACCAATCAGGACCTGAATATGACTGCACGTCACATAATAATTTAACACGTTCATAAATGTTTTACGTAGTTATTATACATTGTGTAATCAATCACTCGTATGTCACAGCGATTCACCGATACGTATGCTATGATGCTGGTAAAGTGTTGTCTCGCTGCGGGCGCAGACACACTTCCCCAAGCTCTGGGACAGTGCTGGTCATAAAAAAAGCTGATGGATGCAAACAATGTTCTTCCCCCAAAACATAGCAAAATGACATAATCTGTTTCTGTAGCTATAGTTAGCTAGTGTCGTAGTAAATATTAAAATGTTATAGCTTGGTCTGACTAAAATCTTGTGCATGACCCATTTTAATGTTAGGAGCTTGTTTTCAATCAATGCTGTTCCTATGCAAGAACAATGGACAGAGCCAATATCTTCTCAAGGACAACACCCACGCCACAGGCCACAATCTGGTTGCTCCCCACGAGTCTTTCCTTTGAGAACATACACACATTCACACACACATCTCCATGCATACGCACACTCATCCTCATGCCTCACGAGTTACGGACACACACAAACTGCACTTCTTTCTACTGGTCGGGTGCCAAGGGCAGAGGACTCTGCCGTGCACCAAAGGGGCTTCTACTCTGGACAGAGCAGACCCGCCTCCTACGCCTCGGGAACCAATCAAGGGACTAGAAGAAGGACCCCTTCTTTTGTGTTACATTGTATAAAGTAATGCTGTAAACTCTGTTTTTTATCCTTCTCAACTGTCTCCATAAGAGGCAATTGATTGGGTCCATGCATTGGGCCCATGCATGTAGCTTGAGCAGTACCAGCTATCTCTGTGTTTAATAAACTGCCTTTTGCTTAAGCATATTCCTCTCTGTCTAGCGTCGTTGGTTTGTACTTCCTCTCCTTATGGTTTCACCAACACTAGCTAACTATCTAGCTAGGTGTCATAATCTAAAATACCCCTAATTTATAAAACAGTTATTTGGTTAATGACGGTGTGACTCACCTAGGTGAAGCTAGACACAATAAGGATTAGCCACAATAAAGAAATTTGCGGTTCACCTTCAAAATAAAAGTATCTCCTTGAAAGTGACGCAAATTAACACAAATAGGGCCATAATGGAATAGCTCATGCTAAACGAGTTTGGAATGTTATATAAATTCAACAAAAGACAATAATTTGTTAATTTGACAGAAAATCGTTTGAAATCACACCGGGGGTGTATTAGACTTTAGAATTGCATTGGGGGCATACTTATTTCACTGTACAGCCTTACCTATGGATTATGGATCAATGACATGGGGTATCAGTCTACTCAGTGACACCCACAGAACATTAGCATCGTAGCTCTTATTGCGGGACTCTGAAACCACTGTGAAATGAGCCACATTTATTGTACCAGTCAACCTACTATGTATATTGAACACTATTCCAGAGGGGAAACAATACAACCTGGATGTTTTGGAGTCTGGTAACTATGAGGAGAACTTGGGTACTGAGTAGACTGATACCCCATTTCATTGATCCCAAATCCTTAGGTAAGGCTGTACAGTGCAATATTAATGTCAATATGCACAATAAGCTGACTGGGAAGGTGATTTCCCACAGCCAAAGTCCTGCAATAAGAGCTATTACGCTAATATTTGGATAAACTCGTCACAGTTGTGTTCTGTGGGTGTCACCGAGTAGACTGATACCCCATTTCATTGATCCACATCTAGTCTAAATATGACATGATTCCACCAATTGTTACCATTTGCGTCACTTTAAAGAGGGACCTATTTTCAAGGCGAACCTCAAATTCCACTATTGTGGCTAATCCTTATTGTGGCTAGCTTCACAACACAAAACCCGGTCCAGTCAAGCCTCACTAGCCAGATGAAGCTAGCTGGCTGCTTATAACGTTAGCTTCGGGCAACAGGGTTAAGTAGCTGGTTAGCTATTTATATTACACTGCAGTTCTGCAATTACTGCGTCCAAAATACCACAGTCGACTGCAGTTTCAAAACTGCAATCTTTTTTGTGAAAGTATGGCGGCAGTGGTGGCGCGTTAAGGGCCTTATTGTGATTTGTATTTCATGTGTCAATCTCATGCTGTAAACCAGCCCATTTGTGTGTGCGTGAGCCCAAATCATGTTAGGTTAATAGGTTCCCTCTACCTGAACAGGCGCACCTGCGTGGGTCACCTTATAATGAGGGATGGACGCACCTTTTTCGCCACTCGCTACCAACCGGAGCTCCATCTCCACGCTCTGACACAGCCACGGCGAAACCAAACACTACCACAACAGTTAGCTACCAATCCAACAGAACCATCGACAAAGGAAGCGTGGTGGAGAATTAGACGAATAGAAGCAGACGGACGTACACTCAACAAGGAAAAACACCACACTCACTGGGAGTTTGACAGGGCCCGTCAACTCCCGGGAGCTTGTCCAAACGCTGTGTGTTGAATTGTGGAGTCGAACGTAATTGAAGAAGCCGTAGCCTACTAGTAGCTCGTGGTAGAGCTATTGTTGTGTGCGTATTGTGTTTGTGTTCTTGACTAGTGAGCACTGGAGCGAGTTTGGGTTTTAGATTTACTATAGTTGACTTGTTCCTTTCTTCCTGGCACCCTAAAGGCATTCGCATGCTTCCCAACCGTGGGTATATTATGACGACATTTTGTGACGTTTTTGTTTGTTTTGGTCATCGAAAAAAAACAAAAACAAACATCTTATACTATTTAAGTGGAAGGATCGGTTTCCTCCTACGTTTAACCATTGGATAAAGGAAGTTATGCAACATCTCAAGCTAGAGAAAATACACTACTCCGTTAGGGGACCTGCAATTATATATATATATTTTTTGTGTTACTTTTAAACTATTTGATTATATTACTCATTGTATATCATGTCTGGTTTTGGGGTGGGGCTCTGTTAGAGTATGGGGGCGTTGGGGTGGGTTTGATTTGGTAGGATCTGTGTGTTTTGTCCTCTACCTGTTCTGTCTGTGTTATCTGTATAATCATAAATGCCAAATAAAAAAAACGTACATTACATTTAAAATTCCTGAGGCAAGCTGATGTTCGGTAGCCGTAGTCTACGCCCCTTCGTCTGTGATTGGTCAACAGTAGGGATTTTTCAATAAAGTTGTCATTCAACGAGAGATGACTCGTTTTAATTCAGATTTTTTTTCACTTAAAAAATACTGCACCAAACATCTTAGTTAGATGCACAAAACGACGCCGGATTAAAGTAAATTATTATACAAAATTATTGCAACCAACATAATGTTATATGGGGATACAACCATCCCAGCTCTGCAGACTTTGCCTGTGAAGAGACAGAATCATTAGATCATTTGTTTTGGTACTGTCCATATGTAGTTTGTTTTTGGACACAGGTTCAGGAATGGCTGAAGAATTGCAACATAGCACTGCTGGGTGATTTGAAAATTCATAGTCAATCAATAAAATAACAATATTCTTACCAACATTTTTTTTTATCTTTAATTCACAATCTGTAGAAACTATGAGAATAGAAAGGTTCAGAACTTTTGTGAAACATCACAGCAAAGTTGAAAAATATATGGCAAATAGAAATCAAAACTGAATGGTCTTCAGAGATAGCTGGGAGGGGTTGAGGGTAGCTGAAGGATGGGACTAAAAACAAACAAAAGATAACTATTGTAAAATATACTGTGCCGTAAAATGTAGTGCATTCTGAAAGTATTCAGACCCCCTGACTTTTTCCACATTTTGTTACGTTACAGCCTTATTCTAAAATGGATTTTAAAAAAACAATCCTCATCAATCTACACACAATACACTAATGACAAAGCAAAAACAGGTATTTAGACATTTTTGCAAATGTTTTAAAAATAAAAAAGATACCTTATTTACATAAGTATTCAGACCCTTTTCTATGAAATTGAGCTCAGGTGCATCCTGTTTCCATTGATCATCCTTGAGATGTTTCTACAACTTCATTGGAGTCCACCTGTGGTAAATTCAATTGATTTGTTATTATTATTATTATTATTATTATTATTATTATTATTATTAGGACATGATTTGGAAAGGCACACACCTGTCTATATAAGGCCCCACAGTTGACAGTGCAAGTCAGAGCAAAAACCAAGCCATGAGGTGTGAGAGAGAAATTACGTGTTTACCTTATTTGTTTGATATTAATAGTTAACAATTATATACTTAACAAATAGTAAGACATTTCTGTTCTACTAATACTGTGTTTTGGTAAAGGGATGGTTTCCACTAACTCCCTGCAGCTAATCTGAGCGTATAGTCACTAGATATAGCTTGAGCTGACAATTGACTGTGCCTGCATTCCATAGACACGATGTGGTGTGTGTAACCAAGATAGGGATAGCCTGGAGGAGTAGAACGAAAACTATTTAATCCATTTTAGAATAAGGCTGTAACGTAACAAAATGTGGAAAAGGTCAAGGGTTCTTAATACTTTCCGAATGCACTGTATATAGTATGTATAAGCTGGAAGTAGAAGCCTAAGTGTTGTTGTCCATTAGTTTACTCCAATTAGGGGAGGGGTGGTAGGGTTAGGGGAAAATAATTATGGAAAATATCATTAAAAAAATGTATATATGAGGATTGGAAATGATGCAGACAATTACGTTGATGGAAGCCACAATCTATCTGCAATATTGAAGCTGATCTACCCCCTAAAAAAAAAGTTATATGTAAAATTGCGCGACTAAGACCTCCTTGGCAAAAACCTCAATGTATTACAGATTTCTTCAGTTATTTTAGAATAATTTTGACTTTTGAGGAAGTGTATACTGGCTACGGCGTCTCAAGAGGGACCAACAGTACTATTGCATTATTTTTCTAGTTTTTTTAAGCGAAGGTGTTTTAAGGGAGTATGCGAGGCACAGACGTTCACTTCGCCTAGCCGAGTTCTGCTAGGAGCAATCCAAACCTAGTATGCAGACGCCTTTTACTATTTTGGTTTGGCTTAGTCCTTGGGCATATTGTATTGCTATTGTTCCTGACAATTTAACATAGACTGATAGGAGTTATTCAGTGATTAAGGCATCATACTGTCACCAGTTTTCTCTGTCTTGTAGTTCTATATGTGGATGTTTTGGGAGGCATTGACGCGACTCCCCTAGAACTCTTAACTCTTGCCACGGCCCATTCCTCAAGTGCACTACTGCTAATCTGCACTACGGCCTAAGTTACAGTGGCAGCATCAACAAGGACTTAACATTATTGTGTATTGTATTTTCATTGTTTCATTTACTTATTTTTCCTAGGCCAATCATTGAAATACTTGGTACCATTTTATAAAGAGACATTCTGTATAATAACTATCAGAAGGTCATTCCAGTCTCGGCCTCTTCCCTCCCACCAGATCTAAGAACCGTATTGTATGGTTAGGCAGAACTCCCCATGCTCTGGTTTAAACCTGGGGTGGCGTAGGATCGGCTACACTTATTTCTCTACCACCTCACATATACAAAAGAGGGCAGACATTTAGCACTCAACCAAGGCAGTAGAACAAATTCTTCACAACACAACAACACTAAAGTTGACAAAAAGAGCCATACTGGATTCATAGCATAACAGAGCTTACCATTTTGTCGTAATCATAGACATTGATGATGATTACTGGGGGGTCGTCTCTTAACTGGTCCTTACTACCCTCCATGAGGATCTGGTCAAACAGGAGCAGCTCACACCAGGTGGGGGAGAGAGTCTCCTCCATCACCTAAAATACAACCACAAAAAACAACCAAGGAACTCATGTAGACCTACATACATGGGTATTTATTTGTGCATGTTTGCATTTCATTTATAAAGACATCATTACTGTATTATCATGGGTACTGACAGACTTCAAACACATAGCCCAAAAGCCAATTGTAAACTGCATTGTTCCAGAGTATTCCATTGCATGTGTGACAGGTGAATCGAAGGTTGAATTGGGATTTTGTTTGTGGACAAACTGTTTCTCGGAAATACGTTGCTTTTCTATGATAATCTATGATAGTAGATCATGACAGTAGATGTATGGGGAATATTTTAGATTAGTAAAGTTCATATTCAGTTAAGAATGATTAACACAATGCTTAGCATATTTGTTTTCCCTTTCTGTAATACACATGATTTCCAGTGTTCTATTTGTGACTCTCTGGGTTGATGGTCACTAGACTCGATGCTGTATGTTATGTATTAAATTAATATCTGTTGATAGCGATTGACCCCAGACTGGCTGTACAAGGATCGAGGACACCGACATGTTATTGTATTGATGACCTTGTGTCATTCTGAACACTGTTATTCTGTAGCAGCTGGCAAAGTTTTGACTCTGTACAAGCCTCTCGGGCTGACGTTTACAGAACATTAGTGCTGTGAGATTAGAATATAAGGGTCTGCTTAGAGAAGGCAAGTTAGACATTGTCTCTGCTTCTGTGCTAGAGGTGTCTCCCTGTTGCAACTTGTATTAAACCAGGTTGATTTATGATTTACTATATATTTTGTTCACCTGAAAACTTTACTGTAGATCATTTATATGATAGTAAACTGTTCAATTCCTTCTGTATGCTGTCTGGCCATCCTATAGGTGTTTAATTCTCCACTGTATATCATCTTCTATCCCAGAAGTAGATGAACTCCATTCCTCCCATTGAAACCCAGGTGGTACTCTAGTGGTGGGTTAACAAGTGCCTCCACTCACCCGTGAGACCTGGCACTGTGTAGAGAACACCACCTTGGTGAAGGGGTCAGACAGTCCGTTGTCATCTGCTGCCACGATGCCACGCGCCTGGTAGATATGGGCACGCAACTGGAAGTAGCGACTGTCTGGAAATACAGAAAAGCCGGAGAAACTCATTAAGATGTCAGATTCAAATAATGGGTGTGTAGTCTATCCATTGTGACTTACAAATTGCAAGAGGTTTGTGTATCTTGATGTGGTATCTTAATTTGTTTACTTTGTTGTTGCAGAGAATTTTCCTGCGCCGCAGTTCTCTTTCTCTCAATAGATCTTACACCTAAACTATAGCCAACTGTAGCCTATAAAAAGTCATTTCCAGTTAGAAATTATCACTTTTTAAAAAATAATCAAATCCTCCTGCTGCAGGATTATTTTACTTGTGCGACGAAACTGGTCAAATTAAGATCCAACATCTGTATGTGTGCCCATCCGCGCATGCCAATGTAAGGGTGTGTGTGGGTGAATACCAATATCTTGACCATTAGTCCAAGAGGGAATTCCCCCTTGGGCCGAGTGTGACACTGATTTTGAAGTTGCAAGGCGGGGCTACCTCATCACGAGACCCATGAGCCCGACTCATGTCCACTACATGTGCAGGCTGCATATGTGACTGAGTGAGTTTGAGTGTGTGTATTGCATCCGAGGGAGTCATCAGAGGTAAAGGTGGAACTCTTACCCTCGCAGGAGAGTTTGATGGGGGCCATGTTCATAGGGACAGGGATGATGCCCGTAGCCTCCTCGTATACAGGCTTGAACTCAGCTGGCAGGCTGCCAACACAGTTCTTGGAGTATTTGGTGATACCAAGCCATAGATACACCTCCAGCTTAGCAAAGATCACCCCCACTGGGTCACCCGGAGCCTAAAGACACCAGAGACCTTTGATTTAGTGTTGATTGTTCCACACAGGAAAACAAAGTTCTAGAAATGCCATAGAATAACATTCAAATGTAATATGATACTTGTATGAATTCAATTAAACAGAGATACATACTGTACATTAATACTGTTAGGATAGAACACCATATAGATATTTGGGAGATACCTTCAAGTAGATGGTGGTGAGTTTCCCACAATCTTTCCCCCTTTCCTCCTCCACCAGAGAGAAGAGGATGGAGTGGGAGGGGATCCTGGCAAAGGCCACCCTTTTCCCTGCACTCATCATCCACACAAACACATCTGGCAGGGTGCTCTGAGGCTGCAGATAGAGAGTGAAAGAGATAGAGGCAGACAGACAAAAATAGAAATCGAGTGAGAAAAAAAGTCCATCTAGAAGTCAGTAAGAGCTGTTGATCGCGTGACTGGTGACGCAACGCACTTCCGCGTTGTCTCCTTACTGCTGTACTGTTTGTTGCTTCTACCTGCCCACCTTTTTGGGGGGCTTTTTACTCTTAATAACTATCTTTTTATTTATTTTATTTCACCTTTATTTAACCAGGTAAGCCAGTTGAGAACAAGTTCTCATTTACAACTGCGACCTGGCCAAGATAAAGCAAAGCAGTGCGATAAAAACAACAGCACAGAGTTACATATGGGGTAAACAAAACAAAGTCAAAAAATACAACAGAAAATATATATAGAGTGTGTGCAAATGTAGCAAGTTATGGAGGTAAGGCAATAAATAGGCTATAGTGCAAAATAATTACAATTAGTATTAACACTGGAATGCTAGATGTGCAAGAGATTATGTGCAAATAGAGATACTGGGGTGCAAAAGAGCAAAATAAATAACAATATAGGGATGAGGTAGTTGGGTGGGCTAATTTCAGATGGGCTGTGTACAGGTGCAGTGATCGGTAAGGTGCTCTGACAACTGATGCTTAAAGTTAGTGAGGGAGATAAGAGTCTCCAGCTTCAGAGATTTTTGCAATTCGTTCCAGTCATTGGCAGCAGAGAACTGGAAGGAATGGCGGCCAAAGGAGGTGTTGGCTTTGGGGATGACCAGTGAGATATACCTGCTGGAGCGCAGACTACGGGTGGGTGCTGCTATGGTGACCAATGAGCTAAGATAAGGCGGGGATTTGCCTAGCAGTGATTTATAGATGGCCTGGAGCCAGTGGGTTTGACGACGAACATGTAGTGAGGACCAGCCAACAAGAGCGTACAGGTCACAGTGGTGGGTAGTGTATGGGGCTTTGGAGACAAAACGGATGGCACTGTGATAGACTACATCCAATTTGCTGAGTAGAGTGTTGGAGGCTATTTTGTAAATGACATCGCCGAAGTCAAGGATCGGTAGGATAGTCAGTTTTACGAGGGCATGTTTGGCAGCATGAGTGAAGGAGGCTTTGTTGCGAAATAGGAAGCCGATTCTAGATTTAACTTTGGATTGGAGATTCTTAATGTGAGTCTGGAAGGAGAATTTACAGTCTAACCAGACACCTAGGTATTTGTAGTTGTCCACATACACTAGGTCAGACCCGTCGAGAGTAGTGATTCTAGTCGGGTGGGCGGGTGCCAGCAGCGTTCGATTGAAGAGCATGCATTTAGTTTTACTAGTGTTTAAGAGCAGTTGGAGGCTACTGAAGGAGTGTTGTATGGCATTGAAGCTCGTTTGGAGGTTTGTTAACCGTGTCCAATGAAGGGCCAGATGTATACAAAATGGTGTCGTCTGCGTAGAGGTGGATCTGAGAGTCACCAGCAGCAAGAGCGACATCATTGATATACACGGAGAAAAGAGTCGGCCCAAGAATTGAACCCTGTGGCACCCCCATAGAGACTGCCAGAGGTACAGACAACAGGCCCTCCGATTTGACACATTGAACTCTATCTGAGAAGTAGTTGGTGAACCAGACGAGGCAGTCATTTGAGAAACCAAGGCTATTTAGTCTGCCAATAAGAATGCGGTGGTTGACAGAGTCGAAAGCCTTGGCCAGGTCGATGAAGACGGCTGCACAGTACTGTCTATTATCGATCGCGGTTATAATATCGTTTAGGACCTTGAGCGTGGCTGAAGTGCACCCTAATCAAACTCTGTATTTAACAAGTTTACCAACGTCTTAGTTTTGTCCTCACACAACTTTTTAAATTCAACTTTATCACCCCGGGCGCTTTATCTGAACATAGATCTGCAGGACCTCCTCCGGCCGAAAAAAAGCTAAGTAACATTATGCCTTCTCATTGCATTCGCTGTACTCTTAATACACAGGAGAACTATCGCCTTATGGTTAGGATAGCTGAGTTGCAAGCTCGGCTTCAGATGCAATCGTTAGGCAAGGGCAATTTAAGTGTAGGAAAGGATGATGCAGCGTCTGTGCCACCAGTAAATACAGGTAGTAGTGATAATCCCCCTGCACAGTCCACCCAGCCGAACAATTTTCTCATGGCTTCTGGAAAGAAATGCTGTCGACATGCTCAACTGGTGTCGTTCATTCAGCCGATAGAAACTTTCAACTGGTTTTCCCCACTAAGCAAGGAGTCGGTTTCAGAGCCTGAACCTTCTCAGATCTCTCCTCCACCGGTTACTTGGTCTGAGCCGCCGAAGCCTCCCACTATTAGTTCTGACATTGAAAACCCTAGTCATTGGCAACTCCATTACCTGTAATATTAGGCTTAAAAATAATCATCCAGCGATCATACATTGTTTACCAGGGGGCAGGGCTACCGACGTAAAGGCTAATCTGAAGATGGTCCTGGCTGAGGCTAAAACTGGCAGGTGTAGATGGTATAAGGATATTGTTATCCACGTCAGCATCAACGATGTTAGGATGAAACAGTCAGAGGTCACCAAGCGCAACATAACTTCAGTGTGTAACTTAGCTAGAAAGATGTGTTGGCATCAAGTAATTGTCTCTAGCCCCCTTCCAGTTGGGGGAGTGATGAGCGCTACAGCAGACTCGCACAACTCAATTGCTGGTTGAAAACTGTTTTCTGCCCCTCCCAAAATATAGAATTAGTAGATAACTGGCCCTCTTTCTGGGACTCCTCCACAAACAGGACCAAGCCTGGCCTGCTGAGGAGTGACGGACTCCATCAAAGCTGGAGGGGTGCTCTCATCTTATCTACCAACATAGACAGGGCTCTAACTCCTCTAGCTCCACAATGAGATAGGGTGCAGGCCAGGCAGCAGGCTATTAGCCAGCCTGCCAGCTTAGTGGAGTCTGCCACTAGTACAGTCAGTGTAGTCAGCTCAGCTTTCCCCATTGAGACTGTGTCTGTGCCTCGATCTAGGTCGGGCAAAACTAAACATGGCGGTGTTCGCCTTAGCAATCTCACTGGAATAAAGACCTCCTCCATTCCTGTCATTATTGAAAGAGATTGTGATAATATCTCACATCTCAAAATAGGACTACTTAATGTTAGGTCCCTCACTTCCAAGGCAGTCATAGTCAATTAACTAATTACATTTTACATTTTAGTCATTTAACAGACGCTCTTATCCAGAGCGACTTACAGTTAAATCAATTTAAATTACAGGTTGTATTGCAACAAAATAGGAAAAACGGCAAGGGGGTTGAATACTTTTGCAAGGCACTGTATTTCTCAAAAACTCAGTTGTCCTGACTCTGCATAGAACTGCCAGGACCTCGGATCAATGGAGAGATTGGAAACCCTAATTGGTCTACACAGACAAGTTCTTGCCTGGTTTAGATGTTATCTCTCAGAAAGATACTGTATCAGTTTGTCTCTGTGGATGGTTTGTCAAATCAATGGTAAGTTTCGTTGTTCCTCAAGGTTCCGTTTTAGGACCACTATTGTTTTCATTCGGAAACACAATGTCAACTTTCACTGCTATGCAGACGACACACAGATGTACATTTCGATGAAACATGGTGAAGGCCCAAAATGGCCTACCCTGGAAGCCTGTGTTTCAGACATAAGGAAGTGGATGGTGGCAAATGTTTTACTTTTAAACTCTGACAAAACAGAGATGCTAGTTCTAGGTCTGAGGAAACAACGAGATCTGCTGTCGGATCTGACAATTAATCTTGATGGTTGTGCAGTCATCTCAAATAAAACTGTGAAGGACCTCGGCGTTACTCTGGACCATGATCTCTCTTTTGATGAACATATCAATAATATTTTAAGGGCAGCTTTTTTCCATCTTCATAACATTGCAAAAATCTGAAACGTTTTGTCCAAAAATGATGCAGAAAAGCTAATCCATGCTTTTGTCACTTCTAGATTAGACTACTACAATGCTCTACTCTCTGACTACCTGGATAAAGCACTAAATAAACTTCAGTTAGTGCTAAATGCAGCTGCTAGAATCTTGACTACAACCAAAAAATTGTATCATATTACTCCAGTGCTAGCCTCTGGCTTCCTGTTAAGGCTAGGGTTGATTTCAAGGTTTTACTGCTAACCTACAAAGCATTACATGGACTTGCTCCTACCTACACTATATATACAAAAGTATGTGGACACCCCTTCAAATGAGTGGATTCGGCTATTTCAGCCACACCCGTTGCTGACAGGTGTATAAAATCGAGCACACAGCCATGCAATCTCCATAGACAAACATTGGCAGTAGAATGGCCTTACTGAAGAGCTCAGTGACTTTCAACGTGGCACCGTCATAGGATGCCACCTTTCCAACAAGTCAGTTCGTCAAATCTCTGCCCTGCTAGAGCTGCCCCGGTCAACTGTAAATGCTGTTATTGTGAAGCGGAAATGAGCAGCTGCACACAAGCCTAAGATCACCATGTGCAATGCCAAGCGTTGGCTGGAGTGATGTAAAGCTCGCCGCCATTGGTCTCTGGAACAGTGGAAACGCGTTCTCCGGAGTGATGAATCACGCTTCACCATCTGGCAGTCCGACAGACAAATCTGGTTTTGGCGGATGCCAGGAGAACACTACCTGCCCAAATTCATAGTGCCAACTGTTAAATTTGGTGGAGGAGGAATAATGGTCTGGGGCTGTTTTTCATGGTTCGGGCTAGGCCCCTTAGTTCCAGTGAAGGGAAATCTTAATGCTACAGCATACGATGACATTCTAGATGATTCTGTGCTTCCAACTTTGTTGCAACAGTTTGGGGAAGGCCCTTTCCTGTTTCAGCATGACAATGCCCCGTGCACAAAGCGAGGTCCATACAGAAATGGTTTGTCGAAATCGGTGTGGAAGAACTTCACCGCCCTGCACAGAGGCCTGACCTCAACCCCATTGAACACCTTTGGGATGAATTGGAACACCGACTGCAAGCCAGGCCTAATTGCCCAACATCAGTGTCCGACCTCACTAACGCTCGTGGCTGAATGGAAGCTAGTCCCCACAGCAATGTTCCAACATCTAGTGGAACATTCCATGATTTTGGAATGAGATGTTCGACGAGCAGGTGTCCACATACTATTGGTCATGTAGTGTATCTCTTCAATTTGGTCCTGCCGTGCTTACCTACATGTAAGCTATGATCACAAGATGCAGGCCTCCTTATTGTCCCTAGAATTTCTAAGCAAACAGCTGGAGGCAGGGCTTTCTCCTATAGAGCTAAATTTTTATGGAATGGTCTGCCTATCCAGGTGAGATACGCAGACTCGACCTTTAAGTCTTTACTGAAGACTCATCTCTTCAGTAGGTCCTATGCTTGAGTGTAGTCTGGCCCAGGGGTGCGAAGGTGAATGGCAAGGCACTGGAGTGACAAACCGCCCTTGCAGTCTCTGCCTGGCCGGCTCCCCTCTCCACTGGGATTCTCTGCCTCTGACCCTATTAAGGGGGCTGAGTTACTGGCTTACTAGTGTTCTTCCATGCTGTCCCTAGGAGGGGTGCATCACGTTGTGCCAGGCTTTCTTCGCTATACTCTACTTGAGTGGGTTGAGTCACTGACGTGATCTTCCTGTCCGGTTTTGTGCCCCCTCGGGCTCGTGCAGTGGAGGAGATCTTCATGGGCTATCCTCAGCCTTGTCTCAGGGTAGTAAGTTGGTGGTCTGTTGATATCCCTTTAGTGGTGTGGAGGCTGTGCTTTGGCAAAGTGGGTGGGGTTATATCCTGCCTGGATTGCCTTATCTGGGGGGTATCATCGAAGTCAGTGTCCCTAGACCCCACCCCTGTCTCAGCCTCCAGTATCTATGCTGCCATAGTCTATGTGCCGGGGGGCTAGGGTCAGTCTGTCCTATCTGGTGAAATTCTCCTGTCTTATCTGGTGTCCGGTGTGAACTTAAGTGTGCTCCTAATTCTCCCATTTTTCGCTCTCCCCCTCCCCTCCCGGAGGACCTGAGCATTAGGACATGCCTCAGGACTATGCCTCAGGACTATCTGGCCTGATGACTCCTGGCTGTCCCCTTTGTGACATCTGCTGATGTAAAAAGGGCTTTATAAATACATTTGATTGAAAGACCCAATCCCATCCCCGCAAAGCCCCCGTTTCGACTCACTTCTTTCATCAGGAGTTGTAGCCTCTTTAGGATCCTCTTGGCGTCTGTCAGTCTTTCCTTCACTGTACGTCTGGTCACCTTCCGCTTCACTCGCAGAGACTGCTTGGCTAGGACAATCTGAGGAAAGAGGAGATTTGTATTTGTATTTATTAGGGACCCCCATTGTCACGCCCTGGCTCTGGGGACTCGTTAATGTTGAGCCAGGGTGTTAGTTTCTATGTTATAGTTTTCTATGTTGTGTTCTAGATCGTTTAGTTTCTATGTTGGCCAGGGTGTTTCCCAATCAGAGACAGCTGTAGATTGTTGTCTCTGATTGGGGAACATACTTAGGCAGCCTGTTGGCACATGTTAATTGTGGGATCTTGATCCGTAAGTTTTGTGTTTAACCCTAGGACTTCACGTATCGTTTGGTTTGTTGTTTTTGTTCATGAGTTGTGTATGTGCGCTTATCACGCTGCGCCTTGGTCCGCTTCTTCCAACGATCGTGACAGAAGATCCCACCATGACTGGATCAAGCAGTGTGAAGAGGAGAGAGGATGGACTTGGGAGGAGAAGAGTGAGAGTCTGGCGAGAGCCATGGAGGCCATGTTCACGGGGGAGAGACAAGCCCAATACATTTTTAGGGGGGGGGCTCACACCGTGGACGGCGAGGCAGCGGGAGGCCGCGATAGAGCGGTTCGGCAGGTTTGCAGAGGAGGCCGCCAGGTTACGGGGGCCACTGGTCACGAGGGAGAAGGAGAGTGTAGAGGCACGGCGAGAGGTACTGGGGTGTGTTACCAGTCCGGTCCGGCCCGTTCCTGGTCCCCGCACAAGGCCAGTGGGGTGTGTTCCCAGTACGTTACGGCCTGTTCCTGTCCCTCGCACCAAGCCTGTGGTGCGCGTCGCCAGCCCGGTCCGGCCTGTTCCTGCTCCCCGCACCAAGCCAGTGGTGCGCGTCGCCAGCCCGGTCCGGCCTGTTCCTGCTCCCCTCACCCAGCCAGTGGTGCGCGTCGCCAGCCCGGTCCGGCCTGTTCCTGCTCCCCGCACCAAGCCAGTGGTGCGCGTCGCCAGCCCGGTCCGACCTGTTCCTGCTCCCCGCACCAAGCCAGTGGTGCGCGTCGCCAGCCCGGTTCGGCCTGTTCCTGCTCCCCGCACCAAGCCAGTGGTGCGCGTCGTCAGCCCGGTCCGGCCCGTTCCTGCTCCCCGCACCAAGTCAGTGGTGCACGTCGTCAGTCCGGCACGGCCCGTGCCTGTTCCACCGGTCAGCTGCTCCACTGCGGAGCCAGAGTAATCCGCTCCACCGGTGTTCAGTCCAGCTCCGGCCAGCAGGGCCAGACCACGAGGGCGAGAGAGAGAGTGGTGGTCATGCCCGGAGCCGGATCCGCCTCCGAGGCGGAATGCCCACCCGGCCCCTCCCCTGTGGTGTTTGGTTGGCGCGGTCGCAGTCCGCGCCTTTGGGGGGGGGGGGGGGGGGTACTGTCACACCCTGGCTCTGGGGACTCGTTAATGTTGAGCCAGGGTGTTAGTTTCTATGTTATAGTTTTCTATGTTGTGTTCTAGATCGTTTAGTTTCTATGATGGCCAGGGTGGTTCCCAATCAGAGACAGCTGTAGCTTGTTGTCTCTGATTGGGGACCATACTTAGGCAGCCTGTTGGCACATGTTAATTGTGGGATCTTGATCCGTAAGGTTTGTGTTTAACCCTAGGACTTCACGTATCGTTTGGTTTGTTGTTTTTGTTTGTGAGTTGTGTACTACACGTAATAAAAGAATGTGCGCTTATCACGCTGCGCCTTGGTCCGCTTCTTCCAACGATCGTGACACCCATTAGCTGCTGCCAAGGCATCAGCTACTCTTCCTGGGGTCCAAACACATTAAGGCACTTACTGTACATCACACATAACAAAAGATAAAACAGTACATTATATAACCTTATTACACCACTACATATCTACAATACAAAATCCATAATACACCATACAACAATATTACGATGTACGTGTGTGTGCGTATGCATGTGTCTGTACCTGTGTGTGTCTTTTCATAGATACCATATCACAGGATAGAAACATAGTATCGATATAATACAATTTAATAAAATGTGGATTGAGATAATAATGGATGAGATTAGTGGCTCATGTTTTTGCAACACTCACAATGTTCTTCTTGATAAACTCCTTGCGGAATTTGTCCAGGTTGTTGCGCTTCGCTGGTGTCTTCCTATCTGAGTTGGAGTTGTACTGCCTTCAGGGCAGTGAGAGACAAGGTCATTTAAAAGCCTCAGGGCAACCTAAGCAATTGGCTAAAAGGCTGCAGGTTGTCCACTTGTTGATTCCAAATGCTGAGATGGTACTGTAGCAACTCACTTGCAACTCGCGACAAACTCCAAAAGCACCTCCCCTAAGCGTTCCTTGGCATTGCTCCTGGGTCTCTTTAGAAGTTTCTCCACCTCATCAATGCCATGTTCCTAATGAAGAGGGAACAGCCATCAACATCGGTATCTTTGCGGCTTCCAGGGAACCATTGAAGATCAGGTCACAGGTTAAGCACAGGTTACAGTATTTAGATCTGAGCATTTACCAGCCTATCAGCCATCTTGTGCAGCCAGTTAGCATTGTGGTAACGGAAGCAGTGGTCCTCAAAGTGGGTCCACAGAAACATACAAGGCTTCTCATATGTCATGGGGACACAGCTAAATGATCTGTAAATGTAAAAAAAAAAAAAAAAAAAGATTTACACTGCCCTGGTATCTGGAAGATGGCTGGGGTGCATCCATTGTTAGTTAGTCTGTTTATATTTTACCAGATGAATAAGACTTTGAGTTACCTGTCATACTCTGTAAACTGTGGTCTTCTTGGAGCAGTGACAGAACTGTCCTGTGGCCCAGGGCTTGGGCTTGGAATCTCCTCCCTCTCCAGTTCATCTTCTGATGATTCCAACAGAGATTGTCTCTCACTGTTGAGATCCTCTCTGCTCTGAGTCTTCTTTGGCCTCACCACCACCTCCGCTGCCTTCCCATAGTTCCCTGTTCACGTACCAAAAATACACTTCACACAGAATCTATCTCAGTGAAAAGACCTTGACAAAATCCATGTTTGATAGAAAAACAATTATGGGCACTGAAAGGTTAACCTGTATTGCAACACTTCAAGGTCGATGTAACTGCACCACCAGTGCATTAACATAGGCTATAGTTAGATGATGGCTAATGAACTTAACACTAATCCCAGCAATCTCTAGTTTCTTATCTTGAAAAAGTGGGCAAAATGTCACAGTATTACCAATGGACAACTCAAAGGTCACTGGCTTGCTTCCAATGATGGGATCAATCATGGTCACTTCAAAGAGTGATGCGAACAGCAAAAATTCATCCTTTTCTCCAAAGAAATTCTGCAAGACAAAATAAGACAAGTCGTCAAATGCACCAGGTAGTCTATTGTAACAAGAACACAAGAAGAGGGGTCTTAAATACTCAATCTTAAACAATCAGGCAATAATAATGCCGCAAATGGTATGTCAGAGTGGGTTTATTATAGTGTGAGGTTTCTGGGGGATGTAGGCGGTGCTGACCTCAGGCAGGGGATGAATCTCCTCCACCTCCACAGTCACAGCTCCGGGTACCTCTGTACCTGCTTCCTCAGACTCCTCTGCAGGCCCACTAGGGCCCGGTGCTGCTATACATCACAACAACAACAACAAATCACCAAAGCTCACAGAACAACCTATCCCTTCCTATACTTAGCCTTTAACTGATGACCCCGCACTATACCATAAAACAACATCACACAGACCAACTAACAACATACTACACAGCAACCCAAAATACAACAACCATTGTAACTTGCACAATAACTGTTCGCTACCTTCCTCCTTCTTTTGCTTGGACTTCCGGCTCTTCTTCCTGAGGGAGAGCTTGCCAAGGGCGCTCCTGACACTGGCTGTGGCCTTGCTGCTCTCCACGGCAGCAGTGTTGGGGGAGGAGTAGACCTCCACGCTGAGAGACAGCAGTATGCGACCCCGGTAGAAGATGCCCTCGCTCAGACCTTCGTTCAGAACCTGGTGGATGTCGCCCAGGGCAGAGTTCTGAGGGGAGCCGTACAGGTTGATCCAGGACGGGCCAAAGGTGGGGTTGAACCCTGGAGAGGATGGAGAGGATGAACCCAGGGAGACCACACCAGAGAGACAGGGGAATGATAATGTCATTACTGAGAGATACAGTATAATTGACAGATGGATGTTTACATCAAATTTGCAATGGACAGGACCAAAGATGGTAACACTTCCTACAAATACCATCTCCATAATGCATTATAAGTGCATTAATGTTATGAGCTATGCATAATGCAATATAATACACAGCATAATAATACCGTAATTTAATTATATTCATACAGCATTATGAACAGGCAACATATTGCCTAATGAACCAAGTGTTATAATCCCCTATATTAAATCATTGTAATTAACATTGTGATACATTTTTATTGACGAAGAGGGTGGAACCCCTGATTATACAGCCTGGTTGTAATTATCTTGGGATGTAGTTAAAGATCTTTATCAGCAGTTATAAACACCTATGTTGTGCATGCACATCATTATGCATAATACATTATAAATGTGCATTATGAAGAAGGTATTATAAGGTAAGTGTTACTTAAAACATTTCCAATATTTTTATAGTAAATCCCTTCCCCCAAGAAAAACCTTTATCATTCTGTCGATAGTAGCTTCGGACCGCAACATGGCTCCAGCGCCTGGTGTCTGAAATCAATACAGACCTAAAGTATACGGTTTCACCCAAAAAACATTTTTCCTGTCAACAAAGGCATATCCATAATCTCCAAGAACAATACTTACCACCAGGCAACCTGTTAAACTCTGACTCATTAGATACATTTAAATTGTATAAGTCCTACCAACACATGCTTAGTACTGTTAGAAAGGTAAGAACCGTGGGATTCTGATACAGGTGTCAGCCACAACTTGACTATTACAGAGCCAGAGCAACAGCAGGTAATGAAAAGCTATTAATTATTTTTTTAATTATATATTTATTTATTTATTGTCCCCATGTTGGGGAATAAAATATTTGAAAGTCTAGGTTTTAAATAAAATATATCACTAATTTAGGGTGACCACATTTAAAATACCCAAATGCGGGACAACAGGATGATTTTGCGGGACATTCGCGGGACAGTGTATCCTACATGAATATTTTTTGGGGGCAGCACTCCCCCCTTTGGAGGATGCATAAAATGCATAAATTGCAACGTCTGCCCATGCCCAAACATAGTCAAAAAATAAAATTGATAGATACCCTCAAACCCCAAATTAGGCATACCTAATTTCAAAATGATAATTCCTCACGTTTTACTGTGAAACATCCAAACTGCATCTGCATGCCAATCATTTGATATCAATAATTTTTATGGGAATATGCATTTAGATCTTCTTGAATTACTGTTTTGTAAGCAAATTAGAGCAGATGGTGTAAACAAACTATATAGCCTTTCTGTATTTTGTTTCAATCAAAGCACATTCTGCCTAGTGGCGCACGCTGTTGAGTTTTGGACGCATGAGAATAATTGTTTGACTATTCGGCTAATCATTCTAAAATCTCATAAGAAATTAGGTGGTGTTTTTGGTGTAACAGTAAGGCTAAGCTATTGTATTTGGTTCTGTTATGTAGAATACTAATGAATCATTATATGATCTTCCAAGACATTGATTCAGCTTTGATCTAACTTTACTAAACGAGCACCATTGTGAGAAGTGTCGGAGCACCATTGGGAGGGTGTAGTGCGCTCAAGCAGCACTGCACCCCTGCAGCACTGCACCCCTGCAGCACTGCACCCCTGCAGCACTGCACCCCTGCTCCCGCTGCACCAAACAAGCTAATTGATGAGCACCAAGTCCTAGTATTTTGCCTTGCATAAAATTTGGTGATGCAGAAATGAGACACCACGTGGCCGTTTTATGAAAATCTGGGAATATTTTGCCAAGGAAACATTTCTGGTTGGTCTCAGGGAATGTAAAACAGTTAGGAATGGAGGCTTTTGAAATGGGATTGAGTAAAGTAGCAGCAAATATGTTGAATGAGCAACTAATGAGCATGGAGAGCTTGACGAAATTACCTTATCTTTCAGTCTAATACGACTATGTACTTACTTTTGTAGCTCTTAGTCAGAAGCACACTTTTTGTAAGTAGTTAGGCCAGCTAACTGTCCTCTCCAAATGTTGCTGGAATTTCAACCTGCACTCAGGGTTACGTAACATAGTAAATGTAAATCCGGGACACTCCAATTTGTGTGATATTGTATGGCATGTATTAATTTGTGGATGTCCATCATCCATTTCGTATGATATGATACGAATTACAATTCGTGGTTAGGGGTTAAGGTTAGGTTTAAGGTTAAAGGGTTAACAACGATTAACATCACCAGTAGGCCTACCTTATGATATATATATTTTCATAAGCAAGAGGCAGGTTGGAATGTCTGACTGAAATACCAACCTGGACTCAGGGGTAGATGTATAACATAATAAAAGTACATCTAGGGTACTCCAATTAGTATGGTATGTATTAATTTGTGGATGTCCATCAACCATTTCGTATGATATGTTATGAATTACAATTTGTATGATATGTTACGAATTGCAATTGAAACGATATGTTACGAATTGCAATTTGTACAATATGTTACGAATTTGTATGATATGTTACGAATTCAAATTTGTTGTGGTTAAGGGTTAGCTAGGTGGCAAGGTGGCTAACGTTAGCTAGGCTTGGGGTTAAGGTTAGGGGAAAGGTTAGCTAACATGTTAAGTAGTTGCAAAGTAGCTAAAAAGTAGTAAGTAGTTGCTAATTAGCTAAAATGCTAAAGTTGTTTGTGTTGAGATTTAAACATGCAACCTTTGGGTTGCTAGACGTTCGCGTCACCACCCTACTTTCGTTTTTGCCTTAAGTAACCTTTTGTCTTATGTAACCATACCAAACATAACATATCATACTAATTTGAATGTGCCGTTCTTTCGTTTACTATGTAAGACTAATCGATGAAACCAGGCTGGAAATACGAGAAAAATCTACCTTTTCTTCTAAATTAGTGGTGTTTGAATTAGTTGATCAAACACCGGACATGATTGATTGGTTGCGGGTCACGGGACAAAGAGCCAAAATGCAAGATTGTCCCACACAATCTGGGACATGTGGTCACCCTATACCAATTGACCATTCACTAAACCCAGCCCACCTTGGTTAATGTTGCAACCTCGGTCAACATTTTCCCCCAAAGCCCATTTCAAACTGTGATTTTAATACACAATGAAATGAAACATTACCCCTTGGTAATCAGGAGACTCTCATATGTTGTGGTGGACTGTCATTACAATTGCTTCATGGGATCCTGGTTAAAACCGCTAAAAGTATAAGCTGTTGGAGGAGGGGTGGGATACTAAGCTAACATAAAGTATGGAATTGTTTTAAGATGGTCATACCATGGATCATTTAGCTATTTGATTTAGAATTGTAGGACCCCTTTATGTATTAAATCAAAAATATTTAAAAAGTATTTGATAAAATATTGAATTTGGCTTTTACTACAATAGCCCATAGAATCACATTGAAAAGCACATTCATAAATGGCAAAAAATACAGTTAAAAATTAAATCATATGGAATAAGGTTTTGAAGTGTCTGACCCAGGGCCGGCCCTCCCATTAGGCAAGATTAGGCATCCGCCTATGGCGGCACTTGAATTTGGGGCGGCATTTTGACAATTGGCTGCCGCCCTTTGGCACCCCTGATCGGCTGCTACACCGCCGACAGCACCCCAGCCACCAACTCATAGCGTAGCTGCAGTTCCTTCCCTCACCCCATTCCCGCTTCTCCCGAAGTTCACTCCCACTATCCTTGGGTAGCTTTGGTGATGTGTGTTTATATGGGATTATCCAATTGTGAAACATTAATAAAAATGAATCTGCCAATTAAATGATTGTTTTGTTTTTTATGTTTGTGTATGATGAAGATGATTAGTGAATAAGGCAGTAGCCTAACCTAGCCTGTTAATGTTAGCTAGCTACTAATAGTGGATAGAAATTTAGCTAAAAGTAAGCTATAGAGAATTGAAACAATTTGCTACCATGCCTAAGAGACAAAAACTATCAGGAAGCAAATATTTTTAAAAAATGAATGAGAAAAGAGGCACAGTCTCTTTTTTCTTCTCGCCTAGGGAGGCAGAACGTCCAGGGCCAGCCCTGGTCTGACCTATATCTAGGAGATATAAGAAACCTCCGGAAATATTTGTAGTTTTTTTTTTACACATATTTAACCCCATATTTACCTCCATACTTTCATTCCTTTGTATGGGTTACCTGCATATGAGTCCTGTGACACTTGTGGGGGTCATAGAGCCAAACCGTTCGGATGTTATGGACGTTTTCGTGAGAAGACCGATTTTCGGGATGTCTCATGGTCTGACAATCACTGCTGTAGCTCGGCCACCTTACCACCCTGCTATCTCTAGCTTAAACTGACAGATTTTGATGGGGATTTTTTTATTATGTTACTTAGATTGATGCACTAGTGGATTTTAAATGAAGGTTGTAGTGTGGCTAGCCACTGGATGGCTCTGAATGCACTGTCAGTATGCAGCCAAAGTTACTAACCACTTTTGGAGCTAACTGGTGCTCTCAAATCATATCCTGATGTCGACAGCAGATGAGAGTTGTATTTATAACATGACTAACTTACCTAACATACATTTCGAAAAAATATTAATTAGCTAGGTAGCTAGCGTTAGCAACGTTGGGTGGTCAATAAGACTGAGAGCTAGCTAACCAGCTGAGCTAGCAAACAATGTAACAAAAGGGTTCATTACCATTTTAAAGGATTGTAGATTTTTTAAAGAGGGGAAAAATATATCTATCTTTTAACTAATGGTGGCGCTCTAAACATGCACAGTTCCCATAGGAACACAGCCATTTTAAAAGTGTAGGGCTTGTACAATGAGCCTTGCCTTTATTTTTCATCTTACAGGAATTATAGTATATACAGTACCAAAAGTTTGGACAGGCCTACTCATTCCAGGGTTGTTCTTAATTTTTACTATTTTCTACATTGTAGAATAATAGTGAAGACAATAAATCTATGAAATAACACATATGGAATCATGTAGTGACCAAAAACATGTTACACAAATCAAAATATATTTTATATTTGAGATTCTTCAAAGTAGCCACCCTTTGCCTTGATGACAGCTTTGCACACTCTTGGTATTCTCTCAACCAGCTTCATGAGGTAGTCACCTGGAATGTATTTCAATTAACAGGTGTGCCTTGTTAAAAGTAAATTTGTGGATTTTTTTTTCCTTCTTAATGTGTTTGAGCCAATCAGTTGTGTTGTGACAAGGTAGGGGCGGTATACAGAAGATAGCCCTATTTGGTAAAAGACCAAGTCCATATTATGGTAAGAACAGCTCAAATAAGCAAAGAGAAATGACAGTCCATCATTACTTTAAGACATGAAGGTCAGTCGCAAAAACCATCAAGCGCTATGATGAAACTGGCTCTCATGAGGACCGCCCCAGGAATGGAAGACCCAGAGTTACCTCTGCTGCAGAGGATAAGTTCATTAGAGTTACCAGCCTCAGAAATTGCAGCCCAAATAAATGCTTCACAGAGTTCAGTAACCGACACATCTCAACATCAACTGTTCAGAGGAGACTGCGTGAATCAGGCCTTCATGGTCGAATTGCTGCAAAGAAACCACTACTAAAGGACACCAATAATAAGAAGAGACATGCTTGGGCCAAGAAACATGAGCAATGAACATTAGACCGGTGGAAATCTGTCCTTTGGTCTGATGAGTCCAAATGTGAGATTTTTGGTTCCAACCGCCGTGTCTTTGTGAGACGCAGAGTAGGTGAACAGATGATCTCTGCATGTGTGGTTCCCACTGTGAAGCACGGAGGAGGAGGTGTGATGGTGCTTTGCTGGTGACACTGTCTGTGATTTATTTAGAATTCAAGGCACACTTAACCAGCATGGCTACCACAGCATTCTGCAGCGATACGCCATCCCATCTGGTTTGCGCTTAGTGGGACTATCATTTGTTTTTCAACAGGACAATGACCCAACACACAACCAGGCTGTGTAAGGGCTATTTGACCAAGGAGGAGAGTGATGGAGTGCTGCATCAGATGACCTGGCCTCCACAATCACCCGACCTCAACCAAATTGAGATGGTTTGGGATGAGTTGGACCGCAGAGTGAAGGAAAAGCAACCAACAAGTGCTCAGCATATGTAGGAACTCCTTCAAGACTGTTGGAAAAGCCTTCCAGGTGAAGCTGGCTGAGAAAATTCCAAAAGTGCGCAAAGCTGTCATCAAGGCAAAGGGTGGCTACTTTGAAGAATCTCAAATATAAAATATATTTTGATTTGTTTAACACTTTTTTTGGTTACTACATGATTCCATATGTGTTATTTCATAGTTTTGATGTCTTCACTATTATTCTACAATGTAGAAAATAGTAAAAATAAAGAAACTCTTGAATGAGTAGGTGTGTCCAAACTTTTGACTGGTACTGTACATAGAAGAAAAGCTGAAGTCGTAACCTTTTCACTGATGTAATCAGATCTCATGTCCAATTCCAAGTGCGTCCACTAAATCGCAGTAGAAGATCACATCACGTGACTTGGCCACTTGAAACCAGATGTGTCTGGTTTGAGCTGGTTTGGGTAGCGACTCACTGTGTGAAAATGGCTGAACTGATTTTCAAGCCTGACAACTTAAAACTGCCTGGTGGTAAGTCTTGTTCCTAGAGATTATGGATATGCCTTTGTTGAAGGGACATTTGTTTGGTGAAACCGTTCACACTTTAGGTCTGTATTGATTTCGGACAGCAGGCACTGGAACCTCACGCAACTAGGATCCATCTAAGACCAATGTCCCATCAAGATCCTAATTGTGGTCAGGATCCTACTTGTAGTCCGAAGCTATGTCGATAGTAGTCTGCTAAAATGAGAGTTTAGGTGTTCTGCTGCATACGCTACCATTTCTGTTGGGGTTGGAGATTTGCTGCAGGTCAAGAAAGTGTGTTCCCACTGCCACATCGCCAATGTTGGCATCGTCCAGGATCTGCACTTTGATTCGCCGGGCAAGGGGAGGAAACTGCTCGATGAAAGAGATCTGCTCATTCCACTCAGGAGTGTTGGTGTTGGACTCTACTGATGTCTCACCCTTTGATAAAAAGCAGTATTTCTCAATTGGTGCAGTCCATTGATAAATTCACATACTGTAGGTCTTACAATTAAATTATACAAATCAGGCTCATTTAATTTTAAATAAAGGTTAATTATTTGATTTCAATAATAAAACTCCCAAAAGCAGTTCAGTGCTAATCTTACAGTACATCAAGAGAAGGAATGCAGGAAAGGAAATATAGGGTTGTGCCGTGATGTGAATGAGGTGATAAGCCACAGTGACACACTCCATTGGTTTGGAAACAGTAGTGTGTTTTCCATTACCTCACCAAGAAAGGCAGAGTGTACTGTACAAATAAAGGGACCACAACCCAGTAAACAAATAGTAGGTGTATTGTAAGAGTGAGTGTTGTGGATGTATCAGTGGGAGTTGAGACATAGAAACACAAGCATATCACAGGGAGGACATAGATGGCTTGTATGAGACCAGGTATAGGTGAAATAATGGGTCTTGGTAAACATGTGAAAGCATTTCACTGAAGTGACATCCCACATGAAAAAAAGTGTGCAGCGGCCATTATTGTTAGCGCAATCACCCACTTTTCTTTATTTACATTGTTATCAGGAAATATTCCAAAAGTATGGAAATCAGCTCTTGTGCCGCCACTCCATAAGGGCGGGGAGAGTAGTGATCTTAATTATAGCCCCATTTCAAGGCTTCGTTGTCTAGCTAAGATTCTTGAATCCTTGGTACAGCTTTGCTCTTTTTTATCTGAGAAATTAATTTTGAATGTAAACCAATCATGGTTTAGGCCTGGGCATAGTACTATTACAGCAATCCCTTTAGTTGTTAATGATCTTATCAATGCTTTAGACACTAAAATGAAATGTGCTGCTTTGTTTGTGGACTTGTCAAAGGCTTTTGATACTGTTGATTGTGCTATTTAATTGAACAAGTTGTCCTCGATAGGCCTGAGCTCTGACGCCTTTTCATGGTTTCATGATTATTTTAGTGGCAGAACTCAGGCCATCATGATTGATGGGGTTAAAGGAAAACTCCACCCAAAAACAATCTTTTGGTATTTGTTTTGAAAACTTGATTGCTGACAAGCAAAACATTTTGGGACTATGTCAACAATGGACTAATGAAACAAATACCAAAATATCGTTTTTGGGTGGAATTGTCCTTTAAGTCCGAATTTCTTGAAGTCGATACTAGGACCTGTTATTTTCACTATTTATATAAATGCTATTGGTCAATCCGTAAAAAAAATAAAAATAATAATCTATATGCAGATCATACTATTATGTACGCAATTGACCTGGCTGTGACAAGGCAACAGTCCGATTTTGCAGTTGTGCAGGAAGCCCTTACTGATTTAAAACTCGTACTTAATACGTGCAAAAAACGAATACGTTGTATTCAAGTTAATGTAAGATTGCCTCAGCTGGATTATATCTTTACTCATTGGATGGTTCTATAATCGAACGAGTCCCTATATACAAATACCTTGGTATGTAGATTGACAATGATTTATTGTTTAGAAAACATATGACTGAGCTTGTTAAGAAACAAAGATTTAAAGTGTGCTGAATTTAGTCTGCAAAAACACCACAGTGAATAATATAGTATTTAAATGCAGGGCTCATCTGCAAAATAGGCAGTGGTCTCAGCATGACTCCCTGGTTAAATAAAAAAAGATGGTATACTATAGTATTTTTTTATGTGAACTGGCACAACAACAGAAAACCTGCACTAATGACTCACAAAACAAACAAAACCATTTAATAGAATATTTGTGATATGAATGCGACCGAAATCGGTTTTGAATTCCAATGGAATTGGAATTTCAGTTTACTTCCTGAATTGACTGAATTTAAATGGAATTGACCAAAACCTTGATATCCAACATCTAAAAGAACCTGCACCTGTACCTGTTGGCCTGCGAATGTGACCTGCACGTAAGGGTCAATGAAGACCTTCTTGTCCCGCATCATCTTAGAGAGGCCACCCAGGAAGCCAGCACTCATACTGGGCAAGCCTTCTGCCTTGTAGATCTTCACCAGGAACTTGGCCCAGGGCCTCTCCATTGGCATTCTCTTGGGCAAGAGCAGGTTCCTACACAGAGAGCAACATGAGCCCAATTTCAATTCAAATCAATACAACTTGACTTATCCCCTCAGGCAATTAAGAAAGGCAAGTCCAGGAATAGTGATCAGTTATCTAAAAGCTTTCCTGCATCAATATTTCATTTTTTTTGAATGAATGAATTAACAATACAGGCAGAAGAAAAAAACCAAATGGGAAATCAGCCAATGAATTCAAGCAATAGCTTAAAGTGAGTTATAAACACCACCCACCAAGGAGTGGTCTACATGGCTAATAAAATGTTCAGCATTTGTCTTAGGAGGTTCCTTCAAGAAAAAGCTATGACTCACTTCTCAATGTCATTGTTCTGACTGCCTAAATTGGGCAAACTGGGCATTCCCATTGCGTCTCCTTTCATCACAACACTCAAGGTGCACTTCACGAAACCTTTTATCCCTGTCCGGGTGTCACTGGGATCAGTAAGGGGAGCCCATTTCTGGTAGAACCTGTGATCTGTTGCGACAGAAAGAGATACTTCTTTATGAGTAAAAAAATACAAGGCTGATACTTTTATTGAGTAGTGATGTCAAAAAGAATGACTAAAATTACAATATTGAAAGAATAAGGACTATGCCCTTTAACCTTTAAATCATAATCTTATCAGGGAACCACAGATTTATCTTCCCTTTTATACATGCTTCCAAGTTTTTGTGTCATATATTGTTTACCTTGCTGACTGTAGACAGTGCTGATGTCAATTTTGAAGGTGCCGATAAGTGTCATCATAAATCCCAGCATCTTTTTGTGAACAACCTATGTGGTAAAACAAAGGCTCAGTATATCCAAGGATAGCATGACATTATCTTAACTGATCCGGTGAGCCCAGGACATTATGTATCATACCACATGATCCTGTGGTTCCAGTGTGCAAATGTGGCTTCAGGACAAAGATACCTCCTTTCACTTTACATTGACATATATTGAATCATATTCTGATAATCAAAAATGTGAAGTCCAGACTTACAACAAACTATTTTTACAACTTACCGTTATCTCAATAACTTTATCAAACAGCACATCTTGTGTCTCCTGGAACTCAAACATGAAGTTCTGAGAGAGGGAAGAAACATTTAAGTAATGTGTGGGGAATTGAAACCTTAAGTAAAAAGTATCTTGGATACCTCCACATGTAAAATAATGTATCTTATTCTATTACACAACATCATTGTATTTGGACAGTGACGCTAACATGTTTTATTTGTCTCTATACGCCACCATTTTGGATTTGAGATCAAATGTTACACACGAGGGTATTATTTGAGGGTATTCTCAAACATATCGGTTTTACTGTTAAGAAATGAAAGCACTATCTAGTTTGAAGAAGTCATAAGTATTTGGATAAATTCACTTATGCATTTGCAGTTTGTCTTAGTTGTGTTTTGGGTTATGTTTTGCCCAATAGGAGCTGATCGCTGAATGATGAATGGAGTAATTTTCTTTCTAAGTTTAGTAGATAAGATATTTCTGAACACAAATTAATCCTGATAAGTCATGATTAGAAAACCATGAATGAATCATGAATAATGATGACAGGGGAGGTTAAAACAATTTTTTGGGGGGGTATGTAAATGTGTGCCTATGTAACTTTCTCACTCATCATTATTCACAGTTCATTCATGGTTATCCATAATCATGGTAGCACTAGCATCCAAATGAATGTAGAAGTGTTCAGAAACATCTTATATTCTTACTTACAATAAACGTGACTCCAAAATGACACAATGCATTATTCACCATTCAGTTCCTATTGGGCAAAACATAATCTGGTGAAAAAGGTATGAAAATACCCTCAAATAAAAGGTGACATTCTGAACTGTCACCTCATACGAAACATTTGATTTCAAATCCAAAATGCTAGAGTATAAAGACACATTTAACATTTTAGCTTCACTGTCCAAATACATATGGTGTTGAGTGTATATTCTATACCCCCTGATACTCAGGGGTTAAAAAGACCACCTCATTGTAGAATGGACAGTTGGTGGACTTCTGTGTAGCGGTTTTCCTTTTCACTTCTCCCACTCTGACATACACGGCTGGATTTATGTTCACACCCACCAGTTTCTGGGCCTCCAACACATTCACATTAACCTGAGAGAAAGAGTGAAAGAGACTTTAAGATGCTGGTCTTGAATTAAGTTTTCCATGGACCAAATAATGGTGTGATCATAAAGATTAGATTAGATGGACCCAACTTTGTCCCGCTTTAAATGAAGTGCCATTTATGAAGTCCTTATAAAGCATTAATAAAGGCTTCAAAAGCACTATATAAATGGGTCACAAATCATCTAGAACTGTATGCCACGCTCTATAAAGGATTCATAAATGTGCCATAACTGTGTGACATAACCACCAATGTCGAATGTGACATAACCCATTATGTCAAATATTACATAAACCAGTGCGTTTTAAAGGTTGACATAAGCATCTCTTAATAATGGTGTTGAGGGAAACTGTTCCTATGCCTTCTCGTCCATAACTTTCCTCACTCACCTGGAAGCTCTGTACTCGAGGTGTGGCGGCAAGCACATGCTTTGAAAGAGGTCTGCAACGACTAAAACATATAACACAGACAACATATAAATATACACTTTTTCAACGAAAACTACTGTGTGTAAAAAATAAAAAAAAATAAAAAAAGTCCCTCTACAGAAACAAGAGAAAAAAACAAAACACCTTAAAATGGGAGTGAACGTTATGTTGGCAGACTCCATGTCTGATATGTCATAATCGTCATCATCCTCGTCATCGTCTTCATCATCCTCGTCCCCGGTTTTGACCAGACCGCGCCCTAATTTCCTGGTCTCTCGGTCGAGTTTCTCGGGTCGCAGACTCTGCTTTAACCTGAGTCAAAGGATCATCGTTTGGATCATTGTCATATGAAATACAATAAGAAACAAATGAACAAAATGTCTCAAACTTGAGAAATCGTCCACAGAAACGTTCCATATGACTAGAGTTCACTGAATGTGATCTCATCTCAGAATGACATCAATCAATCAAATTTGAGCACTCCTCAATAACAATCTCAATTACAGTGTCTAGGACTTACCCAGGCTCAGCAAAACCAGAGTTTCTGATAACAAGGCCTGAGCTGAGAAACGGGGAAAGGTGGGAGAGAAAATGAGAGAGAGAGTTTGATATGTGACTTGAAGATTTTTTTGAAATATAATGATATATTAATTCATCAACATTATTAGGAAGAACATAACAATGTCGGTGAGCATGCAATCTGTTATCAAGTATAGACAAATATGGTGGAAGAAATATGGTGCAGTATTCTGCATACTATTCTTTCACTCACTCATCATTGTCTTCCACATTGAGGAATTCCTCCCCCTCCCATCCACCGGCAGCACCTTGCACAGGGTGGTATCGTACGTCCAGCTCAATGTATATCTGAACATATAAAGTATAAAAAGTGCCTTTATAGATAAATAAACCTGTGTATGCGTGTGTGTTGTGTATGTGTGTACCAGGATGCTTTTTTCATTCGTTTAAAAAATATACATTTCTTCCACATTACAGGGGAGGTTCATTCTCCGTATCCTCCCTGCAGAAGCCTCCACTGGTGTATGTGTTTGACTTACATTTGTCTGGCTGTAGTTGCTGTCTGTCAGTGGCTCTCGAAGTAGCAGTCTCCCAGCGGTCACCACATGCTGGAGACTAATGATTAATTTACCCAGGAGCCTGAGGGAGACATCACGGTCAAACAGCATTGGGCCACCCCTCCATATAAGCATATTATATAAATCAATTGAATTAAACATTAGATTAAATTCAGCATTTGTCTTTTGTTGGGATTTATTTTTCCCCTCAGTGAAGAAAGGCTGGTCACAAAATAAACATACTATAAAACCTATACACAAAACGTATGGTTACTTGCGTAACCCAGGTTCTCTGATAATAGAGTGAGGTATCTCACTATGGGAAACACTTTCGGGGCGTGATCACCATTGAAGCACGAATTACACCACGTCTGACAGGTTGCACTGCGGAGTAGTTTACCTGTGTGAGGAGGTGCCCAGGAGACAAAAAGCTAGTTTCTCCTCCTTAAAACCCTCCTCCTGTCCATATAGATGCGTAAAGTGCGCGCTGGACAGAAACAATGGAGCCGTACTTCCTCCAGAGAGGAGAAAGGCAGTGGGTGAAAAGCATTCTAATATGAGGCAATTGTAGGATAATTTGCTAACCTTAGGCACAATTTGCTGACCTTAGGCAACCCCAGGGCAAATTGCAGGCACGAGTGATGAACTGCATGCAGCTCACACATTTCTTGCTTTGCAGAAGTAAGGGCAAGTAGCAAAGCAGTTTTGAAAGAGAGGCACTCACGCTTTCCATCGGCTCTAAAGGCTGCTGTGAAATACTGTAGCTTCGAGCACAATAGACAGCGGTGCGTGCTTAGTCCCCTCCTGCACTCCTGTACTCCTTGTTCACACACGACTGTGTGGCCAAGCACGACTCCAACATCGTCATTAAGTTTGCCGACAACACAACGGTGGTAGGCCTGATCACAGACAACGATGAGACAGCTTATAGGGAGAAGGTCAGAGACCTGGCAGTGTGGTGCCAGGACAACAACCTCTCCCTCAACGTGATCAAGACAAAGGAGATGATCGTGGACTACAGGAAAAGGAGGGCCGAGCACGCCCCCATTCTCATCGATGGGGCTGTAGTGGAGCAGGTCGAGAGCTTTAAGTTCCTTGGTGTCCACATCACCAACAAACTATCATGGTCCAAACACACCGAGACAGTCGTGAACAGGGCACGACAATGCCTATTCCCCCTCAGGAGACTGAAAAGATTTGGCATGGGCCCTCAGATCCTCAAAAATGTCTACAGCTGCACCATCGAGAGCATCCTGACTGGTTGATTCACCGCCTCAAGGCGCTACAGAGGGTAGTGCGTACGGCCCAGTACATCACTGGGGCCAAGCTTCCAGCCCTAAGAATGGCCAAATACTCCAGCCACCCTAGTCATAGACTGTTCTCTCTGCTACCGCACGGCAAGCGGTACTGGAGCGCTAAGTCTAGGTCCAAAAGGCTCCTTAACAGCTTCTACCCCCAAGCCAACGACTGCTGAACAGCTAATCAAATGGCTAACCAGATTATTTGCATTGACCCCCCTTTTTCTTACGTTGCTGCTACTCGCTCTTTATTATCTATTCATAGTCACTTTACCCCTACCTACATGAATATATTACCTCAATTACCTCGACTAACCTGTACCCCCGCACATTGACTCGGTACCGGTACCCCCTGTATATACAGCCTCGTTATTGTTATTTTATTGTGTTACTTTTTAAACTTTAGTTTCTTTAGTAAATATTTTCTTAACTCTTATTTTTCTTAAAACTGCATTGTTGGTTAAGGGCTTGTAAGTAAGCATTTACATTTACATTTTAGTCATTTAGCAGACGCTCTTATCCAGAGCGAATTACAGTTAGTGAGTGCATACATTATTTATTTTTTCATTAAAAAAATATATATATTATAGTGGCCCAAACGCCATGCTCTACCAACTGAGCTACATCCCTGCCGGCCATTCCCTCCCCTAACCTGGACGACGCTGGGCCAATTGTGCGCCGCCCCATGGGTCGGTACGGTAAGGTCTACACCTGTTGTATTCAGCGCATGTGACAAATACAATTTGATTTGATTTGGGGTCCCATGACGGGACTCAAGGCTTTGAAACTGGGCATAAACGACGCACACCCTTCATAAAATGACATACAAGTGGATGTTTTCCTACTGTATTGTTTTGTAAAAAGCATAACACTTCGGATACAGAGCACTGATAAGGAATTATCTGTTGCAGATCGCACCATCTCTCAAACACGTGCCACTTATTGTCATACAGTGAACATGTGGAAGGGGCCCTGGCACCCGCAACAACTTTAAGTGGCAGGCCTGTCGGATTTAGATTAATCAGTTTACGGGCATGCCCAGAGGGCCAGCTGATCCGGATGAGGATGGAAGATTTATCCAGAAGAAAATGGGTGGTTTTATAGCGAACTGAACCCTGTATCCCCTCGTAATCGTGGATAGCACCCAGGGATTAACTGCGCATGTGCATCAATTCTCCCCTTTGGCAGTGAGCTGTCCACAAGACTGATGACTCGCGCTCACCAGAGATGGTGTGGTGGCACTCTCTGGTGGCGTTCTAGAGAGTCACCCTTTTCACTTAAAAAACAAGGCCCTGTGCCCTTGGAGTGGGAACAGTGCTTGGTGGCAACTGTGATGTCAGCCCAGCTAGTGTTAGCCTGGGGCTGTTTTAACATGTCCTTGCCTATGGGCTTTAATTTAGCTAAGCTAGCCGTATTTAGCTAGCCGTCAGCAGTCTGAGCTATTTTATTCCATACATGTCCGAACTAGAGTAGCCCTTGACAGGAACTCTGTTGGTAAAAAAAAAGGTTGTAGACTTTTTCCTCTGGCAACACACGGAAATGCGAGCAAGATTCAGGGTTATCGAACGAGGCTTGGCCCTGCTCGACCCCCAGACAAGCAATACAAAGGGTATATGAATCCTTGTTTGAAATCAAAGACCTGCATGCACACGGATGAGGTGCAGGGTCCTTAGCCTTGTTAGAGTCGCCTTGTGAAGGGGTGAGGGCAGCCATATCGCAGGGAGAAAGTTTGGTAGCTATGTAAGCTAGCCGACGTTAGCCGTGTGGGCTTTGGCCCATAAGCTAAGCTAGCAGTGGCACAGCTCACCTTGACGCGTTAGCTAGCCTGTTTTTCGCTCATCAGACCGGATCACCGTGTGATGGGACTGGTTCAATTAGTAAGCACAAAGCAACTGATTGCTAGGTGAACTAAATACGAGAGCTAAGCTAGCAGTCACTAGATGACAGTTAGCTAGCTGACGTTAGTTGTGTGAGCTAGTAGTCTAGCTTAAGCCGCGGGAAAGCAATGTGGGTGGCGTCTTCCTTCACTTTTGGAGTCTCTCAAACCTTAGCACCATGAGGTGGGACTGGTCAGTTTAGTAAGCACAACGTTAGCTGTGAGGCTTTAGTTTTAGCTAAGCTGGTAGTTAGCTAAGCTGGTAGTTAGCTAGCTGGCGTTCGCCTCATGGGCTAGTAGCCTAGCTTGAGCTAGCACAAAGCTAGCCGAAGAAAGCCGCGTGTGTGGCGTCTTTCTCCGGTCTTGCAAGAACCTTTGACCGTAGCACCGTGAGGTGGGACTGGGCAGTTCAGTAAGCACAAAATGACTGAATGCTAGGTGCACTAAACAAGGGCGCTGGATAGCAATTCCACTGTTGGTGGGTAGGACTAGCTAGAAGCGGTAGGTAGTTCGCCTTCACGAGTTAGCTAGCTTGGTTAGCTCGCTTTGCAGTGTTAACTAGGCTAGCTATCTTAGCTTTGCAGCGTTAGCTAGCCTCTTTTTTCGCACGCAGCGACTTATAAAGGGGGAGGGTCCCTCCCAGTCGCAGCGCAGCCAGTCTGTCTTCGACAGAAGTGGTGACACCCCAAAGATGTATCCCATAGTGAGATATCGAATGATTACTTGAAAGATAAACCACTATTGATATGTGTGGCCTTGCATGTCACAGTTACGTCAGATGATCTGTAGACTGACCTGTTGCTGAAAACCTTGCTGCAGTTGTACACACTGACAGAGAGAACCTCACCCTTGATGACCTTCCCATAGTGTGGCCACCTGAAGTGCTGCAGAAATGGAGACATTCAAGAGTATGGAATAGCTGGGGGTAATTTGTGAGGGGGCGATATTCTCTCATCAATCACACATTTGCTTGCCATTACCAGGATCCCAGGACAGAAGTGTACTTTGTATTCTGTAAACAAAACACTTAAAAGTCACTGATGACATCTATATTTAAAGTTTTCTTAAAGAGGGACCAACATCATTGGAAGTTCTGCAAATCTATGTTCAGGAAAACAATAACACCATAAAATGGAACCATGCATGTGTTTGTTCACATTTGTATAATAGCATCAATCAAACATACCTGTAAATAGCAAAAAGATAATTAGCAGTCGATAACTTCCACTAACTAACCCTCAACAAATGCGAACGCAAATAAGAAACTGAATACGTTTCTTTACAAGGGATATGGAGACTCCTCATGTTGATTCAGTACCACCTTCAATGTGTGTTTGTGAAAGGTTAACCCCAGTCTCTCTCTCTCTCTGTCTGTATTTGTGCGTGCATGCACAGTGCCACTGTGAGCTTAGCACCCGTGTTTGCTATGTGTGGAGAATATCCACCCATTACCAGTAAGGTAAATGACAACTTGATGACTCACAGAGAGAGGAACAGAGCCTTGAGCTCCATCCAACCTACAAGTAGTCATAGCATTGCTAATAAAAGATCATACAAAGAACACACACACACACACACACACACACACAGAGAGAGAGAGAGACCTAGTTTTTCTATGCGGACAGTTCCGAAATGATTGTAAAATCTCACACAAATTACAGTCCACCCCCTAATTTACCACAATCAAATCAAAAGGGATGTTGCACTCTAGAACCTAACATGATCATCAAATATCCAAAAAGTATTGTGGATTCGACTACAGCCAAGGTTAGTGGCAAAATTATCTTGTGGATTCGACAACAGCCAAGGTGAGTGCAACATCCTGTGAACCCCTAAACAAAGCAACTTGCAGGTTGCAAGTGACATCATCTCAAGCAACTTTGCTGTTACATGAATTAACCAAAAACCATCATATCGAAGTAGATTTGGAGTCACGCGATGATATCGTGTGTGTGGTCCTCCCACTACGACTTGGGAAACCATGCAGTTTATTAGGCTACAGAGGAAATAAGTTACGGTGAACTTCACAGGGTGGTGAAAGTACATGGTGATGAGCTTGATGCTGCTTTTCAATAAATATCGAGGGTCTTATTCTGGTGACATGATGATCAAGGCTTAACTGCCATTTGACAAATATTCTCGATCTTATCCATAATAATCTCACCATGTAGACTAGACAACCCGCACAGCCTACCCACACTGTATCTGCGAGCTGTAGGCTAGAGCGCAGGTGCCAAGACCAGAGTAGGCACATTTGCTATTTAATGCAACCATTTTTGTGAGAAAACTATCGGTAGACTTGGAAATACAAATGAAACACATCGAACTTTAGATTTTTATTCAGTACATGAAAACTTCAGCGAAAAAGTACATTTTGTGTGCACTATGTCATCACACACTGATTTTATCTGCAACAAGTCCATTTGGTGGAAACTGAACATATTTTCTTTATGCGGATTCTAGAATATTCACATGAAAATCTGTCGCCAATTGGATGGAAACCTAGCTACTGACTTCCAAACCATGTACATAAACCTTCACTAGCCCTAATGCCAGTATTTATTTTATACAGCTCCCATTTGGTTAATGTCTCTTCTGTCCACCTTGATCACGGTTCCGCAGCACTGTGTTGTTGACATGACAACTGGGCCGGACTTCCGAACCTTCGAATGGATCATGTGACAAACGCATTCGTTTTGATTGGCTGTTGCTTGCAATTAATGCACAAATCCAAAGTGGACTTGTGATGTTGGTGTGATTTGTGGTCAATCAAGTGAAGCATGGGTTCCGTGCAGTGCAACTTGGTGAAAAGAGACACTGTATCTTTGGTTTGTCGCTTTCCCGACAGGCACAGTTGAGGGAATTGAGTTTCTGTTAGAGTTAAGTGTGAGTCGGATCCATTTCAAGTGAAGATGTCCTGGTGTGTGGACGGAATCCAGATTGGAACGAGTGCAGGAGCATGGGATAGAGGATTGTGTAGTTTTGAGTTGATAGTGTTTAACGACAAGGTGCACGTTGGACTTATCGAGTGTCCGTGTTAGAGCTGGTTGAGGTCGGCTACAGCAGTTAAGTGCAAAGTGTTGGTATGTCGCAGCAGTGTGTAGGAGGAGATGTCCAAGGTGGGAGATCGGGAGGGCCTGTGATGGTATGTGTGCAGTTTCGCCTGGCATTACAAGTTGTTGTTCAACTGTATTAAGGATTTTCATTTGGGTGTCTGAAGTGTCCGAATTTCCCAAGAGAGGCAGGGAAAAAAAAAAATAACGGAAAAGTGGTGCGTGCATATGTATTCACCCCCTTTGCTCTGAAGCCCCTAAATAAGATCTGGTGCAACCAATTACTTTCAGAAGTCACATAATTAGTTAAATAAAGTCCACCTGTGTGCAATCTTAAGTGTCACATGATCTGTCACATGATCTCAGTATATATACACCTGTTCTGAAAGGCCCCAGAGTCTGCAACGCCACTAAGCAAGGGGCACCACCAGGCAAGCGGCACCATGAAGAACAAGGAGCTCTCCAAACAGGTCAGGGATAACGTTGTGGAGAAGTACAGATCAGGATTGGGTTATAAAAAAATATCCGAAACTTTGAACATCCCATGGAGCACCATTAAATCCATTATTAGAAAATTGAAAGAATATGGCACCACAACAAACCTGCCAAGAGAAGGTCGCCCACCAAAACTCACGGACCAGGCAAGGAGGGCAATAATCAGAGGCAACAAAGAGACCAAAGATAACCCTGAAGGAGCTGCAAAGCTCCACAGCGGAGATTGGAGTATCTGTCCATAGGACCAATTTAAGCCGTACACTCCACAGAGTTGGGCTTTACAGAAGAGTGGCCAGAAAAAAGCCATTGCTTAAAGAAAATAATAAGCAAACACGTTTGGTGTTCGCCAAAAGGCATGTGGGAGACTCCCCAAACATATGGAAGAAGGTACTGTGGTCAGATGAGATTAAAACTGAGCTTTTTGGCCATCAAGGAAAACGCTATGTCTGGCGCAAACCCAACACCTCTCATCACCCCGAGAACACCATCCCCGTTTTTCATCGGCAGGGACTGGGAAACTGGTCATAATTGAGGGAATGATGGATGGCACTAAATACAGGGAAATTCTTGAGGGAAACCTGTTTCAGTCTTCCAGAGATTTGAGACTGGGACGGAGGTTCACCTTCCAGCAGGACAATGACCCTAAGCATATTGCTAAAGCAACACTCGAATGGTTTAAAGGGAAACATTTAAATGTATTTGAATGGCCTAGTCAAATCCCAGACCTCAATCCAATTGAGAATCTGTGGTATGACTTAAAGATTGCTGTACACCAGTGGAACCCATCCAACTTGAAGGAGCTGGAGCAGTTTTGCCTTGAAGAATGGGCAAAAATCCCAGTGGCTAGATGTGCCAAGCTTATAGAGACATACCCCAAGAGACTTGCAGCTGTAATTGCTGCAAAAGGTGTTTCTACAAAGTATTGACTTTGTGGGGGTGAATAGTTATGCACGCTCAAGTTCAGTTTTTTTGTCTTATTTCTTGTTTGTTTCACAATAAAAAATATTTTGCATCTTCAAAGTGGTAGGCATGTTGTGTAAATCAAATGATACAAACCCCCCAAGAAATACATTTTAATTCCAGGTTGTAAGCAACAAAATAGGAAAAATGCCAAGGGGGGTGAATACTTTCGCAAGCCACTGTAGATCTGTGCGAGCACAGAGGGATAGGCCAATGAGTGATATATGCTTCAGTAAGGTTGGCTTCTTAGCATTTATAGCAATGGTTATCAATTGTACCGCAGAATTGGAACTTAAATCACAGAAAATAGATGTTGTTGTGGCAGCTGCAGAGAAGTACTTGGGGGTATACTAGTGGTTACCAACATATTCAAAAAATAATTGACATATTTTCATTAAAAATGTTATTTTTGATGAATTTAATCATATAATTTCATCCTTCCACAATATATAGTCCCGACACAAATCTAGGGTTGCTACCCAAGCCGGCTTGTTGCCAGAGATGTGACCCAGTCGTTCAGTCTTTTGTTCTGTATCTATGGACGCGACCCAGTCGTTCGTTCTAAACGTTCCATTGCCATACTTGCTGGCAACGTTCTTATCCCTTGCTTGCTAGCTAGCCAACTACGGCTAACTTAAGGTCATGTCAGAATAACAGCAAAGTAGCTGCATTTGCATTTGTTTAAGCTGTTTTCTAGTGACATTTATTTGGATACATCCATAACAATGAGCTAATGAGGAGCGATTTCGCCTGGCGTAGAAAATGTGCTCACTCGTCAGGACACTGTTGTTCAGAGGAGCTAGCCAACAACATAGCTAACACAATCACTTCAAACTGAAGCTGGAAAGACTGCAAACTAGCTGCACTTCGTTTCATTTGACCTTTTTTTAATTGACATTTCTTTGTATATATCCATAAAAATTATGCCAGCTGATTCATGATTTCGACTGGCTGAGAAACTCTGCCTGTCTGTCTCATCCCGACTCGTTCATTACTATGGGACAGCTGGAGATCGAATTTGAATATTGAAACAATGTTGCAAATGTCGGAGAGACAGACAGCAAGGTTTATACAAATCTCCGCTGTTGAAAACTAAATGTTAGTCTAAAAGAAATGTGAGATAATGTCTAGATGCTTTTTATAGTGGAGATCAAGTTTATAAATTGCTTGGCTGGACTGATGAGACAGTGGATTGCACAGTCAGATGGAACAGATTAAATAGGCATTTTAACGCCATACAGTGAGGGAAAAAAGTATTTGATCCCCTGCTGATTTTGTACGTTTGCCCACTGACAAAGAAATTATCAGTCTATAATTTTAATGGTAGGTTTATTTGAACAGTGAGAGACAGAATAACAACAAAAAAATCCAGAAAAACGCATGTCAAAAATGTTATAAATTGATTTGCATTTTAATGAGGGAAATAAGTATTTGACCCCTCTGCAAAACATGATTTAGTACTTGGTGGCAAAACCCTTGTTAGCAATCACAGAGGTCAGACGTTTCTTGTAGTTGGCCACCAGGTTTGCACACATCTCAGGAGGGATTTTGTCCCACTCCTCTTTGCAGATCTTCTCCAAGTCATTAAGGATTTGAGGCTGACGTTTGGCAACTCGAACCATCAGCTCCCTCCACAGATTTTCTATGTGATTAAGGTCTGGAGACTGGCTAGGCCACTCCAGGACCTTAATGTGCTTCTTCTTGAGCCACTCCTTTGTTGCCTTGGCCGTGTGTTTTGGGTCATTGTCATGCTGGAATACCCTTCCACAACCCATTTTCAATGCCCTGGCTGAGGGAAGGAGGTTCTCACCCAAGATTTGATGGTACATGGCCCTGTCCATCGTCCCTTTGATGCGGTGAAGTTGTCCTGTCCCCTTAGCAGAAAAACACCCCCAAAGCATAATGTTTCCACCTCCATGTTTGACGGTGGGGATGGTGTTCTTGGGGTCATAGGCAGCATTCCTCCTCCTCCAAACATGGCGAGTTGAGTTGATGCCAAAGAGCTCCATTTTGGTCTCATCTGACCACAACACTTTCACCCAGTTCTCCTCTGAATCATTCAGATGTTCATTGGCAAATTTCAGACGGGCATGTACATGTCCTTTCTTGAGCAGGGGGACCTTGCGGGCGCTGCAGGATTTCAGTCCTTCACGGCGTAGTGTGTTACCAATTGTTTTCTTGGTGAATGGTCCCAGCTGCCTTGAGATCGTTGACAAGATCCTCCCGTGTAGTTCTGGGCTGATTCCTCACCGTTCTCATGATCATTGCAACTCCACGAGGTGAGATCTTGCATGGAGCCCCAGGCCGAGGGAGATTGACAGGCCTTTTGTGTTTCTTCCATTTGCGAATAATCGCACCAACTGTTGTCACCTTCTCACCAAGCTGCTAGGCGATGGTCTTGTAGCCCATTCCAGCCTTGTGTAGGTCTACAATCTTGTCCCTGACATCCTTGGAGAGCTCTTTGGTCTTGGCCATGGTGGAGAGTTTGGAATCTGATTGATTGATTGCTTCTGTGGACAGGTGTCTTTTATACAGGTAACAAGCTGAGATTTGGAGCACTCCCTTTAAGAGTGTGCTCCAAATCTCAGCTCGTTACCTGTATAAAAGACACCTGGGAGCCAGAAATCTTTCTGATTGAGAGGGGGTCAAATACTTATTTCCCTAATTAAAATGCAAATCAATTTATAACATTTTTGACATGTGTTTTTCTGTATTTTTGTTGTTGTTATTCTGTCTCTCACTGTTCAAATAAACCTACCATTAAAATTATAGACTGTTCATTTCTTTGTCAGTGGGCAAACGTACAAAATCAGCAGGGGATCAAATACTTTTTTCCTCACTGTAGATTTAGCTGGTGGTAACTTGTGGAATAGACACTGTCTGGAATGCGGTTTTAACCAATCAGCATTCAGGATTAGGTAACCAGTTTATAATAGCAATACGGCACCTCTGGGGTTTGTGGTATATGGCCAATATACCATGGCTATGGGCGGTATCCTGCCTGCGTTGCGTCGTGCACAAGAACAGCCCTTAGCCTTGGTATATTGGCCATATACCACACCCCCTCGGGCCTTACTGCTTAATTAACGGGAAGCAGGGTTAGGGCAGTCTGAGTACCAGTCTCTTTAGCTAACATTCCATTCCTTATTATTGCCAAAGAGACTGGCCTTTCGGCATCTCTCAGCATTCAATATGCGCTGGATCTACGGTGGAGTTGCTCATTGGTTGTTGGAAATAACATTAATATTTTCCATGACAACATGTGGAGCCTCAAAAAATAGAGTTAGAATTTATAACAAAGTCAAAAACAAACATTTAGCTGTTAGCTAGGCAAGTTGTTGTAGTTTGAGGCTTAAAACGAATAAATGTTGTGGTTGGAATTACAGTATTTATTTAGTTTGAGAATTAAGACATGAGCTAGCAACTTTTGACAAACTGGTTTCGTCTGGATAAACAAACGGTTGCTTAGCGCAACCATATACCAACGTGTTCTGTGGAGAAAAAGTTAAAAGTGATAGGAGTTCTAATATTTGACGATAGCAGAAAGGCCAGTCTCTTTGGCACGACATGGAGTACAGGGAGTGGTACCCAGGCTTGGGGTTGGGGTAAATTCGAATTGAAATCAGTTCATTCAGGAAGTAAACTGAAATTCCATTACAATAATTGAACAAGGGCATCTGTTTTCAATGACTTTTCAATAAACTGAAAAGGAGAAACTATAATTTATTTCAAAAGTTTTTTAATTTTTTATTTTGTATTAAAATCACTTCCTGAATTGTATGATTTCAACTCGAATTGACTCCAACCCTGATAGTGGGCAAAATATTTAATTCAAGAAGGATCTTACCTCATTTAAAATGGCAATATTTTCACACTGAAGAATCTTGGTTTTGTGGGTAAAACCTAGAGAATGGATAAATATGCTGAGAAGACTACAGACATACACACATTGTATGAATATACTGTAGGACAGAAAACAGTAGAAATTATCATTACACTGGCAAAAACTTGAAAATAAGTATATAAACCACAGTAGTTTTAATAAGATGATACTGTTTTCCTATAAGTAATTTAATGGGTCGTTCTTGAATTGCGGTGGCATTTGCATCCCTCTCCTTTGCAACCATGAAAAACACTTTAAAATGGCAAATAGTTACACATCATGCATGTTTTTGTTTATATTGAACTGTTTATCATTGATACAACATAATGAAAGTCCTTTATACTGCAAAACATTATGTTTATGATTTGTTAAAAGTACTTGGTTTGTCCCAGTAGTAATCGAGTACAGTTGTAGTGACATTTGGGAATGTATAGATATACTGTATATCTACCATTTTAAATGGAAGAAAGTAAACATGTGTAATATATTGTATAGGTCAATAAAAACAAAATGCTATTAAAAATACTATTGAAAATTCCTTATTACAAAGATATACAAGGACCTTGAGCATTCCCTCGAGTGGCAAACTGTTATCGGGGGAGGTGTCTATATTAAAGAGGATTATTAGCTAATCACACCCTTTTAGCATGTCATAAATGTATCCATTGATAATTTGATGTCTAAATTGAAAGTGTCATTGGTGTTCCTCAATTTAAATTAAGGGAAATTACATTGTGAGCAAAATTATTAATCATATCACTTTATTTAAAGAAAAAGGGTGTTAATGACTTTAGGATTGATAATCTGTGGCCTCTGTTTAAAGGGGCAATCTGCTATTGCCACATACATGTTCTGAGTTTTAAATTAATTATATGTAGCCATTGATTCTTAAAGAATATAACTTAAGCTTATGAGCTTAGTTCAACTGTCTAACTCCATCAGAACCCAAAAGCTAAGTTTACAAACAATGCATTCACTGCATTGTTTGTAAACAATGTAATTATAAACAAACACTTCATAGCTTCAAATGCTACCATAATTCAAGAACAACTGTAATACACCTGTGGATCTACAAAATGACTAAATGTACAACACCACCCCATATGAAATAATCCTCTTTCACCTAGTTGATCCTCAGGTTTAATTCCAGGTAAAGCAAACATTTACTTTCATGTCAATCAAATACAATAAATGTTCAGAGGATAACTTGCATCCATGGCAGACAATCATATCAAATATATTAATGAAAGCTGAATTCCTGAAAGCTCAAAATAACTGCACTTATGTACCTCGAAAGGATAACTCCACTTTTCGATCATACGTCCCAGGTAGATTGGTGATCCTCTTCAGGTTGACAGTGATGGACATGTTTCTGTTTAAGTATGTAACTGTATCCAATAGATATCATCGGTACAGCTCTGATCTGTTTCAGTGTAGAGACCAGTAGCTCACATGCTGTCAACTGAGCCTCTAACAAAATGCCCTATCTCCTATCCACATAGGTGTTGATTCAATAGGAGGAACTATAAGTGTTTTTTTCTAAAGGGGAAGTTCCTAATGTTTGAGAAAGTGAGGTAGGAGTTGCCCAGCCTGTTTAGTCACAATCTGACAGAACACATAGGCTGCATTTACACAGGCAGCACAATTCTGATCTTTTGCCCAATTATTGACAAAAGAGCTGATCTGATCAGTCAAAATACCAAATAGTTTAAAAAAAGAACAGAATTGGGCTGCCTGTGTAAACCTTAAGGGTCTGTCCATGTCAACTGGATTCCAAATAATGTTTTTAGAATAAATTAAGTTGCTCATATTAGACAGACTGAAGCATACACATGGGTGTCTTAAAAAAAAAAGATAGTTATGACTGGAGATACGGCTTGAGTTCATAAATACACTCAACTAAAATATAAAACGCAACATGCAACAATTTCATAGATTTGACTGAGTTAGAGTTAAAGGAAATCAGTTAATTGAAATAACTGCATTAGGTCCTAAGCTATGGATTTCACATGACTGGGCAGCCAAGAAGTCACATTCGAGTCTTCTTGGCTACAAGCTTGGCACACCTGTATTTGGGGAGTTTCTCCCATTCTTCTCTGCAGATCCTCTCAAGCTCTGTCAGGTTGGATGGTTAGCGTCGCTGCACAGCTATTTTCAGGTTTCTCCAGAGACGTTTGATCGGGTTAAAGTCTGGGCTTTGGCTGGGCCACTCAGAGACTTGTCCCGAAGCTACTCCTGCGTTGTCTTGTCTGTGTGCTTAGGGTAGTTGTCCTGTTGGAAGGTGAACCTTCACCCCAGCCTGAGGTCCTGAGCACTCTGGAGCAGGTTTTCCATCAAGGAACTCTGTACTTTGCTCTGTTAATCTTTCCCTCGATCCTGACTAGTCTCCCAGTCCCTGCCACTGAAAAACATCCCAAAAGCATGATGCTGCCACCACCATGCTTCACCGTAGGGATGGTGCCAGGTTTCCTCCAGATGTGACGCTTGGCATACAGGCCAAAGAGTTCAATCTTGGTTTCATCAGAGCAGAGAATCTTGTTTCTCATGGTCTGAGAGTCCTTTAGATGCCTTTTGTCAAACCCTTTTGTTTTTGCTTTGTCATTATGGGGTATTGTGTGTAGACAATTTTAGAATAAGGTTGTAACTTATCAAAATGTGGAAAAATACTTTCCGAATGCACTGTATGTGTATCACCAACACAACATCAAATCCACTTCTTTAGCTTCAAAAGCATATTACTAAAGCAACCCACATTCATTACATACAGAGAACACTCATTTTCATAACTGGTACATTTAATAAAATGCTATATTTATGACTGAATTATAATTGCAGATCACATTTAGGAAATACATAGACCCCTTTGAAAACAGCTGTCATTACGTCGTCTGTTTCTCAGTATGTTTGTTTTATTATTTCATGAATAAATATCATTGTTTTCCCCTTCATCTTATATTGTCAATAATCAATCATTCTTGTAATTCAGGTAAATTATCTAAAACTAGTCAACTCAGATTTTATTTAATTTTCACATATGTTGTAGCTTAGACCCTATTTTACATTAGTTATGCCCGCCATCGGTTGTGACACAGCATACTCTTGAATACAGGGTGGGTGTAATTTAAATCCAACAAACATTCATAGATTGGACCTAACCCTTCAGACCACTGCAATTTAGCAGGTACACCATTGAAACGTAAATAGCATTGACATTTTAACTTCCAACTACTACCACAAAGATGGCTGCCGGTCCTCCCACTGTTGAATGTCAACTTGAATGGGAATGTCTATTCTATCATATAAGTATGTTTCCTATAGATTGATCATATTATTTAAAACAATGGATATTCCCATTCAATTCAACATTCTCTGATGGGTGGACCTGCAACCAACTTTGTGGTACCATTTGAAAGTAGAAATGTTTATTTTATTCACATTTTAGTATTGTACTGTATTCAAGAGTATGTCCCAACCAATGATGAGCACACCACAAAACACCTCATAAATGTAAACTACAGCATAAGCGAAAAAGAAAAGGCAAAATGGTCCAACTTTGAGGACCAATATCTCTTTCAGGTCCAATATTAATATTCTGACCATTTCTATCATGGGCAAATATGCATGCAAGTTTTGTTCTAATCAAAATGAGGTACGCTCAAACATATCCTCTTTTTTATTTAATTCATGTGGAACGAGTCTATAAAGCGAGAAAATAGAATGGGCGAAAGTATCTAACAACATCTGGACCAACAGCAATTTCCTGATAATTGTATGGTTTTTAATGGGAGTAGTAAACAATCCATGAGAAGTTCTACAGCACTACTCTTAAGGCAATGCTTATTTATCTTTGGGATAATTCATAGCATACATTCTATTGCACCAGGTGTATCAAAATGATTTAGCATTCTAACTAATCTCCAGCATGAGAACAGTTGACAGTGCATGTCAGAGCAAAAACCAAGCCATGAGGTCAAAGGAATTGTCTGTAGAACTCAAAGACATGATTGTGTCGAGGCACAGATCTGGGGAAGGGTACCAAAACATTTATGCAGCATTGAAGGTCCCCAAGAACACAGTGGCCTCCATCATTCTTAAATGGAAGAAGTTTGGAACCACCAAGACTCTTCCTAGAGCTGGCCGCCTGGGGAAACTGAGCAATCGGGGGAGAAGGGCCTTGGCCAGGGAGGTGACCAAGAACCCAACTGTCACTCTGAAAGAACTCCAGAGTTCCTCTATTGAGATGGGAGAACATTCCAGAAGGACAACCATCTCGTCAGCATTCCACCAATCAGGCCTTTGTGGTAGAGTGGGCAGACGGAAGCCAGTCCTCAGTAAAAGGCACATGACAGCCCGCATGGAGTTTGCCAAAAGGCACCTAAAGACTCTCAGACCAATTAGAAACAAGATTCTCTGGTTTGATGAAACAGAGATTGAACTCTTGGGCCTGAATGCCAAGCGTCACGTCTGGAGGAAACCTGGCACCATCCCTACAGTGAAGCATGGTGGTGGCAGCATCATGTTGTGGTGAGGTTTTTCAGCGGCAAGGACTGGGAGACTAGTCAGGATCGAGGGAAAGATGAACGGAGCAAAGTACAGAGAGATTCTTGATAAAAACCTGCTCCAGAGCGGTCAGGACCTCAGACTGGCGCGCAGGTTCACCTTCCAAAAGGACAACGACCCTAAGCACACAGCCAAGACAACGCAGGAGTGGCTTCGGGACAAGTCTCTGAATGTCCTTGAGTGGCCCAGCCAGAGCCCGGACTTAAACCCGATCTAACATCTCTGGAGAGATCTTAAAATAGTTGTGCAGCGACGCTCCCCATCCAACCTGACAGAGCTTGAGAGGATCTGCAGAGAAGAATGGGAGAAACTCCCCAAATACAGGTGTGCCAGGTTTGTAGCGTCATACCCAAGAAGACTCGAGGCTGTAACCGCTGCCAAAGGTGCTTCAACAAAGTACTGAGTAAAGGGTCTGAATACTTATGTACATTTTATATACACATACATTTGCAAAAAATTCAAAAAACCCGTGTTTGCTTTGTCACTATGGGGTATTGTGTGTAGATTGATGAAAAAACAATTTTATCAATTTTAGAATAAGGCTGTAACGTAACAAAATGTCAAAAGTCTAGGGGTCAGAATACTTTCCGAATGCACTGTAATGTGACATACAGTATCATTAAACTAGATTGCATAAAGGTTAATAAGCTGTTCAAAATTCCATGCACAAGTGTGCACGTTTGAGTGGTGGAATACTGAGTGATGATGGCAGTTAACTTCAGAAAACCAAGATGTAAAAAACAATTAGAAAATGAATTGTCAAAGCTTTTGCACTGATAACGTAGAATAACCCTGCCTAACCTCTACAAATATAAGTAGAGGAATATTTAAAAGGAATAAAATACAAAATAAGGGAAAAGAGAGCGTCTTTGCAATGAAAATAAAGATTCAATAAAGTGAAGTTAACCTAACCCAAAAAACTTTGGGCTACAAACACACTTACACACTATGCCACTGCCTGAGGAAGACTGCTAAGAAACACGTTACCGTTCGAAAGCCTGAGGAGGTTCTACTCAAAGTAGTCTGACGTGGGTGGAATTCGGTATAGTTCCAACCAGAAGTTTATTCCAAAAAAAATACTGACTTGCAACAAGCATAAGATACAAAATGAACGCCGCATAGGCTACTAAAACCTTGTGACGACACGGTAGTTAAAGAAACGGAGAAATCAAGAAAAATAGTCAAAACGAAACAAGGAAATGCCTGAGAAATGTAATTTCTACTCAAATGTATGCACTGAATACCACCACTTCAAATTCGAAATCCAAATCGGACTTCCAATAGTCGAGTGAACAAGAGGGGATTTGGAAGGCTGGCCACACAAGACTAAGAAACATGTAATGTGCGGTGCAAACTCTGAGCATTTGTAGCCATTATATGATGTGTTTCATCATATATATTATATAATAAATAAATAAATAAATAAATGTACCACCAGTTAAACCTTATGTGAGTAGCCTACTTTATTACATCAAATGTTTTGAAGGTGCATTTCATGAAATGCATTAAAGCCCTCCTTTTCCCCAATTTTGGCTCATCACCATTGTTCCAACTCCTTGTTATTTCCTGACTCAGAGGAATGAAAGCAGAATATCTGAAGCAGTAAAGATAAATCTATGATAGTAGAAAATAAAATAGAAAATATGGTTACATGTGGTCATAATTGTCACAAGTGGTATCAAAAGGCACAATGAGCATTGACAATTACAGGATGTGATTTACACTTCTGATAGTGGGCCTACTCATCTGCCTGTGTGGTGCGCTGGCTCCCTCGTGTGGCTAGGAGGGCGAAGCGCTGCAGTTCTGCTCGCTCCACTAAGCCTTGAGGGCAGGAACGTTGACTGGATCTAGTTTCAGCATCTTGAAGTAGGACACAAGTTGACTTGGCACTTCAGCCAAGACGCTCTGGGCGAGGGCTTCCTTAGGGGCCTTCAGAGGACAGAATGACACCGTGAAGGGAAGAGCTCCAACAGCAGGGCAACAAAACAAACTCAAGATAGAAAAGTATGTAAAATCTGTCAATATCGCACCGAAGTGTTATGGAATGGTGCTTCACTGCCCACTGATACTATTACAGACTAAACTGATGTAAAGTGATGTTCCATCGTGAATCTTCTCAGTGGTACTGACAACACACTGCACAATGACACAACCGCAGACTAACAAACATACATTGGCGAACTGTCTGAGGGGCACAAACTGCACAATGTCCCTGGCCACGGGCTCGCCACTCAGGGACTTGAGTATGCCGTCGTCTCCATCTAGCAGCTCCATTGCCTTGAAGTTGGCTTTGCCCACTCCGATGATGATGATGGACATGGGCAGCCGTGAGGCCTTGACGATGGCGTCCGTGATCTCCCCATTGGTGATGATGAGCAGGACAAAGTATTGCTGAGGGAAATGAAGAGGACAGAACAGTTTGTTAGATTTCATTCAGTTTGCAATGAACACAATGAGGTAGACAAAGCAAATCCTTCTGCTTTCCACTGCGTGTTCATTCTGAGACCATTTTCATAACGGTTGAGCAGCCCATCTACTGCAAATGTCTGATTTGTATCATGTTTGTACATTAGGGCTGTCCCCAACAACAAAAATCATAGTCGACCGAGAGTCGTCCTGTTCTTTCGACCAATTGATTAGTCGAAATGTTTAAACTTATTTTTCCATAAACACTACCAGTCAAAAGTTTGGACACTCCTACTCATTCAAGGGTTTTTCTTTATTTTTACTATTTCTACATTGTAGAATAATCGTGATGAAATAACACATATGGAATCAAGTGTTAAACAAATCAAAATATCTTATATTTGAGATTCTTCAAAGTAGCCACCCTTTGCCTTGATGACAGCTTTGCACACTCTTGGCATTCTCTCAACCAGCTTCACCTGGAATGCTTTTCCAACAGTCTTGAAGGAGTTCCCACATATGCTGAGCACTTCTTGGCTGCTTTTCCTTCACTCTGTGGTCCAACTCATCCCAAACCATCTCGTCTCTGCTGCCTCCGCCGCATTGTTTTCAATCCCAATATGCTGGTTAACTTTGCTATTATTCACATCGCAACATAGGGAAAGGCACCAATGCCACGGCGCGCTGAAGATTGTTTCAGAACCGCAGACAGCGATCGTATCCATCGCGGGAGTAAGCGCATTTGTTGTAAAATAATATTAGATTTATTAGTGTTGCGCCATTATTTTTACATAATAACCATTTACAATTTCAGTATCACATGTCGTAGAGTGATGGACTGTGCCATCCCCGTGGATGGATAAGTCCACCGAGACAGGCTCGAATCAGACAGGTGTCTTGTGCACCATGAAAAAAATGGTGACTGCTGGACTAAAGAAATCTCGGTCGACCGACAGCCTATCGACCAAACAATCGACCAGTCGACTAAATGGGGTCAACCCTATTCTACATACAGTGCCTTCAGAAAGTATTCACAAGTAGATTTAAGTCAAAACTGTAACTCGGCCACTCAGGAACATTCACTTAGCTAGTATAACAATCTTTATTTGAGTAAAATGCTGCTAGCAATATGTGGTACCGTAATGCACGCGCGACAAACTTGAGCATTCATTTTCCAGAATGAATGTTCATTGGTACATCCGTTTTAGTAGTGTCTGCTCTGCTCGAAATTTGAGGAGTTGAAACATAAACAGGGTATGGTTCGAAAGGTTAACGTCTCCTCTATTACAGTAAAATAATGTCTCCATGTGTTTCGGTGTCCATATGACAGATTCTGTTGGACCAAACCTCAAATGCATATGTCAGAGAGGAAGAAGTGATCTCTCATCTTTGTTGTTGTGAGTGGTAGGGAGAGGGCTTGGGACAAAGAGGCGAAGCGAGAGGTTTCACTTTCGACAAAATCTGTCCAAAATAAGCCCAATGCATTTCTATGCGCTTATTTTGAACCTAAGCTTGTCGCCTGCCTTCCCACCTTTGGGACAATGACTCCCATTGTTAGGGCGGAGACATGAGCTTCTCGTCATTATATACAGATCTCTGGTGTAAATGGGAGGGTACACAGCACAGAAGGAGCGAACGAGACGAGACCAAAAAGACAACATGAGAACAAGCGGACATACAGTAAACTCATAAAAACAAAAAAAACAAAAAGAAACTAGATTCTGCAATACAGGCATTTGGAATATCGAAAACAAATTATAATTCGATATATCGCCCAGCCCTACATTCACTGTTTTGGTAAGTAACTCCAGCGTAGATTTTGCCTTGTGTTTTAGGTTATTGTCCTGCTGAAAGATGAATTCATTTCCCAGTGTCTGGTGGAAAGCAGACTGAACCAGGTTTTCCTCTAGGATTTTGCCTGTGCTTAGCTCCATTCCGCTTTATCCTGAAAAACTCCACAGTCCTTAAAGACTACAAGCATACACATTCGTATTTGTATTTATTATGGATCCCCATTAGCTGCTGCCAAGGCACATTTTTGCAGTATTATTTTAGTGCCTTATTGCAAACAGGATGCATGTTTTGGAATATTTGTATTCTGTACAGGCATTCTTTTCACTCTGTCAATTAGGTTAGTATTGTGGAGTAACTACAATGTTGTTGGTCCATCCTCCGTTCTCCTATCACAGCCATTAAACTCTGTAACTGTTTTAAAGTCGCCATTGGCCTCGTGGTGAAATCCCTGAGCAGTTTCCTTCCTCTCCGGCAACTGAGTTAGGAAGAACTCCTGTATCTTTGTAGTGACTGGGTGTTTTGATACACCATCCAAAGTGTAATTAATAACTTCACCATGCTCAAATGTCAGCTTTTTTCATTTTTACCCATCTACCAATAGGTGCCCTTCTTTGCGAGGCATTGGAAAACCTCCCTGGTCTTTGAGGTTTAATCTGTTTGAAATTCACTGCTCAACTGAGGGACATTCCAGATAATTGTGTGGGGTACAGAGATGAGGTAGTCATTAAAATCATGTTAAACACTATTATTGGGGCCTCCCGAGTGGTGCAGCGGTCTAAGGCACTGCATCGCAGTGCATGAGGCGTCACTACAGCCCCGGGTTCGATCCCAGGCTGTGTCACAGCCGGCCGTGACCGGGAGACCCAAGAGGCGGCGCACAATTGGCCCAGCGTCGTCCGGGTTAGGGAAGGCTTGGCCGGCCGGGATATCCTTGTCCCATCACGCTCTAGCGACTCCTTGTGGCGGGCCGGGCGCCTGCAAGCTGACTTCGATCGCCAGTTGTACGGTGTTTGCTCCGACACATTGGTGCGGCTGGCTTCTGGGTTAAGTGAGCAGTGTGTCAAGAAGCAGTGCATCTTGGCAGGGTCTTGTTTCGGAGGACGCATGGCTCTCGACCTTTGCCTCTCCCGGGTCGTCCGTACGGGAGTTGGAGCGATGGGACAAGACTAACTACCAATTGGATATCACAAAATTGGGGAGAAAAAGGGGCAAAAGTACAAAGAAAAAATACCTTAATCCCATTGAGAACTTGTGGTCAATCCTCAAGAGGCGGGTGGACAAACAAAAACCCACAAATTCTGACAAACTCCAAGCATTGATTATGCAAGAATGGGCTGCCATCAGTCAGGATGTGGCCCAGAAGTTAATTGACAACATGCCAGGACGGATTGCAGAGGTCTTGAAAAAGAAGGGTAAACACTGCAAATATCGACTCTTTGCATAAAGTTAATGTAATTGTCAATACAAGCCTTTGACACTTATGGAATGCTTGTAATTATACTTCAGTATACCATAGTAACATCTGACAAAAATATCTAAAAACACTGAAGCAGCAAACTTTGAAGACCAATACTTGTGTCATTCTCAGAACTTTTGACCACGACTGTAGTATAGACTACACCATCACAATAAATCCATTATTTATTTTAGACAGGTCTAAAGAAACATGACATGAAGAAAATGTAGTCTATTTCAGAAGAACAGAATAGCATACTCTGAGTTGTTCTTATGTTAGGAACTGATCTGGCTATGCCATATGGCTGTGGGCTACACTAGTTCATTTAGAAGACAAGATTTGCTTAGAATTCCGTGGCATTATTTGATATTATTTTATAGTGTGAAGAATACAATTGAACAAAGCTGAATAAAATAGAAAGGATATTTTCTCCAAACAATTTGAGGGAATGCGCACGTGCGGCTATTCTGTGTTGAGTGGTTAACAAAGAAACAGGTACTCCTATATGCTTAATTTAGAGTTATTAATGTAACTTTAGTTGTGATACAAATGTTGGGCTATACAGCGCATTCAGAAAGTATTCAGACCCCTTGACTCTTTCCATATTTTGTTACATTAAAGACTTATTCTAAAATTGATTAAATAGTTTTTTTTCTCATCAATCTACACACAATACCCCATAATGACAAAGCAAAAACAGGTTTAGACATTTTTGCAAATTTATATTATTTTTTAAAAAAAAATTTAAATACCTTTTTACATAAGTATTCAGACCCTTTGCTATGAGACTCGAAATTTAGCTCAGGTGCATCCTGTTTCCATTGATCATCCTTGAGATGTTTCCACAACTTCGAGTACACCTGTGGTAAATTCAATTGATTGGACATGATTTGGAAAGGCTCTTTCCTGTCTATATAAGGTCCCACGGTTGACAGTGCCTGTCAGAGCAAAAACCAAGCCATGAGGTTGAAGGAATTGTGTCGAAGCACAGATCTGGGGAAGGGTATCAAAACATTTCTGCAGCATTGAAGGTCCCCAAGAACACAGTGGCCTCCATCATTCTTAAATGGAAGAAGTTTGGAACCACAGACTCTTCCTAGAGCTGGCCACCCGGCCAAACTGAGCAATCGGGGGAGAAGGGCCTTAGTCAGGGAGGTGACAAAGAACTCGATGGTCACCTGACAGAGCTCCTGAGTTCCTTTGTGGAGATGGGAGGACCTTCCAGAAGGACAACCATCTCTGCAGCACTCCACCAATCAGGCCTTTATGGTAGAGTGGCCAGACGGAAATCACTCCTCAGTAAAAGGCACATGACAGCCCGCTTGGAGTTTGCCAAAAGGCACCTAAAGGACTCTCAGACAATGAGAAACAAGATTCTCTGGTCTGATGAAACCAAGATTGAATTCTTTGGCCTGAATGCCAAGCGTCACGTCTGGAGGAAACCTGGCACCATCCATACGGTGAAGCATGGTGGTGGCAGCATCATGCTGTGGGGATGTTTTTCAGCGGCAGGGACTGGGAAACTAGTCAGGATCGAGGGAAAGATGAATGGAGCAAAGTACAAAGCAAAAAGATCCTTGATGAAAACCTGCTCCAGAGCGCTCAGGACCTCAGACTGGGGCGAAGGTTCACCTTCCATGGCATTGCAAACGCCATGCTCTACCAACTGAGCTACATCCCTGCCGGCCATTCCCTCCCCTACCCTGGACGACGCTGGCTAATTGTGCGCCGCCCCATGGGTCTCCCGGTCGCGGCCGGCTACGACAGAGTCTGGATTCGAAACAGGATCTCTAGTGGCACAGCTAGCACTGCGCCCCTCGGGAGCCATCACTCTGTTTTCTCACGCAATTGCATAGCCTATAGAAATGATGCGCAACATGAGCTCATGGGCTTTCATTAAGTGTTTGATTAGATTTTCGATTACATTTGCATTGATGTCAGAGTGATTAGAGGGACAAGAGCTCAGAGTACCAGGCAGTTAGCAAGTTTGGTAGGCTACTAATGACCATCAGCAGCATCAGAGCTTGGAAAAGCCTAATTGCCATGACTAAACGGTCACGTGGAATTTAACTGCCATCATGACTCATGACCGCCGGTGACTCGTTACTTTTCCCACATTTTGTTGTGTTACAGCCTGAATTTTAAATTGCTTAAATTGAGATTTTGTGTCACTGGCTACACACAATACCCCATAATGTCAAAGTGGAAATATAGTTTTAGAAATGTTTACAAATTAATTAAAAAAGCTGAAAAAAAAAAAGCTGAAATGTCTTGAGTCAAACATTATTCAACCCCTTTGTTATGGCAAGCCTAAATAAGTTCAGGAGTAAAAATGTTCTTAATAAGTGGCATGGACTCACTGTGTGCAATAATAGTGCTTAACATGATGTTTTATGACTACCTCATTTCTGTACCCCACACATACAATTATCTGTAAGGTCCCTCAGTCGAGCAGAGAATTTCAAACACAGATTTAACCACAAAGTCGAGAGGGGTTTTCCAACGCTGGGCACCCATTTGTAGATGGATAAAAAGAAAAGCAGACATTGAATATCCCTTTGAACATGGTGTTATTAATTGCACTTTGTAATTGGTGTATCAATACACCCAGTCACTACAAAGATACAGGCGTCCTTCCTAGCTCAGTTGCCGGAGAGGAAGGAAACCGCTCAGGAATTTCACCATGAGGCCATTGGTGACTTTAAAATAGTTACAGAGTGTAATGGCTATGATAGGAGAAAACTGAGGATGGATCTACAACATTGCAATTACTCCACTATACTAACTTAAATGACATAGTGAAAAGGATGCCTGTAGAGAATATAAATATTGCATCCTGTTTAAAATAAGGCACTAAACCGCAAAAAATGTGGCAATTAAATGAATTTTATGTCGTGAATACAAACCGTTATGTTTGTGGCAAATCTAACACATCACTGAGTACCACCTCATATTGTCAAGCATGGTGGTGCCTGCATCATGTTATGGGTATGCTTGTCATCGGCAAGAACTAGGCAGTTTTTTTTGGATAAAAAGAAACAATAGAGCTAAGCACATCGATCCTACCATCCAGCCATGGAGATATGTCACTCGCCGTGGAAGTCGAAAGCAGCGACCTCTGGCAATGGGGGGCCTCCTTGGTGATAGTAAGACCGGACCAGACACAGAATAGAAACAGCTTCGCCGCCCTGGATCCAGAGGTTCCGGCGCCTTCTTCCCTGGGGGCTTCCGATTCGAGATGAATCGGAAGCTTGTGCAATAATTGGAGATGAATGTTGCACTTTTGTCCCAGATCGGCACTCTAATGCTCCCGATCTTGCCGAATACATTGCTGCTGTGGCTAAGAACAATTCCCCACAGCCAGAGTGGACGCTTGCAACTTCATTGAAATCTGTGTTTGGGAGTCGGGGATCTCAGATTGCCCAATGGGCTGGAGCATGTGTTTTTTGCTTAGTCTGTCTAATTGTATTGCTAACATGTTGTAAGGTTATTTGTGCCTCCATAGCTGGGACATTTCAACCGATCTGTGTGCCAGTTACGGATTTCATATGCACATTTTTGTGAAACAGTTTCATTTAATATATAATAACATCTTCATCTCTCAAAATCATTGTCATGTGGATAATCATAATTATATCAAAATCTAAAATAAAATGATAAACCTAAAAAGTAACTTATATTGCCAACTATGTAATCCAGAGCGACTTACATGAGCAATTAGGGTTAAGTGCCTTGCTCAAGGGCACATCGACAGATTTTTCACCTAGTCGGCTCTGGGATTAGAACCAGCGACCTTTCGGTTACTGGCACAACGCTCTTAACCACTAAACTACCTGCCGCCCCTATGAACTTGAAACTTTGTATCAACTATTAACTTGGGTCAGGCCTGAAGCTTGCACTAGCGAACTTGCAACATTGTATTAAATATTCTGGTCCCTCAGAGTTTCCCACGCCAGTGAGCTCGGGACAGGCTATTTGCGCAAGGGATAAGAAGCAGTGCTTGACATGGGCAGGAGCTCACCGGAGCTGAGTAGCGGCACGTCAAATGTTCTACTGCTTGAGCTCCTGTTCCTCTCATAAAATATTAGCTCAAAAGTATTGTGGAGCTCCTGCACCTAAATATAAACAGTACCAGCACCCAAAATGAGTACCAGAACCTATTTCAGTCCAAGTCATGCACCGATAAGAAGCCTATTTTATGATTTTTCAAATACATTGAGGAACTATTGTAATTCTCAATGGATGTAAAAACAGACTTTGTTTGCTTGCTGTTTGAGGTGAAGAAAACATTACTTTGAGAAGCTCCACAGGTCCTCTGTAGCTCAATTGGTAGAGCATGGCGCTTGTAATGCCAGGGTAGTGGGTTCGATCCCTGGGACCACCCATACGTATAAATGTATGCACACATGACTGTAAGTCGCTTTGAATAAAAGCGTCTGCTAAATGGCATATTATTATTATTATTATTATTATTATGTGGTGGTGGTGCGTTAAGCCAATCAGAAATACTATCAGATCCCCAAATGGGCACATTAATATGCCTACATTTGCGCGCAGGCCAGGTAGCCTATAGGCTTACTTCTATGTGTGCGCGTCCTTACTCAACATTGACAGGAGCGCTCCAAACAAAAGACAATGACAGAAATTGTAAATGGAATGAAATAAACTAAAACTTGTTTCTCACAAGTGTCCACTCCAACAATGAGAACAGGAAGACTGTAATAATAATATTAAATGCATTAAATGAAATGACCATAACCAAAGTAACAAAGATTGCAGATTAGAAATGATATACATTAACGGTAAATGTACTACTGGTGATATAGGTAATGGGGAATTGATATACACTAACAATCAAATGCAAAAGATTCACACAATTAAGTTATGAAACAATGAATGTGCACAAATTGGCAGGAGAACGCGCATTCTGGAGAGAGAAGTGCATTGTGCATCTGGGCGCATGGTCAATCCGACATCTGCATTGGCCTCAGCAGAAGAATGGCCTCAGCAGAAGTCAGGGCATTCATACTTCTTGTGCTTCGCGGAGCAGTGCAGAGCTTTTGTCAAGGAAGTGAGTTTGTGTTTATACAGGATGTACCGCCCCCATCTACCGTCAACCAATCATGTCAACAACATTTTGGAGGCGCATGGTGATGCAGTACAGAGCTCGATTTGGCCTCTGCATGCCTCTGGAGGCTCCGTAATTGCGTCCACATTTTCTAATCAAGCATAAATTGTCTTTTAGTCTAGGCCTCCGCAATGGATTAGTTCACTGAAATTGGTGCAAATATATGTAACTGCTCGACTAAAAGAATCTCGGACGACCAACAGCCTAACGACCAAACAATCGACTAATTGGGGTCAGCCCTAATTTACATTCGCGTTTTTCCACAGTATGAGTGATTTTACCACACGTTAATTCTGAGTTTCCCCAACTTTATTTCGATGCGCCTTTCTCTCTACAGCCTGGTCTCCACAAATCTCTGCACTCGCTGGCAAGAACTGACAGAAAGTCAGACCAATTACATGTGCGCATTCGATACGCCTGCATTCTTTCTACACCCTTATTCCTTTCGACACACCCAGTCAACGGTCGACATCGGGTTCTTAAGACAAACAAATATTGTGATAAGTACCTCTGTTCTGTGAACCAGCTGCCACCATCTTCTTGCTTAAAGAACTCTAGGAATGGATCAGATTTCCCAAACAAGTCCTGCAAGAGAGACACACAATTATGAGCACTGGGGAATTAATAATGTGTTGGAAAGAATTTAGAAAACGGTTTGTTACTCCTTAATAATGTAAAACACATTCCATTAGAAAAAACAAAGCACTGAGAAGTCTCTTTATTGTACCTTCTTATCCAGGCCTTTAGCCTCCACCTCCAGCACTATGGCCCTGTTATCTTTGATCTCCTCAGCAGTAATCTTTAACACACACACACAAATTAGGGAATTCATGTGATCATCTCAAGAAACTGTTTGCATTAGCCTTATGCTTGTTATCACAACATTTACATAAGTGGGACCATTTTACATTTACACAGCCACTTACATTACTTACAGTAATGGTGCCTTTGCCTGCAGGCTTCCCCTTCTTCAGTTGTAGAGGTCTGGTAAGCTTCTTGCTGGACACAATCTGAAAGGCAAATGGTTGTTCATTGGAGGCACACCCCCATTGTATCAATGCATGTACACAATGATGCGAGACTAATTGGTCCACACATTCTTATATCCTAACCTGTCCCAGTGTGCACTCAAAACCCCCCAGGAAGTCATCATCGTTCAGATCGACAGACTTGTTGTCTATGTCATAGACACCCCGCTTCAACTTCCGCACTTTCTCAAAGTGGTAGGCCAGGAGCAGCTTCTAGGAGAACTCAGGATCCTGGCAGTTCTTCACCCTCTCCGTGCGGTCCAACTGTATAGTGAACCAGAAAGCATCTTCATGAACAAACCATAGGCCATTTAATTATATTCATTGCCAATTATTAGATGTTTCAATTAGTTTGCTTTCTTTCTCCCTACCTTGGTCCACTTGTCATTCCCGATGCTCTGCAGCAGCACGCAGAGTGGGTCAGACTTGGATCCGGCGTCTTCGTTGAGGAGATTGCTGCACGAGATGGAGAGCTCTACTTTTGACACACATTGAGTATCTGAAAAACACAGGAAGAAAAAAATTGATTTCGGATCAACTATGACTGTATATTAAAGCAACAGTCTGCTCTGCTCTGCAATGAAAAACAATAACAATGGGGCCCCTGCCACTTGTTTTGGTATAAAGCTGAGGGATAGGGCCAGGGAAATGAAAATCCTCTCAAATTCATAGATAGTATGTGGACACCTGTTCGTCGAACATCTTATTCCAAAACCATGGGCATTAATATGGAGTTGGTCCCCCCCTTTGCTGCAATAGCAGCCGCCACTCTTCTGGGAAGGCTTTCCACTAGATGTGGGAACATTGCTGCAGGGACTTGCTTCTATTCAGCCACAACAGCATTAGGGAGGCCGGGCAGTAATGTTGGGCAATTAGGCCTGGCTCGCAGTCGGCGTTCCAATTCATCCCAAAGGTGTTTGATGGGGTTGAGGTCAGGACACTATGCAGGCCAGTAAAGTTCTTCCACACTGATCTTGACAAACCATTTCTGTATGGAACTCGCTTTGTGCAAAGGGGCATTGTCATTCCCCAAACTGTTGAATAATCTCTTCACTGGAACTAAGGGGCCTAGCCCGAACCATAAAAAATAGCCCCAGACCATTATTCCTCCTCCGCCAAACTTTACAGTTGGCACTATGCATTCGGGTAGGTAGCGTTCTCCTAGCATCCGCCAAACCCAGATTTCCACTGCGCCATAGTCCAATGGCTGTGAGCTTTACACCACTCCAGCCGACGCTTGGCATTGCGCATGGTGATCTTAAGCTTGTGTGCGGCTGCTCGGCCATGGAAAGCCATTTCATGAAGCTCCCAACGAACAGTTCTGGTGCTGACGTTGCTTCCAGAGGCAGTTTGGAACTCGGTAGTGAGTGTTGCAACAGAGTACATACGATTTTTACCCTGAAATGACTAATTTGATTGGGTGTCCACATACTTTTGAAGCCATTTACATTCTTGTTGTTTGTAAACAATTGACTAATAAAACCTTTTGGGAAAGACAGTTGAACTAAGCCCATGAGGCATTTATAAATGATATTCTTCAGGAATCAATAATATAAAGAATTGACATGACCATTAAAATAAGCTTTAACGTACACTCCTCAGTAAAATGGCAATTTTGCGAATGAATGCTTCTCACCATGATCAGCATTGAGACAATTAAAACTGGACAGGTAGCCTACTTCCTACTAGTTCACATCTGTCAACTTGTCATAGAACCAGCATGCAACCTACCAGGTGCGTATTTTACAGTACAGACTCAACTTGGAGGAGAGAGAGAGCTTTCTGTGAAGGCAACAACCATTTTTCATCAAAACCCATTTTGAAGAGACTGACGAATCCCATGAGCCAATGAACGCCAATAAAACAACAAACCACTGCATTCAACTCATATCAAGCATTGGTTTACTTTAGAAAAATAAGTAGGCTAACGTTACAAATATTACCTTTTCGCACGAAACGGCAATATATCTGGTCTCCTATTAAACAGTTGTAGTTGTCACCCTTCCGTAACGCGATATTAATGTCGAGTCGAGCAAAGACTTCCTAAATTTGCTATCTGACAAAAAGGTGTGGCAGATGGTCAAATCAGCATGATAGCTCAACAATTGGATAAACTGCCAGCAAAAAAAAACGTTCCTATTGGACAAGAGGCAACGTCACTCACGCTGTGCCCCCAGTGCAGGAAGTGACTACACACACATATACCTTGTTCAGGCTGCACTCAGACATATTTCCCGCCCTAGAGCTAATACAGATTTTTCCATTTACAAATGACCCGCTACATCCGATGTTCTGGTAGAGAATGTTAATGTATAAACTCAATAAACAGCCATAACCACCGTTGGAAACGTAACTAACTAAACCAGACACAAATGTATGTGTAACAGCTACATTTAATAGTATTGGGATTTGCCTGTACAATATTTAATTTTAGTGTTAGATCACTCATGCCTTGCGAATTTGCAAATGAATACGGTCCTTATCAAAATCCTTATTTCAAATGAGAGAGCAGAGCTCGTGAAACTGCTAATTTCGGCACTACTACTCGTCTAAATGTTAAAAACAATCTTATCACATTTCAATAAAGGAAAATATTCATACACTTAACACATAATGGGCACACATTTCACTTTCTGTATATAGCAAATAGCAAGGCTGCATTTCCTATGTAGGCCTACTAACATTCCCACTGTAATTTTTGTTCTCAAATTCTGACTATCCATTTCTCCACACTTGATAGCTATACATACATTTCTGCCCATGGACAGTTTGCCTATTCAGCTCTAATGATACAGTGCAACAGACATTGCAGTCAGTCTCTGAAGTTCAGCACATCAATTACTTTACAAATAACTACAGCAATTAAGTTAATGAACTACCAGCAATACTGTAGTGTTAGCCCTTCACTGCATCACTGAGGAAGTGAATGATTTTTCTAGATGATAATAATGTAGCCATTTACAACCCAATACATCCAATCTTCTAGTGTTGTAGGCCTATCAACTGTGCTCAATAAACAGCCATTAAACATTGTTGGAAACATTGCACAATGTATACGGAACAAAAATATAACAATTTAAAAGTTAAAGTGTATATGACGAAATCAGTCAATTTAAATAAATTCATTATGCTCTAATTTATGGATTTCACATGACTGGGAATACAGATTTGCATCCATTGGTCACAGATACCTTTAAAAAATGGGATTCACAATGGCCCTCAGGATCTCATCACGGTATTTTTGTGCATAAAAATTGCCATAGATAAAATGCAATTGGGTTTGTTGTCCGTAGCTTATGCCTGCCAATACCATAACCCAACCGCCACCATGGTGCACTCTGTTCACAACGTTGACATCAGCATACCGCTCGCCCACATGACGCCATGCATGTTGTCTGCGGTTGGACGTACTGCCAAATTCTCTAAAATGACGTTAAATTCTCTGGCAACGCTTCCTCAAAACTTGAGACATCTGTGGCATTGTGTTGTATGACAAAACTGCACATTTTAGTGGCCTTTTCTTGTCCCCAGCACAAGGTGCACCTCTGTAATGATCATGCTGTTTAATCAGCTTCTTGATATGCCACACCTGTCAGGTGGATGAATTATCTTGGCAAAGGAGAATTGCTCACTAACAGGGATGTAAACAAATTTGTTCACAAAGAGAGAGAAATAAGCTTTTGTGCATACGGAACATTTCTGGGATCTTTTATTTCAGTTCATGAAACATGGGACTAACACTTTACATGTTGCGTTTACAAAAAAAAATATTTGTAGATTTGATTGAGACTTCTAATTGGGAACGACACAAATTAGGCAAATCAGACAGTTTTTACTTAACAGAAATATTCTCGAAAAAATTATCCACATTTGAAATCCTGTGTCAGTTGGAAGTGATGGGACCGTGGCTTATTCTGCACAAGGCTGTCCTAGTGTCCCATGTCAGATTCAATCTGGATTTAGGATTGTGTGGTCCTCTATTATATCAACAAAGACCAGCTATATGGCAATATCTGATATACACTACATGACCAAAAGTATGTGGACACCTACTCATCGAACATCTAATTCCAAACTCATGGGCATTAACGAAAATGTATGCACTCACTACTGTAAGTCGCTCTGGATAAGAGCTTCTGCTAAATGACTAAAATTTAAATGTGAAAAATGTTAATGTGGAGTTGGTTCCCCCTTTGTTGCTATTTCAGCCTCCACTCTTCTGGGAAGGCTTTCATTTACATTTACATTTTAGTCATTTAGCAGACGCTCTTATCCAGAGCGACTTACAGTTAGTGAGTGCATACATTATTTTATTTTATTTTTCATACCCCCCGTGGGAATCGAACCCCCAACCCTGGCGTTGCAAACGCCATGCTCTACCAACTGAGCTACATCCCTGCCGGCCATTCCCTCCCCTACCCTGGACGACGCTGGGCCAATTGTGCGCCGCCCCATGGGTCTCCCGGTCGCGGCCGGCTACGACAGAGCCTGGATTCGAATCAGGATCTCTAGTGGCACAGTTAGCACTGCGATGCAGTGCCTTAGACCACTGCGCCACTCGGGAGCCATCACTCTGTTTTCTCACGCAATTGCATAGCCTATAGAAATGAGCTCATGGGCTTTCATTAAGTGTTTGATTAGATTTTCAATTACATTTGCATTGATGTCAGAGTGATTAGAGGGACAAGAGCGCAGAGTACCAGGCAGTTAGCAAGTTTGGTAGGCTACTGGCTCGCAGTCGGTGTTCCAATTCCTCCCAAAAGTGTTAGATGGGGTTGAGGTCAGGGCTCTGTGCAGGTCAGTCAGGTTCTTTCACACCGATCGACAAACCATTTCTGTATGGATCTCGCTATTTGTACGGGGGCATTGTCATGCTGGAACAGGAAAGGGCCTTCCCCTAACTTTTGCCACAAAGTTGGAAGCACAGAATCATCTAGAATGTCATTGTATGCTGTAGCGTTAAAGATTTCCCTTCACTGGAACTAAGGGAAACCATGAAAAACAGCCCCAGACCATTATTCCTCCTCCACCAAACTTTACAGTTGGCACTATGCTTTGGGGCAGGTAGCGCTCTCCTGGCATCCGCCAAACCCAGATGAGTCCGTCGGAATGCCAGATGGTGAAGCGTGATTCATCACTCCAGCGAACGCATTTCCACTGCTCCAGAGTTCAATGGCGGCGAGCTTTACACCACTCCAGCCAATGCTTAGCATTGCGCATGGTGATCTTAAGCTTGTGTGCGGCTGCTTGGCTTGAAGCTCCCGACGAACAGTTTCATGAAGCTCCCGACGTTGCTTCCTGAGGCAGTTTGGAACTCGGTAGTGAGTGTTGAAACTGAGGATTATTACACGCTACGCGCTCCAGCACTCGGCAGTCCCGTTCTGTGAGCTTATGTGGCCTATCACTTCGCGGCTGAGCCTTTGTTGCTCCTAGACGTTTCCACTTCACAATAACAGCACTTACAGTTGACCGGGGCAGCTCTAGCAGGGCAGAAATTTGACGAACTCACTTTAATTGTCTATGGAGATTGCATGCTCGATTAAATACACCTTTCAGCAACGGGTGTGGTTGAAATAGCCGAACCCACTAATTTGAATGGGTGTCCACATACTTTTTTATATATAGTGTACCTTACTGCTTTAGATTACAATCCGGTTGACTGCTTAATTTCAACAGTGTGAGATAAAACGGGAAAAGCAGGAATATCATTAAGTCAAACCACAATAAGGCAAGTCCAGCAAACCTAGATATTAGAAGCATAATGGCTCAAATACTTAATTTATTACACACAATTCATAAAAAATAACTAGTACTTACCTTTGCATGTAAATCCAATAGTGAACCAAATGGCTCTGCAAGTGGCTCTCATTGCCTTATACCCGACAGCTTGGTACCCAAAAAGTAGGTGTAATGCATAATATTCAACAAGTAAAATCCAGAAGCACCCTCAGTGACTTTGAAAGGGAGCAAACCAAAATATGCATGTATGAATACTGAATGACAGGTAAGTCCCAACTTGCTTTGCACTGCAACCCCTCAGCTCTTTCCATTGGCTCTCTCTAACAGACACAAAGGCATATTTCAGGCCATATCACTTCACACCATGCCCTAGGTTGTCATGTCTGTTCACAACAACCCCACCACTTCACCCCAGTGCTGTATACTAGGCCCTTCTCAATCCGTGGACTTGTTAGGACTCAGTGAGAAATGTCAAAGAACACCCAGCATTTCACTCTTCTTTCAAACATTATGAAATAAACAACTTCTTTGATGAGCAGCCTATATGATTACTCTGCCTGATTTATAGAGACCGAAAACAAAACAAGGCTGTATACATTTGACACCATTTAAACAAATATATAATTAATGTTCAGAGAACTTATATGAACTCAGTCAAAAACTTTCCATTAAACCGCATTATAAAAACAAGGCAAATGTAGGTTTAGCGGTAGGCTAGCTTGTAACACACAAGAAACAAAGACTTTATCTTAGCCATATAGTAGGCATGTTTGCCACTAGCATCTATACTGGAATTGAAAGTGGGCCTTGTGACAGTACACATTTATTCCACTCTCAACCCAAACACAGAGATAATTTATGAACAGAATGATATACAGTGCTCTATCTTGACAATTTTACTGCTGAAATGCAACATGTTTGGGACCACTGAACAAAATACTTTTTTTTTTAAACATTTGCGTGAAGTGATCCTTACTTTGGGACCTACTTCCCCAGATGAACTTACTCATGGATGGATATCATTTGTATGTCTCTGCATCCAGTATGAAGGAAGTTAAAGGTAGTTTTGCGAGCCAATGCTAACTAGCATTAGCGCAATGACTGGAAGTCTATGGTATATACTAGCAGTTACCATAGGCATCCAGTCATTGCGGTAACGTTAGTTAGCAATTGTGCTAACGCTAGTTAGCAACTTCCTTCAAACTGCACGCTGAGACAAAAATAGTATCCACGGCTTCATCTGAAAGATGAAGGCAGCAATAGGTAATTCAGATGAAAAGAACTTGGCCAGCGCCCTGCCGCTACTCCGGCCCATGTTGTCCCTGACCAGTCGGATGGAGTCCACCGCTAACCCACGGAAAAACTCCCTAATATCCATTTCTGTCCCTGAGAAGGGCAGGCCTTGAAGGTGGACATATAACTCATCTGAATTACCTATTGCTGCCTTCATGTGTGCCTGGAAAGAAAGAAAGGGCTTAATTGCCAAGATCCCAAAGTATCCATTTAAAAGGCAGCTGTGTCAAACTAAATTCCTGGAGAGCCATGTGTCTGCTGGTTTTTGTTATTCCCTTTCAATTCTTGTACAATTAAGACCTACACAACCAGGTGAGGGGAGTTCTTAACTAATTGATCAATCAAGTACAAGGGAGGAGCGAAAACCTGCAGAACTTGGCCCTCAAGGACTGGAGTTTGACATGTGTTTTAAAGTAACTGTCCAGTGTTTCCAGATCTCTATTAAATTTGACCTATAATTAAATTACAATATGAGCTAAATAGTTCTGTCCCAAAAAATTGTAATTGTAGGCCCAGTGTAGTCAAAAATTAGATTTTCCTGTGTTTTATATTTCCACACTACGAGGTTGGAATAATACTGTGAAAATGAGAATGCCCTTTTAGTGTAAGAGCTGTTTGAAAAGACTGCTTGAAACTTCAGCCTTTTTTGGTGGGATGGAGTTTTAGCCTGCCTGGTGACATCCAATAACAGACCAATAAGAAAGACTTCCAAACCTCTGCCAATAACAGCTAGTTTTCCCCTCCCCACACAGACCACTCCCAGACAGTCCTAGCAAAATTCTTGCTTGAGAAATTGCTCTTGCTAAGAAGCTCTTTTTGACCATTTTAATTGAAAACAATCACAGTGAAGTACTTAATTGTTACTCAGAAATAATTTGATATTGAGATAAAAACTGCTGCATTGGGCCTTGCTAAAAAGCAGCTTTTCTGTGTTTGGATGGTCCACTACAAGACCATGGTACTTGCCTACGGAGCAGCAAGAGGAACTGCCCCTCCCTACCTTCAGGCCATGCTCAAACCCTACATCCCAACCAGAGCACTCCGTTCTGCCACCTCTGGTCTCTTGAGCTCAGCCCAGTCCAAGCTCCTCTCTGTCCTGGCACCCCAATGGTGGAACCAGCTCCCCCCTGAAGCTAGGACAGCAGAGTCCTTTCCCATCTTCCGAAAACATCTGAAACCCTACCTCTTCAAACCCCCCCTCAAATATGCATGCGAGTAGCCCGCTGATTGGCCAGCTCAGCCAATGATACAACATGACATGTTCTATGAGGAAATAGCAATCATTTTTTTAACAGTCTGTTTGAGATACAACTTTGAGGTGGGGATTTGATTTTTTTTCAATCAAATTCATGCTTTGGCCACAAATACACGTATAGGATGGGTCAACAACATTATTTGGGTATAAATTAACAGAATTAACTTTTAAAAGTGAGATTTTTCACCGGCGAGTTACTTTAAAGGCTGGTTTCTAAAACAAATTAAGCTTGGTCCTGTTCTAAAAATAATTCTAAACAGAGAATTTCCATTGAAAGGGCATTTTAGTCCAGGACTAGGCTTAATCTGGGTCTGGGAAACTGGGCATATAGGTTTCTTGGTAAGAACAATTGAATTTCCCATTCAACCCCAATATATCCTATATGTTCACTTGCAAAACCTAGATATAGCCTAGCCTATATTAACCTTTAAGGTTAACCTAACCCTAACAGCAATACTTAGGCCTATCTTAACATTCTTTCATACCTGGAACATGTTTGGGAAAAACTCGGTGCCTTCCCTTCTAAAACCATTTTATTGTTCATATGGAAAATCAGCAAGCAGTGAGAAAGCATTGGAGAAAAATAGAATGCCTTGTAGATAGATCTATGTCAGGAATGTCATTTTATTGACAAAAGTGTAAGCTAAACAGTAGGCTATATACACACTTGTGAAATAATAAACCGGAACGTCCCCAAAAATGAAACATAAAAATGTATCTTGTCAGGCAACACTACAAAACTAAGACATTCCAAATAGTATCTACATCTTTGCAAAACAGCTCATACTTTCAAAAAGAACATATCGCAGTGGGAGGGTTGGCAGATACAAAAAGTTCTAAAGAGCTCTGAAGACCATTAAACCAAATGCAAAATTCAACATATTTTTCTCAGAAACAAGCAGTACAATTTCTCACACATCATAGCTAACAACAACATTGACATTTGCATTTATTAACAGTGAAAAACAGCATAGAGCAAATAAGCAAATGCTTTAACCATGGCACAATAAGTGTTCTCAGCACTAACACCATGCATGGCAGCATTTGGCGAGTACCCACTTTAGAATATCATCACAAAGCACAGGTAAAAGTAAAGAGAATGTTAAATCTATGGAAGAAATACAAGAACACAAAATGTGTCAGGGCATTTGAAAATGATACATGCTTCCAAGTGAAAGTGATGTCTCAGTACAGCAATAAGAGACTACCCTCCTACTCCAACCATATTATTTAGACTTATGAAATGAATTTCAGGGCTCGTGCTCGAAACATGATTGGACTCAAGCTACATCAACATGGCAACATTTGGTTTTTCGCCATTTGAAAATCCACACACCCCACTTTAGTAATCATATTATACATCAAATCGATATAGCAGTTTCCCCATTTCATTCCTACGCTACAAACCTCATAATTTTGGTAAAGGAACTAAAGATAATTGGGAGATTAAATTCATCCTAAATGCAAGTTCTTACCTTTGCATTAATGAAACCGCAAGTTTCCCTTAATCATTATTGGTAGAGGGGAAAATTGGGAGTCTTATCCTAGGGTTATCTTCACCTTCCTAGCTCCAATAGGCCTATCATTTAAATCCATGACAGCAGACGTTGCCTCCTTGTGTGACTCAAATGCAACCATTGCCTCCCCAGTGGGCAGGCCCTTTTCACTGAACTGCAGACAGACTGAACCAGGCAGCACTTGATACCCATAAAAGAAATCTAGAATCTCATCGACTGTTACAGTGAAAGGCATGTTTTGGATCTTTACAATGGTAGGTCCACGAGGGTTACCAGGGCCTCCGGTTGACTGCCCTCTCAGAGGGTCAGAGCCAGGGCCAAAGGCAGACTGAGGGCCCCCTACTGATCGCCCTTGGCCACCTCCTCGGTTGTTGAGGCCTCCGCTCTTTCTAGGGCCGTTGTCAAAAGGTGGCATGCCCCTCAAGCCCTCTGGCCCAAAGCCAGGTGGGCCATTGTTGCTGCCTGGTCGGAAGCCTGGGGGTTCCAGAACTGCTCCAGGCAAGTGACCGGCAACCATGGGTGGGGGAATGCTAAGGCCTACATCCCCTAGACTTGCTGCAAGTGGGGGTAGAGGAGGAGGGCCCGCTAGTCCATTACCTGGGACAGTAAACGGCGTAAAAGGACCATTGCCTAAATTGCCTACAGTGTTTCTGAGGAAGTTGAACTCTTCTCCTGACATAACGGAAAAGGGGTGAGCTTGGGCTTGAACTGGATTCTGTGCCTGGCCTTGAGCGTTCCCTTGGGTTTTCTGGCCTCTTTTAACCTGTGGTGGTGGGTTTCTCTCGATTTCCTTCATCTGCTCAAAGGTGACCAAATGTACAAATGCATCTCTGCCATTTAACTTCTGCCTGTGTAGTCTCTCAGCATTTAGCGCATCCTCCTCTGCCCTGAACTGCACAACAGCCTGACCTAGACCGTTACCACTGCTGTCAACCAGAACTTTAAGACTTTCATCAAATACTGAAATGCCTTCTAGAAACAGACGGACATCTTTCTTTGACACATTATATGGAATATTTGAGATGTGAGCACAGTTTCTAGGGCTCTTGCCTGATTCTGAGTTGTTTTTCTTATCACCACCCTGCATCCTTTGACGAATTGAACCAATCTTTTCAAACATAGCTTTTTTACTGATGGGATGAACTTGTATGAATCGGCTTCCCATATACTGCATGTGACAGCCGAGGGCAACTTTGTAGTCCATTTCATTTTTGAACTCAACAAAGCCCTCGCCTGTAGCTCGGCCAGTGGGTCCATAAGCAATGTAAATGCTGTCTTCCACAATGTCCAGGTTTTTGAAAAACTCACAGATCTGTTTGTTTACTGCTTCGTAGGGCAGGCCTTTCAGGTAAACACAGAACTCCTTGTTGTGAGGGGAGCGGGACCTCGCACGGTCTCTGGTTGACGGGGACGCTGAACTCATGTTGCTGCGGCGGTGCTGGTCTTGGGGCTCATTACTGAATTTTAAGTGGGCGTGCTCTCCTACCCCGATGCCACCACTGCTGACACTCATCCACTGCCGCTCTGTGGCCGGAGAGATGTCCACGTACCTCTGCCCTAACATTCCGGTGCTTCTTTTGAGTGCCTCAAAAGTGTCCTGAGGGGAAAAGAACTTGGCCAGCGCCCTGCCGCTACTCCGGCCCATGTTGTCCCTGACCAGTCGGATGGAGTCCACCGCTAACCCACGGAAAAACTCCCTAATATCCATTTCTGTCCCTGAGAAGGGCAGGCCTTGAAGGTGGACATATAACTCATCTGAATTACCTATTGCTGCCTTCATGTGTGCCTGGAGATTTAACAGAGGGTTCATATGGCCGAGAAACATGTGGTTTGGGGTTCCTAGAGGCAGCCCTGAGGCCAATCCACCAGGGGGTGGGATGCCTGGGTTAAATGGTGGCATTGAGCCCATGTGGGACAGATGACTCATGGGAAGGACAGGAGGGCCTTGGGTTAAAGGTGACACAGTGGGAACAGGAGGCATAGATGACACTGGTGGTGGAAGTGGCATGGGGGGTATGGAAGGCATGGGTGGCAGGGATGGCATGGTTGGCAAAGGGGGGATAGGTACAGAGTTGAGGGAGGACATGGCTGTTGTCATAGTGGATCCCATGGTAAGATTTGGGCTGCTGAAGTTGTTGCTGAAACTGGGGGGCATGTTTCCCATACTAGTGGTGGCAAACGTGGACACATTTTTGTTGCTTATAGTTTCATGTGCAGATGCAGCTGTGGTGACTGTGGTTGGTGTGGTGTTGCTGAAGCCTTGTAAAGTGGTGGGTAAACTGCCCCTCCCACCTGTGCTACCGTTTCCTGCGGCTCCCTCCACATTTCCTGTTTCAAAACGCCTGCGGCTAAGTTCGATCATATTCTGCATCTCGGTCTTGCTGCTCAGCAAAAGTGACACTTTAGAACCTTTGATTGCTCCCCCTGTACGCATCATGCCAAGCCTGGCATCTTCATCTGTGGCGAAAACAATAAAAGCCTCACCATGTTCACCCCCTACAATATGCACCCCACCATCCGGGATAGTCAATCCAGAGAAGAAATGGCGTATGTCCATGGTCCCCGCCACTATCGGGAGACCCTGCAAGCGGATGACCACAGCCATGCTGCTGAGGTGAAACAACACACACCTGCAGGTGAAAAAAAGGCAACCACCGTAAGACTAGAGGAAAGAGTAAAGAACAGACAAAACAAAAAGAGCAGGAGACAAACCATGATTTAGAAGACAGCTTACGTTTGGAGATATTCGATGAGAGCCCAATGCATCAATAGAGCAATTCAAAATACATGTGCAAGTATTAGGCTGTCTGTCCACTCATCACCACTCTTACACAGCCATCCACACATTGCTTCATTTACCACATACATCAGCCTTGGCTCAAGGAGATGATGTAGGCCCAAGGTCTAATACGCAAACCTTGGAGAAATGTTGCTCGTAGGCCTAAATCTTGCTCATAATTAGACCCAGAGTACCATACATTTCAATGCTGTAAATTGGATGAACTTATAGCCCAACTTCCAATGTATCAATCTGATGCATCATGAGGCCTTTGTCCAGTAAATGTCCGGTGGAAGAAGGGGCCTGAATTTAAAGGTTGAGTAAGTCATTTTTAGAAGCTTGCAGGATGCATTACTTACTGACAAATCCTAAGAAAACTACATCACGTTTCAAAGTTGACTTTCCTTTCTTCGTCTAACTACACTATCTAGAATCTAGCAAAGAAGTTCTGTGGTTCAGAATGCAGTATTTAGTTACATAGTGCAAACGTTGGTTAGCACGCTTTTCACACTGGCTTTAGTCAGCAGGGGGAGCAGGCCTGTACGGGAAATTCCCAGTGTTGCCTAGCAACACATTCCTCGAAAGGGAGGCAACGCTGGCAGAGCGACAAATTTGCATGATTTTATGCTAGATTTGTACCGAACAATTAGCGCGACAGCTAAAATGGCTTTGAAAAAGTAAGACCTCAGCTAATAGGGAGAAGTATCTAACAAAATAACTACACAATGGCAGTCACTAATTATAAATTATTTACATACAATAGGAATTTGGGTATACTTGTGGATGAAAATCCTATTTACTCAACCTTTAAAATATAAAAACGTGTCAAATTGATATAACTGCAATGCAGCCCTAAGCCATTAGACGACACTGTGCCATCTCAGTAGCAACTGGTAAACATAAAAAATGCATTTATGAATAATTTAAATACCAGTCAAGAATGATGTATTATCACGACACCAACCATATTAAAACATTAAAAGTGCAAAACAATTAGCCTATGCTTAGGCTTGAGTCTCGAGCGTTGTTCAGAGCAGGTGTTGGACAAAACAGCATATCAAAAAGCAAGTAGAGAGAATGTGGTCCACAGAAGGCGGTCAGGTCATGAAGTGGAGACATTTACTTAGGGCTTTGTGGATGCGGTATTTTGCCAAAGAAAGCCACCAACATACCATGCTCTCCCTCTAAACCACTCATACCTTGGTAGGTCATTCTTAGCTCTCCTCACCTTCAGAGGTTTCCACAATAGAGTGAACTATGAGCCCAAAAGGGAATCAATAAGATCAATGAATATAGCCTAACAAAGCAAATAATTACTGGTAAAAATCACCAAGAGCCCACAGGAGGTTGTGAGAGTTGGACTGGCAGTCAATTGAATTAACCTATGTTCAGGACATATTTACAAGCTTACCTGTAATAATAAGTGGTGCTTCGTTAAAACTGTGGCACAGGATATCCAAGCCAATCCTGACGGCAAGCAATTTAAATCAATTCTAGACTGTAACAAAAGAATAGGAAATGGAAGCAAAAACATGAGCAAACAGCAGGCAAATTTAGGCATCCTTAGTGAACAACATGTACAAAACACTCTTGATTCAGCCCCAGCACCATATCAGCTTTTTTTTTTGCGTCAGGAGATGGTCAGAGAAATGCAGTAAATTGGCATCAACAATAAGAGCACAACATCTTTGAAATGGCTGCCTCGCCAAAAAGCCATACACTCATTAAAAAAATTACAAAGATCATGCATCTCATCATTTCTCATGTTGACATCAAGCATGTTGAGACATTTCATTCATCACAGCAATCCATATCAGCAAAATAAACATGCATGCCATTGAAAAACCTCAGCAGTGAAATAAAAAAATTCCCAGATTCTAACTGAATATCTTATTCTTACTTAGGTACATTTCTAAAGCGTTCTGTATAAAATGATGTAAATGATAAGGTCTCCAAATGTAAATGAGGGATGTGCAGTTCACCTAGCAATGTGCAGATTGCCTAGCAATCAACAAATGTGCATTGTTTAAAGCACACTTTTAGTCTAAGTCACAAATGACACCTCCAAAAAAAAAAAGCCCCCTATGGTGAACGACAGGCTTGTAGAACCATGACTCTTTCGAGTTTTCAGTTCATTGTTCGCTGGCAGGGAGTAGGGATGGGTATTTTACCTTTTGAGACTGCTCGAGTACTTGTAATGATTTTTTCCCCCCCGATTACTCGCGTACAAAAATTTGAATAAAGAAGCTATTTTTTTAACAAAGGCTGAATTTTTCACATGAATTTTCTCTCTCGCATTTATCTACAGCAGTGGAGGCTGGTGGGAGGAGCTATAGGAGGACGGGCTCATTGTAATGGCCGGAATGGAATGGATGGAACGGTATCAAACACCAAACATATGGAAACCACGTTTGACTCTGTTCCATTCATTCCGTTACAATGAGCCCGTCCTCTTATAGCTCCTCCCACCAGCCTCCACTGATATACAGTATATGCCAACAGTGAGCAACAATGCCTAATTTATGATAACCATTACAACAGTGAGCAACAATTCCTAATTTATGATAACCATTACAGATAACGAATGCTAATTGCTAAATTGCCTCATATATTCAGTCAATAAAAAAATAAGTGTAATTTAAGATTCATTTATTGAAACTAATATAAACTGGTTATATTATATTGTGGAACACAATCTTCAAAAATAGTAACCTCGGCAGTGTGGCGCTTGTTTGTAGAACCCTATGGCTGTGCAATGGCATAGCCTTGTTTTGTTAATTTAGCAGACAAGTCGCTCTTCTTTCCTGAGTCCTTATCACAGTCAAGACACCTATTTTGTAGCAAAAAAACATGTAGTAAAACATAATTTGTTGAAATATATTTTTCGATATACAGATGTTCGATTTCGTTTATTATGCCTGTTCCTTAGAATTGTCTAAATGGATTAACAATTCTACATTGAACAATGCATGGGGATGAATTATGGACAGGACATCTGTCTGGTGAATAGGCCTAGGCTTAAAGATTCTGATGAAAATACACTTTGTCTTTATCAAACTAATGTTTTTGGATATTTTCAGTGTGCAAACTGTCTGTTTTGGGGTAATAGCCTAGGCTTACTAATTATAAATGCCACTAGCAGTTCGCAAAGTAGGGTCGTCACTAACATTAGTTACCACAGCCACAAAGTCATAAACCATGCCAGTTTCTAACATTTTGCTTTTTCAAATCTGATTTTAAACCTAACCCTTCACCTCACTGTTAACATTATGCCTAATCTTAAATTAAGACAAAGCACTAATTTTTGTTTTCATGAAAAGATATAGCCCATTTTCACTTTGTGGATGTGGTAACTAGTGACAACTGCAAACTGCCTAAGCAGTAAATGACGCAATTATTCCAAAACTGCTGCTCATTGTTGGAACACATATTTCCCTACTTCAGTCAACCAGTTCATTTAAAATGTGATAAAACTGTCGTCATTTGGCAAGGAATGTAGCTTGTCTATCCCATCAGTGATAGAAAATGTGATCTCTGGTTTAAGATCGAGTTTTGTAGTCAGTTCTAGTACTGGATTACTCATGCCCATCCCAAGTATGGGTCCTGCGTGCTCTGGACATTACTGACTCAAACGAACGACGAGTCGAAAGATTCGTTCTTTTGACTGAACGAGTCGAAAAGATCAGAGTACGTAAAAAGAGCCTAACTTCCCATCACTAATGTAAATACAGTATAGTAATATGGTAGTGGACTGGTCTGTTTGAGGATTAAACACATAATCCGATCATGATTATCACAGACCGTGTAGCCTAATACTTGAATAAACTATAGACGGGTTGACTGACGAAGTCACGAAAATTATGCACGCGTATCGATGTGGCCGGAAGGTGTGCGTTATGATTCTGAATGGTCAGATAGCTAGAAACAATGACAGTAAGGAATAGGGTTGGGCGGTATCCAGATTTTCATACAGTCATACCGTTTCTGTACCATACCGGGGTATTACCGGAAGTGCACACAAGGGGCGCCATTTCTAAAAATATATATTTTGGGGGACGCACAAAACAATTTAGGCAACAGGGATCTTGATCATTTATTGAATGTCTATGTTGTAACCAAGAAGCTTGATCTTGACATCTAGCCACATAGCTAGCAAGTTAGCAAACCAAATGCATAGCGGGAGCCCTGAGCTGGATCTAATTTATTTGACACATCTTACATTTCTTATAGTTCTTAGTTAGTTATAAGCAATGGGGTAGCACGAACCCAACCACCCCAAATCAGCTTGTTGTATCTTGTTATTGATAGCATGTCTTGTCTTATGTTTTGCCCCATAGTTGTGCATTAGTGGTGCACGGGTCAGCTGTTTGTTCACCCGCACCTGCCCACAATTGCTAATAACCCATCCGCAACCACCCGACTATATGTGATAAAGTGAAAATCTGAGGCCCGCACCCGACCCTAACCCGCAAAAATAGAAAATGCACTATAGGCTACAGTCAGAGACGGCAGAACGATTTTTTGACAGGGGGTGCAGGACTTTGTTTTGCCTGATTTAGATATATTTCTGCTTATAATTTCCGACATTTTGGTAGGCTATTTGTTAGTCAACTTGTCTATAATTAGATACATGTAGCGTCTCTTTTGTCATTATATGTTACCCTAAAAGACTAAATAAACCCTTGCTCAACAGAATAATGTAATAGATCAAAAGAATGAATGCTTCAATCTAGTTGACATCGGTAAAGTTCTCTGTCATCTTTCGTGGAGCAAAGATGTTTAGGGACTGGGGAGAAAATACAAAAAAGCAAAAACAAAACGGGAAAGGTTTTCTGTGCAAAATGTCCAAATGACATCAGTTTAACCGATTGTAAAAAAAAAAAAAAAAAAAAGTTGTGAAAACGACCCAAAATGTTTCTGATTTGATTTCAGTTCGGCTTCGATGCATATTTTATCAGCTTTTATGACGCTTTTATGATGAAGACAGCACCTCTACAGATCGTATCTAACTGAGCATTGCATTCTCTCAAGATGCAGAAATAAATAAATCGTATTTCTCCACTCCTGTTCCCAAGTCCAAATTTGGCCTACATTTGGTGTATAATTTTACTGCAAGAAATGCTTAATTCTGCAGGAGCTATTATTAAGGCTATAGCCCTATTCGCAAGGAACTAGTATTACTAGAGAACGTTGGTTATGTATTTATTACCCCAGAATGTCGGTTATTCCAGAGGACGATTCGGACAGGATACGTTTTTTTTCTCCCCAAACTGCCCCCTGTAATTCTTAATTTTTTTTAAAATAAATTGACAGAAGCCTGGAGGTTTTTTTTTCTAGGTGTGAAGATATTTCAACAAGTCCAAGCCATAACAGGCTACACTGATAACTTGGGAACCAAGCTCGAGTTTTCTTAATCATAACAAACCATCTTTGGTATAGTGTCGCCATAATATCTTAATTGAGGAAGTGTGATCATAATCATTAGGATATTTTAGTGATCCGTAGTAGAATACTTCCTAAATGCCCCCCAGCCTTTAGATGTGAGCTAAACCGCTAACTTGCACTTGATAGGCGTTTTTAGGCTATGGATGAGAAAGTGAACTTGTTCCAAACGTTTAGCTCAGTTGTATGTTGCTTTGCCATCTATTAACAGCAAGGGTTGCATTAAGTAGCCGCAATGTTTTTTTATGATGCATTTTGCGATGTTCAATCCATTTGCACAAAACGTATAAATAAAAGCATTATGTAAGCCCTTCATATATAGACTATGTGCTGCACTTCGTTCAATTTATCAAATCAGTTATTGTTTTCTTGCTTAAACCGTGAGCAAACCCCTGTATAACTCAGACATTTCTCTCAAAACACAGGGATGTCGATTCGCACGGGACTAGTATTATCAGAGGACTTTGGAGTTTGCCAATAAACAGTAGGTTATTCTGGTTAGTCAATGTCCAGATTTCAGTTTCCATTTAACCCATCTAAACAGTAGGCTACAGTTTCCTTGACATGCCATAGGCCTATTTGAAGTCTCGTCTTGTGACTGTCGAATTTGTATAGCGCCTCACAATCATCACGGATAACATAGCCGGCACTGCTATGATCCTCTTTTACCACTTCACCAAATATTTTCCAAACATTACTTTTCTGTCCATCCCTTTTTTCAACTCTCCTCTTGCATCTTTTGCCTTATTGAATTAAACTTTGACAATGTCCTTTTGCCTCCGTGGATTGATGTTAACTTCTTCTGCCAGTTAAGCCCTAAAGTTTAGGCTTATGCACTAATACCAGATAGCCTAAAATAATGAAAGAAAAACCTCAATGTAGACTACATAAATTGCACAATAATTATAAAAACATTTTTAAGGTATTGTTTTTCTTTCTTCAACCCGCCCTTCAGCCACAATATTTAATGACCCTAAACCCGTCCACCCCGCGGATATAAGCACGGGGACTGCGGGTTATGAGTCAACCCGCGCATCACTATTGTGCATGCGTCGGTTTTGTTGCTAAACAACCAGCCAATCTATGGACAAACCCTAAATCAGGTCTGTTGTGTCAGTCTCGCACTGAGGATTGTATTCCGAGCCTGCCCCATGAAAAACATAAGCCTGGGCCTACATTGAAATGTAGCCTCCCATATTCCTTATATCATATGCAAAATTTTAGAGAAAAAACAACCACCTGCACATTAATACTCATCATTGTTACCTCATCAAAGCTTCAGCACACTACAATCTCTCAATTGTGTGAGAATCTTTCTACAAAACATACAGAAGACAAAGGTCACTCCTGAGAGAACCTAACCACTTGGTACACATCAGTAAAAATGGACAATGAGTGAGGTCATCAACTGGCTTACTTTTAAACACATGTGCACTTAAGGAAATAGTACCTTCAACATGACAAAGCAGAATATAACCCTTCGGATGACAAAATGTGAAATAATTTGCTAATATAATAAGATAGAAATAAGCTAGATGAGAGAACGTTAACTTCAATGCACATGCCATATTAGCTACAGATGCAATGGTCAATATGCAATAATGTACTACTGACTGTACTTGCATATGCAGGTACAGTTTAGCTTGTGATCTCCAACAATACTTCCTTAACTATCGATTTGGAAGGCACCCATCTTATAAACTCAAATCGCTACTTGTCGGGGGAAATTTGACGTTTAGAAAATGCTCAGTTACAAATTAAATCCATTTAAATGTGCATTAATTAATCCATCAATGCACATGCCGCCATCTTTTTGGGATTTCCTATTTTCCGGAATATTTTCTCATTATGGGAGTTCCACCACTGCTGGAAACATTAATGAAGACAACAGTGCCTTCCAAATCGAGAAGGAAGGATCGCCAATTAAAGGTTGTTTGAAAATGTTATGACCATGGAGATCAAAAGATAAGCTGTAACAGTGTTTTCAAGTAGGACTACAGTCAGGACATTATTGGATATCCACTGTTGCGACTGTAAAACGACTGCTATATTCTAATAATGCTATTCTGTAGTCTATATAATTCTTTAAAAACCAGATTAATTTACAGAAGCTGTTAATGAGCTGTCGTTTATCAGCGGAATATCCACTGTCGGGTGGCAAGAGCGTGCAACTCCTCATACAGCTAGCTGATTGCTGCATGGAAAGAAATGTGTTCTAATAAACCCAGTCACTGCGCAACATTCCTAAATGCAATCTCGGGAGAAGACAAGTTTAGATAGTAATTATTGAAAAGAGCGGAATCCCAGCTTTCACGTGCAGTTTTATTTCGCAACTCCACTTTTTGCACAATTGGCAGGGTTTTACAAGCTGAGTGTCTGGTATGACAATAAAAAAAGTAACTGTAGGCCTATAATGTAAAATTCACACAATTACACTATAAACACTGTAAAAATCACATGATTTTATTAGGCTAGTGGAAGTTTAGGACATTAAACAAGCAACAATATATTTAGAGTCTGATATCTAGCTAATGATAGGGGTAAACAATGCAGATGAGCATCCCCATGCTTCAACGTAGCCACTACGCTGCAAACCGGGGTGGAGGGTATATTTCATTGTTTGGATTCGTTTTTTTTTAAATGAAAAAAATAGACTGCAAATGAAACATGAAATTAGCCATGACTTAAATTCTGGTTCATAACTTGCTTTCCTGTGATCTTGGCCCGGGCAGGTCGTTTTCACTTGGTACTGGCCCGGGGTGCCACTGGCAATTTTACCTGAATGTCAAGCGCTGCATATGGGCTTTTCTTCAAATCTAGCCATTCAAATTAAATCATTTCAAAATGTAGGCCTATTCTAAGGGTAACTGGAGGAATAAATATTGATGCAGATGACTCACATACCAGTACGTTTCTATCTGTATTTCATCTTGATGTTAACTTGGCCTAGAATAGCCCGTGTACGTGTCAATAAAACATCAAGGTTATAAAGGAATTGCCCATACAAATAAGTGGTAGACAACAACCCAGACAGTTGCCCACAACTTGTGAGGTCTCCAAATGACGCATTAGAGTTTACGTTATTTCAACTGAGCAAAACCTTGTACATTGAAGAGGGACCTGGACTTGTTGTTCCCCAATCTCTACACACGACAAATAACACACACGGGTAAATTGATGAAATAACAGCAATGGAATTGTATGTGCACAAAAACGCTGTCAACATGAACAACGCTGTAAAAACACATTCGCCAGTAACGTACCGTTAGCTAAAAGCTCAGTCCGTCAGAGTACAAAAGCAGTTGCCAAATCTGAAGGGCTGCAGGTAGACAGCAAATTCTGCAAAACTACAGGAAGACCGCAGACAAATTACATCCAGTAATGTTTAATAATTTTAGCCATTATTGTCCATTTGGATGTGCACCACTGATAATTACTTGAGGAAAAGCGTCATGCTAGATAGCTAGTTGGATTCATGTAAAAGAGAACACAGTCAAGATGGCGCTGGTCCTACATTGAAAATGCTTTATAGTAGCTAGCTAGCTAATTAACCAGGGCCCGGTTTCCCAAAAGTATCTTATGGCTAAATGAATCAGAACCATTAACTTAGCCATAAGATCCTTATGGAAAACTGGGACAATCAAGATTGGTAGTTACTAGTAGCAACATTAGCTAAAGACCGAACAATTCCACTTCAACGTACTGTAGGTCTTCAGATTAGTAACGCCACAGTAGCTAGCTAGCTAAACATAACCAAAACAGAACAGCGAACCTAAATGTTTCTCACAACCGTTCTAAACTTAAGCCTTGGCTAGACCAGAGTGGTGGTTAACGTTATATATAGCCTATTTGCTAAAAACATAGCTATCTACCACATTTGGGCAGGCCAACCATCTAAAATGCCGGAGAAAACTATGCAGTTAGCGGTTAGCTAGCTAGCCATTCATTCTCGCTATCGTCACCGCATGTCTGCAGGATTATATTTCACTGATGGATAACAATTACAACATTACTGGCATTTGGTTGCTGTTTTTTTTGTTTGTCCTTACCGAAATATCTGTTAAAAGATCTTTATTATATTTTGTGACGCGTTCTCTCCACCCCGTGCTCTTCTCTCTTCTTGTAGCTAGTAAAATGTCGGTCGAGCGACGAACTCGAATCGTGACGTAGAACTTCTCCGCTCTACTGATATAATACCGCCATCTAGTGGACTCCAACATGTTTTGTTTTATACGGTACAGCATTTTGACAAAGACAAAACATTTTATAGCTCAAGTAAAATACTATAATCACAATCAGAGTTTGTAGAATAAGTGAAGAACCAATCGACCAACTACATATGAAATACTGACATAATTCAGGGACAGGCTGAGTCAATTATTTATTGGAGAGCTAGCTACAAATATATGCATGCATGTATACATTGTGAGATTAGATTGCTGTTGGACATTATGGAAATACATTTTGGGAAGAGTAATGAGTCTGCTGTGCTATATGCTGCATGTACAAAGCAGAAACAACAAGCACTGTATATGTTCAGTCACGGTGGTGGTAGATTATATACTGAGGTCATAAAACAGCTGGCCACGTAAATTGGTTTGCATACTTCCCCTCACAGGAAATCATCAAATCAGATTAAAAGATAACATGCAAGATTCATACAAACAATACACATTTTGCCAGAGACTGTATGCAAACCAACTGGGGATAATTTCCATGATTAGAAGACTATTGCTCAACAAGACTGGCATTCAAATTCACACATTGAGATGAGGTAAATATTTTATCAATTTCCTCCCTTACAGTGACATGAAACCAGTGCCCGTGTTACTGTTGACGTTAACCTTGTTAACATGCTGTATGTGGTCAACGTATAATGACTTATCCATAAACTAAATGGAATGTAGCACATTCCACATAAATGAACCATTCTGTAACTTGCTCTCAGTCATAAAATCCCATGGTCAAAGCAGCTGAAAAATTATGTGAACTACTTAAGAGCACTTGTAAAGAACAGGAAGGCCTGCACACTATTTATGCTCCCAATTCAACGCTTTAAGGGCCTTCATTTCATTACAAGTTTTCTTTATTAGCCCAGCACCTACGTTTTTAATGATGTGCGTATCAATAATAATAATTTGTCAAATACAAAGGAACAAATTATTCAGGTCTACCAATACAAAATATACTCATAGGCCTCCACTAAAATAAGTCAGGAAGTTGTGCGTGTTTCTTGACAGTATAAATAATTACCAATCATCACGGGAGTGGCATAGTAGTCAGCAAACTAAACAAGTTTAGTATTCACAATGCTCTTAGGTATGTTTCCTGAAGGCTTGCTCTAGTGCTGTGTCCACTTGATGCTCTTCAGATCAATTCCTTCTTGCACCATCTCCCACAAGGGGCTGAAGAGAAAAAGTTGGACAACAATGAATACATTAACCTGTAACAGTGCATTGATACTATTGCAAATTAAAAGGCTATTATTATAGTATTTCATTAGATCATCAACACTATTGTGTACAGAAAATATTAAGATTTCTAGCCACCAGTAAATTCCTAGTTAAGTGACATTCAGCATTTACATTTTGGGGTGGTTTCCTGGACACAGATTAAGCCTAGTCCTAGACTAAAAAGCACTTTCAAATGAGATTCTCCATTGAGCTTGCTTTGTAGTCCAGGACTAGACTTCATCTGTGCCTCTATGTATGCTATTCTATTCTTTTTCTCTCACCTCATCTCTCTCAGGCGTTTGACCTGCTGAATGCACTTGTCCGCTGTATAGTCCACTTCTGCCTCTGTGCTAAATCGGCCGATTCCAAATCTTCAGGTAATTTGGAGTAACAACATACAAACAGACTAGGTAAAACACCAAAATAATACAATTCAGCTGTAAAATGTTATTCTTGACCCTGCTCTTTTGTAATTAGGAATGATAAAAAGGAACATTTACATCTTTCAAATCCCACGATCATCCATTTGAACTTCTTGAGTTGTGTTCCTAACTGTTACTCACCTGATTGAGGAGTGGGCCAGGTCCTCATCCGTTCCAATAGCTCTCAGGACATATGAAGGCTCCAATGAAGCAGAAGTGCAGGCACTGCAGGAAGATGGCATCATCAACGTACAGTATTTTCATTTGGATCCAACTCAATAGCTGTTAATCTATTTATTTATTTTATATATAAAATAATCTAATAGCTCTGTATTTGCTACTGACCTGCCAGATGATAGAGCGACATCCTTCAGGGCCATCAACAGACTCTCTCCCTCCACGTAGGCAAAGGATAAATTAATGCATCCTGTGTCAGACCAAAAACATTCAAGTTAATAATAGAGAATCAACATTTAAGGGATTCTACTCTGATCTGTCAACTGACTAGAGTATTTGTAAGTCGCTCTGGATAAGAGCGTCTGCTAAATGACGAAAATGTAATGTAAATGTAGAGTACAATCCACCAACTATTAAGTGCTCCACTTTATCTGTAGGCATATACAACATACTATTGCTCTAATGTGATTATGATAATGTACAGCACAGTCCCTGATTAACTCATAAGGAATAAAGGGATTTACTTAATTAACAGATTACCAGCCAATTACATCTAGATGGTTCTTGTGAAAAATATGAATTCTACTTCCACCCACTTATATGCCTGTCTATTATTATGTCCACAAATCCCCTGCTCTGCGCTTCACCTGGGTATCTTTGCTCTGGATCACCATTCATCACAACATCAGGGATCTCTGACATAATTTTATGCACAAGGCGGTTTGCCAACATTGACACCCGGCTGTGATCATACTGGAAAGAAGAGAAGATCAACAAGTTTAAAAAATATATATACATGAACTTTCTTTCACTACAAAGAATACACTACTACTACAGTAAATACTTATAATTTTCCCATCAACAGAACATGCAGCAAATAAGATATGATGGAACCTTTCATATAATGCGGTGGGGATTGGTCAGAAAAAAGAAGATTATCAGTTTGCTGTGCAAGCCTCTACATTCTTTGACTGTTTTTTATACAAACAAACAGTTTAAAATCCTGTCTCTTGAACTCAAGCTAAATTGGAGAAAAAAAAACAAGTAAAAACAAACATCGATGAACAACATCCTGTGTAGGTTTGTTTCAGACAGTAATGAGAGTTGTCTACCTCTAGCTCCTGCTGGGCTATATCACAGGCTGCTCCCAGTCCCACAGCCAGAGGAGTGGGCACTGTCCCTGAGCGAAGCCCCCTCTCCTGGCCTCCACCGTTCTGCAGTGGCTCCATTCGAACCCGGGGCCGGCGCCGCACATACAGAGCCCCAACCCCTGTCAAATCACAAACATACTCAATTGCTGGCACAGTCCTCACATAAACACCAACAATTAAAGGAGTTAAATATGTGGGTGGACACAAGAGTTCAATCAATGTAGTAGCCAGGCTTGGGGTCAATTCCACTTCAATTCAGGAAGTAAACTGACATTTCAATTCCATTTTCTCTCCTTGCTTTCAGTGAGGAAAATAGGAATTTCAGTGTTCTTCCTAACTAAAGATGGAATTGACAACAACACTGATAGTATCTGATATACAACAATGTAGATTAAAGTGTACACAATGTACCTTTGGGACCATATATTTTGTGCCCGCTGATGGACATCAGGTCTACCTTCCAGTCAGATACATTGATGGGGATTTTTCCCACAGCTTGAGCTGCATCAGTGTGGAAGAACACGTTCCTTGACCGGCAGATTCGACCTGGAGAAGTGTGTGTGAAAATAATAGCAGATGAATAAAGACAAAACAAAATGTATTTATTTCACAGTGGATGTACTTCTGAATCTATTTAGGCTAAAAGGTTACCTATGTCTTCGACAGGCTGCCTCACACCAATCTCATTGTTCACGGTCATCACAGACACCAAACTAGTGTCTGGACGAATTGTTTCCTCCAGTAGCTATAAAAAATAGCAACATTTTTATATCAGCATATGAGGTATTCAAGACATACAAACATATTGAAGAAATAGCCCATGAGAACTTACTATCAAATTATTTGAACAATTTATCTTATTCTTGGTACAAGAACGCAGTAGTGGATTTATACAATGGGGCACATGTTTAGATAAAACAACCAAACAATTGAGCTTGCCTCTAGGTCAACCAGGCCATTAGTCTTCACAGGAAGATAGGTTATGTCAAAGCCCTCTGCCTCCAAGACTCGACAGGAGTCCAGCACACACTTATGCTCTGTCTGAGTGGTGATAACGTGCTTCTTCTTGGATTTGTAAAATCGGGCCACACCCTAGAAACAAAAACAACCACTCAGTTCCTTTTCCTCTCAATTGTTAGCATGTATCCTCATTTACAAATAAATTACACAACAGAACAGTTGATTGACCTTAGCTCATTCTTATGTCTTAATCTTTCCATCAGCTGGCAGTTCTTGGCATGTATTATTCACCCTCCCAAATCCCTTGCCCTTAATCTGACTGCTAAAGCAGTAAAATACAGACTTACTTTGATTGACATATTATTAGATTCAGTGGCACCACTTGTGAACACGATCTCACGAGGATCTGCAGCAATCAGGTCTGCAACTTGCTGTAAGGATAAATCAAATTAAGATGTTAGCCTTATCATCGAATGACATGATGCAATAGCTAGTCAATTAACTGCAAATGAATTACCTTTCTAGCTTTTTCCATTGCACTTTCACTTTCCCAGCCATATGCATGTGTTCTGGAGTGAGGGTTACCATAATAGTTCACTTGATAGGGAAGCATTGCATCCAGAACTCTTGGATCCTAGAGTCATGAGATAAAACATATTGAGTTGAAGATTATGTGGTGGTTGCAGTTCTCAAAGATGACCCATTGAAACGAATTAATAAGATCCAATGTTTTACAGATTTGACATGCCGCCAGTTTGGTATAATTATCGTGGGAGAGGCTAGAGGCTGGTAGCTAACGTTTGAGAGCCACATACCATTGGTGTTGTTGCTTGAAAATCCATGTACAGAGGTCGCAGCTCATCTTTCTCCAGCTCCCTACTTTTGATAAATTCTGTAAAAACATAATATTGTGTCATTTGGGTCCAGAAAACATACACATTTATCTGTGAATTAATTGGCAAACCTCTCATATGCATTCAGGGCATCAATACACTGTCACACGGATGTAATGTAACGGCATAAAAGTTAGGGAACTGGCTACAGCAGGGATGCCGCGTTTAAACCAACTGGGAACTCGGAAAAATACGATATTCAGGTCGGAAAGTCTGAGCTCTACAGAGAGTTCCGGAGTTGGATGACCGTTCAAATCGATTTTTCCCAGTCGGAGCTCGCTTTTTTCCAAGTTCCCAGTTCTTTTAAACGCGGTATTATCTAACTAACTTGCTGCGTCATCGAATGAGTATCATTAGCTAGTTAGCTAACTAGCGAGATGATAAGTAACTAATAAAACATTGTGTAAAAAAGGCGAATAACCTAACTTACCTCTCTCAACAGCATTCACAGCACTTTGAACATAGTTCATTCGGTGGCTTGGGAACCCTCGCATGGATCCCAGAAGCTTCGTCGTAACAGTCTTGCTCAACATCTTCACAGTTGGGTAATGTTTAGCTAACCTTGCTACAGTAGTAGCTAACCTTCACCAGTGACAAACAGGATTCGCAGCGAGGAAAATAAGCTTGCAGATCTCTGAGTATGTATGCCTGGTTTTGTGAGACCCTGGTATAACAATGTATTCGATTAACAGGCTTGTTTAATAAGACGCGTCAAATCCTTGTCGACACAGTCATCATGTGAGGCATCACCAAAATGGCAGTGAGACCTGAGCCGCGGTGCACCGGTCTATGACCAGTGACGGGATTGGGCAAAAGCGGCGAGGGAGGAGCACCATTCTCAAATCGAACAGTAACCTGCGCCGCTTGGTCATGTTGTCAACAAGGCAGCATTGTGCAACGTCCAGAAACATACATCTCTTTTCCATAAACTATGTGTTCGAATTTTCAGACGTGTTTTCATTGGGAAGGCAAAGCAATCACTTTCATACTCATTACCATACTATGGAACGCCATTTGGGTCTTTGCGTGTCTAAAAAGATACATGTCAAATAACACTATTTCACACGTCAAATAAGCTTTTAATTTGACACGTCAAATAATACAATTATATTATAGAATGTTGTGTGTGCTGAGTTTGCATGTGCAAGCCTAGCGCCACCACTACGATCAGTAGCACTGTCAAAGCTGTTAAAAAATAAAGTCCGGCCACCAACGATGTGTTTACAATAGCGCGTTGGTAATAATGCATTATTTGTTCGACGGAATGGGAAAACGTCTGTGTGAGCATTTGGAATAAGATCAGGATCCCCTGTAGCTCAGTTGGTAGAGCATGGCGCTTGCAACGCCAGGGTTGTGGGTTCGTTTCCCACTGGGGGCCAATATGACAATGTATGCACTCACTAATTGTAAGTTGCTCTTGATAAGAGCGTCTACTAAAATGTCAAATCAAACGAGCAGGATATTTTTTTTTTGCAAATATCTTTGATACAGATGTTATTAGCAACTTCTGGCGTAGCTAGCTAGCTTTAGCATGGTAACGTTACCTAGCAAGCACCAATGCAACTAACGTTAGCCTGAAAACAATGACCAATAGAAACTGCAGTCATGTTCAATATTCTTAGCAATGATTTAGGAATCCATGTGAGTGTAACCGGTGTGAATTGGCTAGCTAGTTAGCGGTGCGCGCTAGTAGCGTTTCAATCGGTGACGTCACTCCCTCTGAGACCTTGAAGTTGTTGTTTCCCTTGCTCTGCAACGGCGGCGACTTTTGTGGAGCCACGGGTAAAGGTGCTTCGAGGGTGACTGTTGTCGATGTGTGCAGAGGAGGGTCCCTGGTTCAAGCCCAGGTAGGGGCGAGGAGAGGGACGGAAGCAAAACTGTTACATGAGTAAGTATTAGCTAGGTAGCCACTTGAACTTGAAATTGAACTTCAGTTCATGAAAATAACTAGCTAGCCAGCTATTTAACCCTGTTACCCAAAGCTAACGTTAAAAGCAGCCAGCAAACTTAATCTGGCTGGTGAGGCTTGACCAGACCGTGTCATGTGTTATGTGTGAAAATAGCCACAATAAGGATTAGCCACAATAGTGGAATTTGTGGTTTGCCTTCAAAATAAAGGTACCTTTTTGAAAGTGACGCAGAAGGTTACAATTGGTGAAATCATGCAATATTTAGGCTAGATAATGTTAAACAAGGTTGGAATGTGGAGCAATGAAATGGGGTATCAGTCTACTCGGAGACACCCACAGATCACAACTGTGAAGAGTTCATGCAAATTGTAGCTCTTATCACGGGACTGTGACTGTGTGAAATCACCTCCCCAGTCAGCCTATTACATTTACATTTTAGTCATTTAGCAGATGCTCTTATCCAGAGCAATTTACAGTTAGTGAGTGCATACATTATTTTTGTATTTTTCATACTGGCCCCCAGTGGGAATCAAACCTACAACCCTTGCGTTGCAAATGCCATGCTCTACCAACTGAGCTACATCCCTGCGGGCCATTACCTCCCCTACCCTGGATGACGCTGGGCCAATTGTGTGCCGCCCCATGGGTCTCCCGGTCGCGGCCGGCTACGACAGAGCCTGAATGTATTGTGTGTATTGACATTCATATTGCACTGTACAACCTTACCTTAGGATTGGGGATCAATTAAATGGGGTGTCAGTCTACTCAGTACCAAGAGCTTTTTTCCCAATGTCCTCCTCAGAGTTATCAGACTCGAAAACATCCGGGTTGTATTGTTTTTCCTCTGGAATAGTGTTCAATACACATAGTAAGGTGACTGGTACAATACATGTGGCTCAATTCACAGTGGTTTCCGCAATAAGAGCTACCACGCTAATGTTCTCTGGGTGTCACTGAGTAGACTGATACCCCATGTCATTGATCCATAATCCATAGGTAAGGCTGTACAGTGAAATAAGTATGCCCCCATTGCAATTCTAAAGTCTAATACATCCACAGTGTGATTTCAACATATTTTTGTCAAATTAAGAAACTATTTTATTTTGTTGAATTTATATAACAAAAGTCCAACCTCGTTTAGCATGGTCCATGGCATAATTCCACTATTTGTATTAATTTGCATCACTGTCAATGACATACTTTTATTTTGAAGGCTAACCGCAAATTCCACTATTGTGGCTAATGCTTATTGTGGCTAGCTTCACATAGGTGGGTCCGACCACCATTAATAAAAAAATGGGTATTTTAGATGATGACACCTAGATAGATACCTAGCTAACTATAGCTACTGAAACAGATTATGTCGTTTTGCTATGTTTTTGGGGAAGAACATTGTTTGCATCCATCAGCTAACGTTAGCTAGCTTTTTTTTGACCAGCACTGTCCAGAGCTTGGGGACGGGCAGGTGCGCGAGACAACTTTACCAGCATCATAGCATATCGATGTGTCCTTGTGACATATGAAATACGAGTGATGGTGTAATCAATGTGTAATAACTATATAAAACATGTATGAACGTGTTAAATTGTTATGTGAAGTGCAGTCATATTCAGGTCCTGATTGGTCAACAAGATTATTTGACACGTCAAATAGTGTTATTTGACGTGTATCTTTTTTGACACGCAAAGACCCAAACGGCGTTCCATACCAATAACCTTGTTTGACGTGTCAAATAACACTAGACACTAGTGGAACTTGCGGTTCGCCTTCAAAATAAAAGTCTAATTGAAGGTGATGCAAATTAATACAAATAGTGCCATAATGGAATAGATCAATATAAATTCAACAAAACACAATAATTTGTTAATTTGACAAGAAATCTGTTGAAATCACACTGTGGATGTGTTAGACTTTAGAATTACATTGGGGGCATACTTATTTCACTGTACAGCCTTACCTATGGACAAAATAAAATAATTTCTTAATTGGTCCAAACACACCAAGACAGTCGTGAAGAGGGCACGACAAAGCCTATTCCCCCTCAGGAGACTAAAAAGATTTGGCATGGGTCCTCAGATCCTCAAAATATTCTACAGCTGCACCATCGAGAGCATCCTGACTGGTTGCATCACCGCCTGGAATGGCAACTGCTTGGCCTCCGACCGCAAGGCACTACAGAGGGTAGTGCGTACGGCCCAGTACATCACTGGGGCAAAGCTTCCTGCCATCCAGGACCTCTATACCAGGCGGTGTCAGAGGAAGGCCCTCAAAATTGTCAAAGACTCCAGCCACCCTAGTCATAGACTGTTCTCTCTGCTACCGCACGGCAAGCGGTACCGGAGTGCCAAGTCTAGGTCCAAATGACTTCTCAACAGCTTCTACCCCCAAGCCATAAGACTCCTGAACAGCTAATCATGGCTACCCGGACTATTTGCACTGCCCCCCCACCCCATCCTTTTTACGCTGCTGCTACTCTGTTAAGTAATTATGCATAGTCACTTTAACTCTACCCACATGTACATATTACCTCAACTAGCCGGTGCCCCCGCACATTGACTCTGCAACGGTACCCCCCTGTATATATAGCCTCCCTACTGTCACTTTATTTTACTTCTGGTCTTTTTTTCTCAACACTTTTTTTGTTGTTGTTTTATTTTAACTTTTTTTGTTTAAAATAAATGCACTGTTGGTTAAGGGCTGTAAGTAAGCATTTCACTGTAATGTCTGCACCTGTTGTATTCGGCGCATGTGACCAATACAATTTGATTTGATTTGATTTGATTGTGGATCAATGACATGGGGTATCAGTCTACTCAGTGACACCCACAGAACATTAGCGTCGTAGCTCTTATTGCAGGACTCTGAAACCACTGTGCCACATTTATTGTACCAGTCAACCTACTATGTGTATTGAACACTATTCCAGAGTAAAAACAATACAATGTGGATGTTTTGGAGTCTGATTACTCTGAGGAGGATTTGGGGAAAAAACACTTGGGTGCTGAGTAGACTGATACCCCATTTAATTGATCCCAAATACTTGGGAAAGGCTGTACAGTGCAATATAATGTCAATACGCACAATAGGCTGACTGGGGAGGTGATTTCCCACAGCCAAAGTCCTGCAATAAGAGCTACAATGCTAATAAACTAAATACAGTTGTGTTCTGTGGGTGTCACTGAGTAGACTGATACCCCATTTCATTGCAACCTTATTATCTAGTCTAAATAAGGCATGATGTTTGGCATGTGCAACCAGAGGGGGAAAAAACTGTAGACCACCTTTACTCCACACACAGAGATGCATACAAAGCTCTCCCTCGCCCTCCATTTGGCAAATCTGACCATAAATCTATCCTTCTGATTCCTGCTTACAAGCAAAAACTAAAGCAGGAAGTACCAGTGACTCGCTCAATACGGAAGTGGTCAGATGATGTGGATGCTACGCTACAGGACTATTTTGCTAGCACAGACTGGAATATGTTCCCGGATTCATCCAATGGCATTGAGGAGTTATACCACCTCAGTCACCGGCTTCATCAATAAGTGCATCGACGACGTCGTCCCCACAGTGACTGTACGTACATATCCCAACCAGAAGCCATGGATTACAGGCAACATCCGCACCGAGCTAAAGGCTAGAGCTGCCGCTTTCAAGGAGCGGGACACTAATCCGGACACTTATAAGAAATTGTGCTCAGACAAACCATCAAACAGGCAAAGCGTCAATACAGGACTAAGATTGAATCCTACTACACCGGCTCTGACGCTCGTCGGATGTGGCAGGGCTTGCAAACTATTACGGACTACAAAGGGAAACCCAGCCGTGAGCTGCCCAGTGACGCGAGCCTAACAGAACAGCTAAATGCCTTATATGTTCGCTTC